TTACATAAATGATCTCTGCAATATGTCATTGCCAAACTGCAAAATTATTACCTACGCAGATGACACAGTTCTACTGGCTCACGGTAGCGACTGGTTGGAGACTAAAAAATATGCTGAATATGCTCTTGGTGCTGTTAATGCATGGTTGATCTACAACTCTCTTACTCTCAACTTAGACAAGACAAACTATATGGCTTTTGCACCAAAATGTTCATCTCTTCCTGCGCCTAAGTTTATTATCCAAGCTCATAATCAGAACTGCCCCGGAATGTCAAATTGTGGATGTATGATACTGCAGAGTAAATTAAAACTTAAGTACCTCGGTGTTTGGCAGGATTACTCACTCACATGGGATGAGCATATTAAGGTAACTTCTAACCGTACGAGGAAACTCATGTATATTTTTAAAACCCTACGTAATTTACTTGATGCTTCTACACTTAAATCTGTATATTTGGCCCTCGCTCAGTCCGTATTATCATACTGTGTTACGGTATGGGGGGAGCCAATAAGTCCCTTTTATTACGCCTTGAAAGAGCTCAAAGAGGTGTGTTAAAAGTTATGACCTTCAAGACTATTCTATATCCAACTTCTCAATTATATGAGGACACTGGTGTACTAACTGTGCGTCAGTTATTCATCATGCTGGTCTTACTTCGCAAACATTCCCAACTTCCATTCAACCCCGACCATTTCCATAACAAACGTAGATCGGATATAGTCTGTAGAAATAAATATGTTAGGTTGGAGCTCGCAAAAAGTCATTTTCACTACCTCTCTCCCCGTTTATACAATAAAGTAAATAAAATATTAAATATTTATCCACTTACTTTTAAGGAATGTAAACTACGGATCACTGTTTGGCTGAAGGGGCTTTCATATACAGAAACAGAGATACTTATAAATAATTAATTATAAGACTGTTAAACGTCGAAATACTGCTAAAGCAGCTTTGCGTGCTGTTTGTTATCAAGTAAACAATACCTATTCCAAAAAAAAAAGTATATATTGTTAAAACTAATTTGAATGTGAAAAAGACTTTACCTCGTTAACGTGATAATCATCTTAAAATAAAATAATTTCAATTTGATTTAACTATTTATAAAAATGAACATTCCAAAATCTCATTTACTCATTAATAAATATAATCTTTAAATATATGAAAAAAAAATAGCTTTAATTTACAATAATGACATTAAAAAAAAATTGAATTAGTGGATAGTATTGGTATAAATTCTTTCTATTGTCAGGTTACAAAAATAAATGAAAAAACAACTTAAATTCAGATATAAACACAATAATTCTACTTATCAAAAGAGTTCATAATGGAGTTTATCGCTCATGTTACAGCACTTTTGTCGCTCATGAACTGGAGTCGCGCCCTATGTAGATCTATTTCTTTCTTCTACGATTCACGCCTGCTGACTTGCTCCGCCCCTTTTCCTACCACTGATCCTGGTCGCGCTTATCAGTCGCTCGAAATGACTTGTTAGTTCAGTTGATGGCCAGCGTATGGTACTGCTGGACGTTTTTACTATTTAATAAACAAAATAATGATGTTCGTATGCTTTAAAGTAACTTTTTTGCAGTGATGTTGGTACGATGTGTGCGAAATTATGTCTTATATTGAATTTAACTATTCTATATCATGATTTATTGGTTTGTAGTGTCCAGGTAGGTTTAATATTGTAATTTTAATAGATTTGTATTATCTGTGTTTACCTACCTTCTAATGCATAAAAATTCAAATGTTGTATTTTAGTCCTTATTTTCATTTTTTGGTAAAATTTAGTATTGGTTTGTTATAATATTGATAAAAATGCACTCGGACATATCTTTTGTTTTGAAATTACCTTCGATGGATTTTAAATTGTGGTTATTTTTGTCTCATTTTAATTTTCTCTCTATACAGATTGTTTTAATTAATTTTATACATTGATAGGAACACTGTTTCATATTATATGGGAATGGGCGTTAATTCTGCAACACAGTTTTTGTAAAACTAAAGCAGTTTTAACGATTCATAAGTTTATGTACATTGCACTTGTTCCAAATAAAGTTATTATTATTATATTATTAATATATTATTTAAAATTTTGTCACGCCACACTGCAGAAATGTACGTGGAGCTCTATGGCTGGTACCACATGCCTTCGAGTGTCCACAAGCTTTTATTGCATGGTGCTGAAGTTATTGAACACTTCAATATTATGCCTAATGGTAAATTATCTGAAGAGGCATCGGAAGCCAGAAAAAAGACTTAAAGAAAATCCGAGAACATCACTCGGGCAAATTTAGTAGGAAAGCTACAAACGAAGACATTTTCAATGAGGAGACTATTGTCTGTTATTTTTATCATCTTTTCTTTACTAATGTTAGTGTGTAGTGTTGTTGTATTAACGTATTTTACATAAAAAATATATAACCATTTGTAATCAAAATACGTGTTTTTTTTACTCCATTTTTAACTATATGTTAAATCATTTAAGATTAAACTTACTACATATTTTCTAATTTTAAAAAATGCGCGTTAATTAACGCAAAAATAATTCAAAAATAATATAATTACTAACTATTTATTACTTATTATATGAATGAAAATTTATTAATATTATTATATTCAAAGGCACATTCTTATAACTTCACAAATAAGAGTACCTAGCATCAAACATTTGAAAAATCATATACTGAAAATTTAACATTTCGAATGTTGCCTACACGCAAAGCGGCATCGAAAGGCACAAATATTATACGTCATCTGGTTCGCCGTGTAAGATGCAATAGCTCATATGAGTACCAGCCTTTCAGTTCCATTCAGTTTTAAAAAAAATCACTTTAAGTGTTTGCTCCCATACAAAAAAAAACAAAATATTTTTTTTCTCAGGCGTGGTAATACTCATACCCTTCATACTATAATATTAAAAAGAGGGATGTATACTAAATCCAATCCATTTTTTTTTATATTAATTTCAGACATTAAATTTCTATGAGTATGGAGCTCGATTTTCAGACCACTGTGCGAAGGTGCGAAAGGTACTCGCCATTAATGTTAATGCCTGGTCCTGCATGAAAATATCCTCCAATGCTGCTGTGAACAGTTTCGGAGATATCCCATCTCCCTGTCTCACGCCTCACTGCAGTTGGATAGGATTAGAGCGCTTCTGTAATCGGACTGACATAGTGGCGTTTTCGTAAAGGTACCTTAATACCCCAACATACCTGTAGTCTACTTGGCACCTTTGAAGAGACTGTAACACCGCCCAGGTCTCAATCAAAAGCTTTCTCATAGTCCACGAACGTCAAGCAAAATGGCAGATTATACTCTTCGGTCTTCTGTATAACCTGCCGCAGCGTATGAATGTGGTCTATGGTACTGAAGCCTTTTCGGAAACCGGCTTGTTCGGGAGGTTGAAAACTTAATAATATAATATTTAAAATAAGGAAAGATTTGACTTTTGTCATTCAAATCTACATTTAAGTAATTATAAAAGCATAAATCAAAAGCTTATATTTGTTCCATCAATAATAAAAATGCGAGGTAGCTATAAGTATAACGACTGATTTTAATGTTAATGACTTAAGATGAACACTTTTGATTTTTATATGAAGGACCCCGAAGAAAATGCGAGTAAATTGTTTATTATTAACTCCATAAATCAGACTTAAACATGTTATCTATAGCTTATGAGTTTTATTTCTGTTATACATAACCTAACCTTTAGCTTTCTCACGTTAACAATGATATGAACGAACTCATTTTTATTAAAATCAACTAGCTATTTGCCACAATTGTGTTCAATGCTTACATTTGAAACGTGGGTAAGCTTTAACGAGGATATTAGATTTAAAAATCATTTTTGTGACGGTATTTTTATCTTTTGAGTTTTTGCCGAGCGACTGGACATTTATTTGGACGTAAAAACGTTTTATCCCTATTTGCCCAGTATATGCCCTTTTTGCCCATTTGGGTTTTTACCCTTGACCCATCTCTAGTCACAGTATATAGGGTGAAATTGAAGTCCTTTCCTCCTTTTGGGCACTAAATATTTATTCTTTTGAAACACGCATACAGAGTAAGTAAAAAACATCTAATAAGCACTACTAAAAAAACGTGAGCAATGACCGCTTCCGCCGTTGAATACCTTCCTACCTACCTATGCGCGGTGCAAAGCGCAGTGAGCAAGCGCAGTCTCAAGTCTATCCACCGTGCGTGCGTATCTTTTAAATTTGTGACTAGACAAGATTTGCAAATAATGCCTTGATTAGTTCTTGTTCTGTGGCCTCAATATAAGAAGTTGGATATGGTGTGTTGTTATCGTAGTGTCACGGAGTACTCAGCAGAGCCACAAGGCTTTACGAAAGTAGGTTTGGTGATCGATTCTGTTTACAAAGTGTATACGGGAAGTCATAGTGAAAAAAATTAATAGATACATCGGTCTCGTAAGTATTTTTGAATACCTGGTTATAAATTTCATTCTGCCCCAAGTATTGAACTGCAATAAGTATTTATTTTTGTTTAACATTTGCCTATTTCCAATCGTGACAAAATTATTATTAACTTTTATTAGTTTTTCTTTGCTTAAGAGAAGATGACATTTGTGCTTATTATTTCAATAATGGCATCTAAGACGATTTTATTGTATTGTGTGGAATCAAAGGAGTCAGCTGAGCTCTGTGTACCTACTCACTCAACGGCTGGCGGGAGCGGTCGGTCGCCCGCTTAATTTTACTGTTTTTCCGTTTTTTAGAAATGCTTATTTATTAGTTGTTTTTACTTGGTATGTAAGTATGCTTGTTTAAAATGAATAACTACTCAAAAGGAGGAAAGGACATAAAAATACACAAATTATAAATAAATACATAAAAAAAAATACTTCCTAAAAATCCGAATAAAATCAGGCATGCTCTATACACGTAGCCCAACAATCTCACGAAGTTTCATTAAAACATTCAATTTCACCCTATATAGTAGACACACAAGGAAAGAACATTCGACCAACCTTGAACGGTGAGTAATGCGTCTCGAACGGCCCGGACGCAGTACAGTTGTTGTAATACTGAATTCATGTAGCAGGTGGCGCCCGCGTTTTTGAGCCCAACTAGGCCGGCTGCGGGCCGCGGGCCCACGCAAGGCATGTAGTCCCACTCAGATAGCGGCATACTTTTTTCTATAAGTATATTTTTTGTTCTTCTAAATACATATTTTTGTTAACTGGCTACAAAGGTTTTGGAGCGAAACAGGCCCAACACAAGTATTTTACAATTACTTACTGGGTGCATCGTTGTTTAATTGTATGCACTTGTGTTAATAAAAATAATTTTTATATTATATTAAGTATGAATGTATTAATAGGCGAGGCAGTCCATATTTTTCCATACTAATGTTCTCGACTGATTCTTCTTTGAATTTTATCAATAAGGAAATGATTTCCTACATAGAATATAATTTTACTCATTCTATGCTCCTACGTTTTCCTCTTTCGATAACTTGCTTTACAAATCAACTAGATGCTCTCAAAAAAATACAATTTGTATCACTACTAAAGATGTCTACTGTGGAGATTTAATAAGCATTTACAAAAAAAAAGAAAAACCTGGAAGCCTAATTCAACTACTTATTACCTTATGGCTGGAATTTGTTTTTACATTTATCTAATTTTCGAGGAGGAAATCATCTACAGCCAAACCTCGAACTTTGCAAATTTTATTCGCAACATTCAGCGGGAGCTGCCGTTGTCCTATCGCACGCTATTTGCCATTGCGCGACGGCAATAGTTGTTCAAATACCGATTTTTCAAATGTCTCTCAGCTCGCGTCGGCTCTTAACGAAATAACTAGCAGATTGGCTCCGAATGAAGATGTTATCATCATCCTATTAATGTCCCCACTTCTGGGGCTCAGGCCTTCCCTATGGATGGAATAGGGAGACTGGGCCGTAACCCACCACGAAGGCCTAGTGCGGATTAGTGGGTGCTAACGACTGCAGTTGCAGCCGGAACCAACGGCTTAACGTGCCTTCCAAAGCACAGAGGAGCTCAAGATAGTAAATTTTTGCTCACCCATTCAATGACCGACCAATGCGAAAGTTGCTTAACATCAACGATTGCAGCCGAACGCGCTAACCGCTTGCGCCATCGAGCTCCTTAATCAAAAAGATGTTAGCTGAAGTCTAAAATGACAATGAGTATTTACCGCTGTAGAACATCATTTCTAGCAAGTACGCTAGCGCGGCCATGTTAGGCACGCACCCGTGCACTAGCGCCAGCAACAGGTCAGTAGCGGCGGCGGCGGCACCCGGTGTCCTGCACAAAGGCGTCGCCGGCTCGTCGCCAGCCTCCTCCCCTCCCCCGCCGCTACTACCACCGCCCATGCGGCACCACGCCCAAGAGTACGGCCACAGAAACTCGGTCGTCACCTCCTGTCAAGAGTTTCCGTATTTTTTATGGAAAGTTTCTTACGTTTTCACGCACATCACTCATTAAATAAAACAGTTTTTACGGGATATATGCACTGAATTGGTTATATGCAAGGATTATTCCGATAATGCACTACTGAAAAGAGTGCGAAACGTCAATCTATAATATAAAACTCAAAGGTGACTGACTGACATAGTGATCTATAAAGCCCAAACCACTGGAGGGATCGGGCTGAAATTTGGCATGCAGGTAGATGTTATGACGTAGGCATCCACTAAGAAAGGATTTTGATCAATTCTACCCCGAAGCGAAGCGAGGGCGGGCCACTAGTAGATAAATAAATTCAGTGCATATAACCCGTAAAAACTGTTTTATTTTATGGAAAGCCAAGAACGAAAGTAAATTAGTCCTAAGAGTTAAGAAGCAGCAGTTCTAGCGGAGAGTACCATCGATGTATTCATGGGCCTTAAAGGGATATCATAGACACTTATATTTCGATATAAAGTGATCTTTATCGCCGCCCGTTCTATTCCAACTTACATACTGTTTAATATAGTAGAGTGGAACAAAACTCGATTTATAGGAACACGCACTCTGATTCAGAAACTTTCTCCCAGGAATTGAGCTGAGTCAAATTATGTCAACGATTTCCAGTTTCCATAACATATAAAGTTAGATCGAAGGCAAGTTGCAATTTCCTCAATACGCCTTGATGAGTTTCTTACTTTTGTGATCTACACATCTCCCGCAAATATATTTGCTAAATACAATATCAAGACTGTGATCTACACATCTTTTTTCCCAATCCCTCATTATTTTTACAAGATTCTAATTCGATTAAAATAAGGAATTTATTATTGAAAAGTCTACCTTTATGAGGCCCGAGTCTTTATGCTCGGGGTGAGCGCCGTATTGGTACTTGACTTGAGCGGGCACGTGCGCGAACAATTCCTTCGTTAAGTTCAAATGGCCTTCGAGCAGCGTGTCGTCTAACTTCTCGGGGTTGGCACGAACGGCACGCAGCCACGCTACCTGATTGATAAACCAATGTAATTACTGTTATGATGCCAAATTTATACACCAAATGGATTCACTGTAACATAGGGGAGTCTGTATTTCTAAATCAAGAACAAATTTTACACGCCTCCACTGTTCCAAAATAATTTCACAATGCACTCGCACTTTTTAGCTATTCTAAACGACGTCTAGCGATACCATATTTACGCATATCTTTAAACGTGCAGTCGATAGAACCCGCAAGAACAACGAGACCACCTCGCCTGGGGCGAACTACCAGAAGCATCTGTTTATATAGTAGAAAAAAATTGAGACGCTTATAATATAGGGTACCAGTTCTGTGACCAAATCTAGCACGCGAGGTCGTTGAGCTTTCATACCTCTGCTATCTCTGTTTCTAGTGCCAAAAACTGCCTGTATAATGTACGAGGGCGGGATGATAAGTAACTAGCCTCTACTATTTAAAATTTAAAAAATATATATGCCATTTTTATATTCGTATCTCTGGCCACCTGTGTTCTAAATTTGAATTTGGTGGCCCGTAAATTTTATTGATTTTTTGTCATTTGAAAATATATTTCGTCAACTGTTTTCAAAATGGATGAAATTGAACAAAGAGCGGTGATGAAGTTTCTCCATATGAAGGGCATGTATGGGGAAAGATATCTATGACGAGTTAAAGAATGTTTTGGGTGAATGTGCTCCTTCTTATGCTACAGTAAAAAACTGGGTGGCTGAGTTTAAACGCGGTCGTACATGTGTCCAAGATGAAGCCCGCCCCGGACGTCCAAAAAGCGTCACGACCCCGGAAATGGTCGTGAAAGTACATGATATGGTTTTAGTAGATCGACGATTCAAGTTATCTGAAATAGCTAACACTACAGGTATCTCAAAAGAACGAGTACATCATATCAAAATTCAAAAAATTCAATACCGTTTATTCAGTCTAGGCTGTTACAAGCACTTGTGAATGTCGAAAAGCTACGCCATCGGTTCGCAAATCTACGGCGGGAGACCTTGTACTGAGAAGAACCGGCAAGAAACTCAGCAAGGGCTGTTTTTTTCTCCCTGTATTGTATACAGAGACGTCAAATTGAAAAATGACTTCAATATGAGGTAACTCATAAAGTCACTTTCCATTACAAATGCAAATAATATAAAAATTATGACTATATAAAAAACTGGTTTAACAAAGTTTAGGAATGCCGTGTCCTGCTGTTTAAGCCAAAAAAATGAACGATTAAAGTTTAGTACAACGATTAATAGTATTCAATGAAGCAAGAGCAGACTCATCTCCGCTGGCAGCACCCGTTCACGAGCATGACGCATGAACCAGCCATCGCTTCGCTCAACCATTTTTTAGGGAACGCAACGACCCGCCTCACACGACACCACCGAAGAGATTTTTAAGAGAGCATGAGTACTCATAACCACACATGGATACTATGTTACAAAGATAGAAAAAAAAATATAAGTACCAGTATAGATTATTATAACAAACTATAAACATAACGGCAGGACACATGCATGTGATTACCCAAACACTGTTGTCGATTCTGGCACTACTCTCCCAACCCAAAACCAAATCCAACATCAGTCCCCCCCTTTCAGTCTGTATAAAGAATGACAAGGATACACCGCTGCAAAACCAAGTTGAGGTCTAGAAAACCATACGAGAATCCACACCGCCATTAAATCTTTATCAGAGAAATAATAAATGTTCACTTACATTTTGATTGCTGTGTCATACAGTATAAATACAAGTTGTGTAATGTAAAATACAATCTAAATTTAATAATAATTATCATTACAATAATAAAGTAGTATAGAGCAGACTCATCTCCGCTGGCAGCACCCGTTCACGAGCATGACGCATAAACCAGCCATCGCTTCGCTCAACCATATTTTAGGGAACGCAACGACCCGCCTTACACGACACCGCCGAAGAGATTATTAAGAGAGCATGACTACCCATAACCACTCAAACCAAACTGCAAAATAGATACTTTTACGTTTAGCGTTAAGGTACTGCCTGTATCTGTACGACACTGCAAACAAATACAAAACAATTTTGCAGTTACAGCCATGCAGTTCTGTCATTCAAGTATTCTTTAATAGTATAAAAGCCTTTCTTAAGTAAACAACTTTTAATGTGACATTTGAACTCATTTATGGGTAAGTCAAGAACAGCATCCGGAATTTTATTGTAAAAATGTATACCTTGACCCATAAAAGATCGGTAAACCTTCTGTAACCTGTAGGATGGCAATGCAAGTTTGTTTCTATTTCTTGTGTTAAAATTGTGCACGTTACTGTGTTTGGTATACAAATTGAAATTATTTTTAACGAGGAGTATGCAATTGTAAATGAATTGAGAAGCAACAGTCAAAATGCCAATTTCTTTAATTTTTTCTCTAAGAGATGTTCGGCTACTCAATTGATAAATAGATCTCACAGCTCTTTTTTGTAAAATGAATATACTTTCAATATCAGCTGCTGTTCCCCAGAGTAAAATGCCGTATGATAAGATACTATGAAAGTAACTAAAATATACAGTCCTGGCAGTATCTATATCAGTAAGTTGTCTTATCTTTCTTATGGCCTAAGCTGCTGAACTAAGTTTACCAGCCAAAAGCGTAATGTGATGACTCCATTGCAGTTTTGAGTCTATCGTTATACCCAAGAATGTAGTCGAGTCTACTAAATCTAATTTTTCATTATTTAATTTAATTCCAATATGCTCAACTTTTACATTAGGTAAGGAAAGGAAAGGTTTTATTAGCATTTAGCTTTAGATTATTGACATTAAACCATTGCAGAACTTGCGAGAGAGCATTATTCACATCGTCATAGTTGTTTTTGCGCCTGTCAACGTTAAATAATAAAGATGTGTCATCAGCAAATAATACAATGTCACACAAATTTTCCACAAAAAATGGCAAATCATTTAGATATACTAGAAACAGGAAGGGACCTAAAATTGAACCTTGAGGAACGCCCATTTCCACATGAGATCCAGATGATCTAACACAATTTACCTCTACAGTTTGTATTCTGGAACTGAGGTACGACTGTATCAATTTATATGCAGTACCTTTGACTCTATAATGACTCAATTTCAATAACAGCGTGTGATGATCAACGCAATCAAAAGCTTTGGATAAGTCGCAGAACACTCCAAGGAGAAGAACTATCCTAAGTGAGGAATTAAATATGAAAAAGTTATCGGCCCGTTGGGTGCCGCGATTGCTTACGCACGATCAAAAAAGGATTTGGGTGCAAAACTCAAAAGAATTTCTGGACCGTTTTCAGAGTAATAAGGCCGATTTTTTACTTCGATTTGTAACAACAGATGAAACATGGGTTCATCATTACACGCCAGAATCAAAACTTCAATCAAAACAGTGGACTCAATGTTCAATTTCATCCATTTTGAAAACAGTTGAATATATTTTCAAATGACAAAAATCAATAAAATTTTCGCGCCACCAAATTCAAATTTAGAAGTTTTAGCGGCCAGAGATAGGAATTTAAAAATGACATATATATTTTTTAAATTTTAACTTTTTAAATAGCAGAGGCTAGTTACTTATCATCCCGCCCTCGTAGCTTTATCGAGTATAATGTAGTTGATCTCACCTTACACTCAAGTTCGTTGAATGTGCGCTAGGTGGAGCTGGACAACGCGACGAGGCAGCAAAACAGCAACACTGCAGCACCCAACTCAACTCACCTCGTACGCGAGGTCTTCGAGCGTGCGCTCGGTGAAGCCAGCGAGCGCCACAAGACACTGCTGCACGTGCCTCGCATGCTGCCGCAGCGGTGCGCCGACGTCTTCGTCCCCAACTCACCTCGCACGCGAGGTCTTCGAGCGTGCGCTCGGTGGGGCCGGCAAGCGCGACAAGGCGGCATAGTAGCAGTAGGAACTGCTGCGCGTGTCACTGTAGAAGTGCGCCGTCGTCTTTACCCCCCAGTCAACGCACTCAATGCACACAACTCACCTCATACGCGAGGTCTTCGAGCGTGCGCTCTGTGGAGCCGGCGAGCGCAACGAGGCGGCACAGCAGAAGTAGGAATTGCTGCGCGTGCCTCGCGTGCCGCTGCAGCCGCGCGCCCCCCGCGCCCGCGCCCGCCCCGGCCCCGCCCAGCGCCGACAGAGCGGCGCGCGCGCAGCCGCCCCCGCCCCACGCACACATCGCCAGCAACTGCTCAGCACACGATACCCGCACCTGTGCCAACGCACCGTATAAAGTCTGATCTTCGGGTTTTAATCATCCCCGTACGTAAATATGTCACAAGTATGGTGAAAACAAAGGACACAATATAGATGTGACTGCCTACTGCATGGCGAATGGGTTACGTAAAACCTTCAGCATTCGAAGCAAAAATACCCGCGTGTCTAGATAGTCACGCACTCGTTCGTGAACTATGCACTTAGAACAATCATTCGCACTTAACTATGCTCCGTAAACCTTTATTCACTTCCAGTGGTAATTATGAAAAAAATATTCTCTAAAATTATAAAGTACTTGAATGCCTTTTGAATCTTGGTCGTCCTTTAATAAACTGTTAAAATCTAACCCTTGCAAAGAGCTTTGTCCATGAAATAATTCTTATCTAAACATGTTCTCATTATTAGCTCAACATTTTGAAAAGTACTACCAATAGATATCGATAGACTTATTCAAACTTACTTGAGGGCTAGGGCAATCTATCATCAGGTACAAGGCGGTGTCCTGCCACCAACTCTCGTGCAGGAGTGAGTCCAAATGCCCGCCGCCGAGAGCCATACATATAGTCACCACCTCCATACATTCTCGAACCACTGTTGAATATTTCCTAGATTAGATACACAGTCAAAATCTCCAATAAATTATTGTTAACACTTAACTTTCTATAAGAAAGCCAAGATTATTCTAAACTATTTACAGCACAACTAAAATTTTATTTAATTATTCAAAATACCCCTAGGTCACAACGATATTAAATACCCTAGATACACCACGAGCGCACAAAATGTGTCCCACTCAAGAAGTGCCTGAACTCCACTAAAGCACCTCTTGGTTCAGTCACGCGCGGACCATTGAAAAGTCAAGATGCCGCAGAGATCTGTGAAAAAATGCGAAAAAAGTACTTATAGTATCAAGTGTCATTTTTCGACAGGTATCTAATTGATGTTTGTTAATTTAACACATTTGAAGCAAATTTTTAATTCTAATACTTACCATAAGCTGATTTAATTTAACATATTTGTGATATTCAAATGCATGATGGTTATACGTCGCCGTATAGCCGTCTCTTTTCCTCACGGTCCATACCTGCTATATTGCTAACAGCGCATTCGGAATTGCGCGTAGAGTAAAAAAGCTAATAATGTCTATATTCTTCCGTATATAGCATAAAGTTGTAAGATTTTACGAGCTTGCATTTCGAAGTCATAAGTCTTTGACGCATGTGTTTTAATTAAGCCCTTATACAGTATGCATTAAAGGTGAATTTCAATGTTTAAATAATGCCTTATATTGTTTTTGACCGTGCGATCTTCTTACGAAGTTCCGTGGATCGTCCAATGTACCTTTTGGGCAGGTTTCGGCCACGATTTTGTTCGTGATGTTGTATCTTTGTTATTTAATATCGTTGCTAGGGCATAGCAGATTTGGCGAGCCTTAGTCAAAGCAAATTCTACATTTTAAAAGCCGCATTTCACTTGGCTATTCGTTTTTGCTATTTGTATATTTGACATCAGTCTATCCTTTTTATTCCTTATAAAGTATGATAGGGACAGACTGTTGTCAAGTTTACAAATAGCAAACACAAATAGCCAAGTGAAGTGCGGGCATAACATAAGATTGCAGACAAATAACACAATAATGTTAATAAGGTTTGTGTTCCTACGGCAACATCGGGCAGACCATACGCTCCTATTTTATTAATAATAAACTGCATACATACATATGACGTCATCCGGATGCACCATTCCATTGCTTTCGGTTGGCTGCGCTACCGAATAAGCCAGCGAGTACAACGCGCGCACTGTAGCCGTAGTGGGAACCCGCCACCAAACCAAAGACGACACCGAATCGCTATCTTCACCACTCGTCATAACCTGCCGACAGTAAAACGATCAATAACTACTCAAACAGCGGACAATACAATTAGAAAGAAATGAATAAAACATATTCTTACGGTTTTTACCTGTTCCCCAAGAGTGTTAGCCAATTTCTCAGAGATAGCTTTCACAATCAGCTCACAGTTGTGATTGGGCACAGTTTGTAAAGCTTCCCTTAGTATAGTTACGTCCATCCTAAAAACAATATAAAAAATAACTAAATAGTATCAAAAGGTTAATCTAAATTGTATCAAAATTTTAACTTAAATACAATGCGTATTATTTAAAAAAAATAACAAACTCACCTAAAATCTTTGTCTACTGAAGTGTCCGAACCATCTGGAGCAAGAATTTCAAATAAATGGCCCAAAGTGTATAATGCCAGTTTAGCTAATCTGACTAGAGATAAAAAACCAACCCTGCAATAATAATATCTATCATAAAACACCACCAGAACTATCTTACATTATGTACGTAAGTAACATTAATATGGCTAACCTTCTTGTGTGTGCTGCAGCGCCGTTTAGAAATTCCTTATCTGATAAACATTGAACCAATAATGGTGCTTTCTTCACGCATGCAAGTTGAAAACTACGACATCGCTCAAGCTTTGTGTCTGAAGAGGGCATCACCATACTGTATAAAACCTGAAAACTAGAATTTATAAGGACTCTAATAAGGTCGAAATTTCAGTAAAGAGTGAATGATGCATACCTCAATATTATAAGCTACTGTAGGTGGGGCTGGTCCATACAACATATCTCTCAATTTTGTGTCTTCCCTACATAGTAGAGCTTCAGTTAATTTTTCGACCTGGGAATAACAGCAGTTAAGTTAGCAGTGTAATCTTAATCTATCAATAAAAATAAGTTAGAGAAATATGATTTCAAATACGTACCGTTTGCTTATGTGCGGGGCAAATTTGTGAAAGAAGATGGGCGGCCTCTGTCAGTTGAGAATGCTCTTTCGTGATACCAACATGTTCTAGATCCAGAATAAATGGTATATACCACGAACCTTGCGCAAATAACTAAAATAAAGAAGTGTTGTTATGCCTCCAAAGTATATTGTAACTTAATTTAAGGATAAAAACAAACAAAAAAAAGAGCAAACATGAATAGTCAAGTGAAGTGCCGACATAAGATTAGTACATGTAGTTATTCTTAAAAAGATAGATTTTATAACACCTACATAATACGAATCAGTCAGTAAAGTTAGTCGAATTAGCCCTAACACTTAATATGGGTACCAGGGCCCTACAAAAATAAAATTTCAAACATAATATTCGATCATAAATTCTCATCAAAAAGGTCATTTATATTATCAGAATAAGAAAGATTGCGTTAAACATGCTGTATTCTCTGACTCCTAGCCTAACACGACACCAGAGGAGATCGTAAAACTGTTTATATTCGTAGAATAAATATAACTATTATAACTGGTTTATAAAACTCACAACGCCGCGGGTTAAGCATCCTTCTTCTTTAACCCAGATATTGGCTGAATCGTCACGTAATGGAGACGCAGACATAATCACCAAAAATTTAATTGGTTTAAAATACTCACAACGCCGGGTAAAGCATGCTCTGGCGTGGGCGGCAACGGCGGCGACGAAGTGCTCGAGTCGCTGCTGGACTCGTTCGAAGACTCGCAGCCACCGCTCCCGCACACCTGTCAATCGTACACCTGAACTAGACCGTTATCACTTCCAAACGCGGTGGAAGTATCCGCATCGAGATCGGTAAACTCTCGATACTTCAAACGAAATCCTTTAGCGCCTTTTACTAAAACGTTGACTGAGAGCAAGCACATATTGAACCACTAGTGGCCTCCACAAGCTACGGTTGATTTTTTTCATACATTTTGTATAGTATCGGCGCAAACTATGCGTTTGAGTGGCCGCCACTAAACTACTAGCGGCGTTTAAGTGGCCGCGATTAGTGGCTCAATGTTCGAGTGGCCGCCATTAATACACATGCGGCAGCGATCGGTGACTACGTGTAGTGGCTTGACTGATCACTAGTGACCGCTTTAACACTAGTTTAGTGGAACCAACTAGTGGCCCAATGTGCGCTTGCTCTAACTCAAGTCAAACTTGGTTTAATCCTAATATGCTACCTCTTGCCTGTTTTTAGCAAAGAGACAAGTGTTTGCTAAAATGGAGACAGAAATAGCATATTGTAAGACCTTTATTGTCTTACAATATGCTATCTCTGTCTCCATTTTAACTTTAGTTTAGACAACTTTTTGTAATAAGACGGTCAATTATTGTTTATTAAATGAGGTCTGCATTTTCAATGCGCGTATAAATCGTAAAGAATCTTTTACTTGACGACAATTTAAGGTAGGAAGTAAAGATTAACGAAACTATATTTGAATCACTTGGCACATAGCGTCCAACTAATAGAGCTATGCAAAGCCAAGTTTGGGGTACCTACATACTTTGCAAAAACAATTACAGCTCAACCAATCTACACCACAGCACTCGTAGAGATGTGAGAGATTGGTCCTAGCTTTATAAACCTATTTATTATTATTGTGTTAAAATGATAATGTTTACTCACACAGAAATAGTGTCATCTTGAAGACAGAATTTAAGCTATGCTTAATTATATAAAACATAATATCACTTACTTTAGCGACAATCACAGTCTTGTCTCGTAGTGGTATTTGTGATAATATTTTCCGGTCATGGCTAGAATCTAAAAGTTCCCCATTTACGTAGAGTTCTAACTTATTTACATGAAGTTCTAATTTAATATTACTATCAGTAGCACATTTGAGTCTGTAAAAAAATCACAACCGATAAATAAGAGAAAATCATGAATGCATTATTTTTTATTGGAGACATTACTATTTTCGTATACCTTCTTTGTATCGCGGCACGCAGGGAATGCAATGTTTCATTTGAATGTGAAAAGAATTCCATATCATCAATTTGTCTTTGACCAGTTTGGAAATTGAATCTGACTATAATTGTACATTGCCTCCCCCGCCCCGATCGATATATCGGCAAGATTTGTCGATCCGCTGAGAACCTTCTATCACATTCGTTTACATATTCTTGTATGGCACGTATCACTCTACACATCTTAGTGCATCCTTCTGTTGAGTCTGAAATAAAATCATATAATCAAGAATATAATAGTTTTTACAAAAACTTACGGCGCCTTACCTATTAATAGATATTACTAAATGGCTATTATAAATTGGACCACATCAAGAAATAACAACTTCACCATAACTTCAACATATATTAGCATACTCGCAGCAAGCTACTGAGAATCACTGGAAAGAAATTCAGGAAGTCGTAAAATCCAAGCAGATATTAAAGAGTTTGCTCCAGATTCATGTTAACAATGCCCAATCCTGATCGGATTGGGCATTGTTAACATGCTGTGCATGTTTTATAAAATTATGTTCTATGAAGCATACTTTAAAAAGTCACCATAGACTTTTACAATGATCATTGACTATTAAAATCATCCAGTATTTGTACTAGTAAGACTATTCCAATTACGAAGTCCCTTTTGACACTTCTAAGAACGTAACTCTGAACGTTTCGCATAATTTGAAATAATAATATTTTTCGTTCATGGTCGTTAATCATCATTTAAAAAAATACACAATCAATCTAAATCATTATACAATTAATTCAACCAACACACAATCGACTTACTATTTTTAGACATCATGCTCAAAATAATTAAAACTTTAAAAGATAATAATATTTTACTGAAGTTTTGCGTTTACGTTCTATAGTTTTAGTGGCCTGATAGCATCCGAACATCTGACAATCGAAAATTAGTAAGACGAAAACAATAAAATTGGAAAGGTTGTTGACTTTCAATGTATTGGACGAATCATAGTAATATTTTATTTTATCGTATTTTAATAATAAGTTGGTATCTAGGTTGTCCAGGTGGCAGCTTTATGCGAAGAAAATGCATTTTTTTACAATAGATGTACGCTTAAATGAGAAATTCTGAGTGATAAACTTTTTAATGTAATATAAATTGTCATGTTTGTGTATGATAGCGCAATAAATAAATATTGTATTCCACCACATAAATGATTGACTTGACTGACTTTTATACTGATAATTAAAGAAATTCGTGCAAAATTGTTCCCTAACCATTCCAAAATATCAAAAATTCACAACTTTAATATTCATGGTTTCACTTCTGTCTGCCGGCACTCCCGGAGTTAGCGATGGGCGTTGAATTAACGAACGGTTTAAATAGACGGTCTACGTTCAATCGACGCTTCGACGGTCTACAGTTTATTCGTGTACTAGTTGAATTCATAGACGGCTAAACTGAGAGTCCACAGCGTTCATATCTACTGACAACGCGACGACGACGCGTAAACGTATCCGGTTTACCGGTTACAAGTCCATACGTTCGTTCATTCGTTGAAATAAAGCAATTTGAAACTTAAGCATATGGCGTGGGAGTTGATATTTGTTCGTTTTTTAAACTAGAGTTGTTAGAGTGAAAAGGCAAGAGTATTCTGATATTGCGTGAAAGAATACGTTGATGGATCTGGCTAAACGATCGATGCAGTACAGGATGAACGGGTTTATAATAATTGTTTACCTCAAGTAGTTGCAGTTTTGTTTTTTGAAATTTGAAATTAGTGTATCGCGAGGTCAAGGTCAAGGGACACGTGAATGCGAATTTAGTGCAAAGTTCGTTTGAATTGAATGATTATTCTATGAGTTTAATGTATAATTTATTTTGTAAACATTTAATTGACTATAATGTAAAGTGAATACTAAATAAAGAACCCTACTTTAGTAGGAACGAAGGGTATTTGACAAGTTTTAGAAAACGATCTCACGTTATTGACTAATGTTTATGGAGTCCGTAAAAAGTGGATATTCATCATTCTGTTGTGTATTTCAGTAAAAATAACCAAAACCAAATCTCCATTTTCAAGCTGCCGCAAAAACGTTTCTCTGGACAATATGGCGTCTTACTATAGTCTGTCCATTATATTATTATCTTTTTGACAGATCGATCGAAGTAAAAATAGTGACACCCTATCACATAACTCGTTCGATTTAAAGCTATAATCGATTTTGTGCTAGAACATTGTTTAATCGATTATAAGTATCGAAATTATTTTAGTTAAATAAATTATTACAAAATCTCATTAGATTTTTTATTTTACCTAGTACAAATATTTGTGCGATGAGCACGAGTATTTGTTCTGTGTCTGGGTGTGATGTATCTATATTATGGATATATATACAACAATAAAGCAGTATACTTTTTACGTTTGTTTATCCTAATACCCTTTATTTAATGATTATAATTATAAATTTCATTTAAAAAAATGTTTATAAATAACTACCTATATCTTTGACTTCTTTCCTTACAATTTGGTTGTACTCATTTATTTCTACCGATTATTTGTAATCTGTGGCACAATCTTAGTAATCATTATGTGTGGCACATCACTAAGTGGGCGGTACCCGTCCATGAAGTACAATATTATTTGTATGACGTTTTAACGTAAACAATACAAAATTTCATGGGCGTCGATCTGTCAAAAAGATAATAATAGAATGGACAGACTATAGTGTGTGACGTCACACGACTGTTATTAAAACGTCAAACGATACAATCTTATGTCACTTTTACGGGAAGTTTACTTGCGTTTAACGTCATTTAAGGCTCCGCCAATCCCAAGCGTTTTGGGTCACGTGACAATGGATAAGAAAACTATTATATATATTTTTCGTGGATTTTTAGTATTTTTTTTTTTTTAAATATTAAAGACCCCTTCCAATATTCATTCTAAACACAGATGCTAACAATTGGCATTTTATTTTTAATACTGTCAAATACCCTATTGCCGAGTCTTGATAAATTGGCAAATACTTTACGAGAATCTGGACTGTTTCACGGCAATAGTACCTCTTTACCGTTTTTTTTTTATATATGATTAGGTAGGCAAATGACTCTCTCTGAAATGTTAAGTGGTGATAAAGATAGCTGGTACAGCAGTTATAAACTGCTACACCAACCATCCTCACCTTGCCAGCCCGCAAAAATACTTCTTCACGCCTCTCTTAAAGGACCACAGATTATAGGAAGGAGGGAACACGTGCGCGGGCAAAGAATTCCACTTTCGAATAGTACGACAAAGAAATGAGTCGCCAAATTTCTTTGTTCGTGAAGGAATAGTGGCCACAGTAAGTCGGTGGCAACGTAGGACAGCGCGCGTGGTCCTCTGAAGAAAAGGTGAAGGAGGGATAAGCGAGAATAGCTCCTCAGAACACTCGCCGTGGTATAGTCGGTAGAATGCGCTTAATGATGCCACATCACGGCGTAATTGTAGAAACTCGAGTTTCTTAGTTACCTCTTCATCGCCAATGATGCGGGCAGCGCGCCGCTGCAACCTATCCAAGGCATCGAGTAAGTACTTAGCGGAGCCATCCCAGAGGTGAGAGCAATATTGCACGCAGGACCCCACTTGCGTTTTGTACAACAAGCACAGTTGATCGGGCGTGAAAAAACGCCGCACCTTGTTCAGGACTCCCGAGTTTCCGTGAAGCTGCTTTGATCAAGGTCTCGATGTAGTCCTTTGGATTCAGGTCTGAGCGAACCTCCATGCCGAGCATGGTAATATGGCTCTGTAGCGCCAGTGTTATGCCCTGAAGGGGAAGGAATCGCGATGTTTTTGCCGTGAAAGCGCAAGCCTGAGTTTTCTTGGCATTGAACTCAACCAAGTTCCTGGTACCCCATTCGGAAATGTGGTCCAAAGCTCGATTGAGCTCAACGACAAGATTCTCTCGTTTCTCCATGGTTTCTACCTGTCCAGCCGCCGCGTGTCCAAAGTATCTCGCATGCACTGTGCTATCGTCTGCATAGCAATGAATATTCGCAAGTGGAATCAAATCATTGATATGCAGCAGAAAGAGTGTGGGGGATAGAACGGATGCCTGAGGAACACCGGCATTCACTGACATGAACTGCGAACTACATCCGTCCGTAAGGACGCGAATTCTACGCTCATGCAGGAAGTCAGCTACCCAGGCGCAGAGCTGAGCAGGCAGACCGTATGCAGGCAGCTTGGAGAGAAGGCTTTTGTACCAGACCCTGTCAAAAGCCTTGGCGATGTCAAGGCTGATAGCCAGAGACTCTCCCCGCTTGTCTATAGCTGCACCCCATATGTGCGTCACGTACGCTAGAAGGTCACCCGTCGATCGATTCGGCCTAAATCCGTATTGAGGATCGGGAATCATAGAGTAATCTTCTAGGTAGCGGGTCAGACGGTTGTTAAGGACCCTTTCTAAGACTTTACACAACACTGAGGTGACAGCTATCGGCCGATAGTTGGCCGAGTCTGAGCGCTCCCCTATTTTGGGCACCGGCTGCACATTAACGTCTCTCCAAGCTTCCGGCACACGCCCCAAAGAGTAAGAGAGTTGGTACAGGCGCGTAAGCACGGGAGACAACTCCGCTGCACAATGTTTAAGAACAACTGCTGGGATGCCATCAGGTCCACTAGCTTTCCGGACGTCGAGTGATTGCAACTCCGCACGAACATCACGCTGCCTGATTTTAATGTCAGGCATCGTAGTGCCACAATAATAAATAAATAAATAATAAATAAATATTTCCGACACTCACACCAATTAGCCCAGCCCCAAAGTAAGCACTGTAAGGCTTGTGTTATGGGATGCTAGGGTAACGGATAGAATACATATACTGTACATATATAAGTATATTTATATAAATACATATTAAACATCCATGACTGGAGTACAAATGCTCGTATTCATCACACAAACATCTGCCCCCACCGGGATTCGAACCCGGGACCTCTCGAGTCGGCGACAGCCATGAAACCCGGCGTACAAACCACTCGGCCACGGAGGTCGTCAATGAGGTAGTGTAGGTGGCAGTGCATTTCAATCACTGATTCGGGAGTTAGCCGCAAAGAGCTTTGCCAATAAATCGGCTTTCTCTTGCGGCTCATGAGCTAGTGACCCATCTGGACATCGCAGAGGTGGCAGCGAGGGCTGGCAAAAGTTGTGTTGCACGGCCTTAGCCAAACGTCAAAAACTACGGGAGCCCGTAGGGTGGGTTAACAATTCGTGGCCAGTACGTGCTACACGTTAGGCATCCGCTCTGATGTAAGCCTTCTTACAAGACTTGGAAGCACTATTATAGGCAGCTTTCAGTGAGTTAGCCCCTGGATCCTTAAGAGCGCGATATGCCGCCTGCTTACGAGAAACAAATCGGCACAATCGCGATTGAACCAGCGGTTACGTGTGCCCTTACTGATGAGATCAGAATATGGAATGTAATACTCCATTCCCATTACGATCTCCTCAGTAATGGCAACGGCGCTGGATGATAGGTCCTTTTCATTGAAGCAGCGCTGCTTCCAAGGGACGGACGAAAAGTAATCGCGCATACCATCCCAATCTGCCGACCCATAGTGCCAGACCCTGCGTTTAACCACTAATGGTCGAGGGGTTTTGGCCTGTGGCACCTTGACAGATATCAGGCAATGGTCTGATGAACCCAGTGGGGCTCGAACCACAACCTGATACTCCTGCGGATGGGTCGTAAGCAGAAGGTCTAGTAAAGAAGGCGCTTGACTTGCTATATCTGGGATCCTGGTGGGCTGATCAACCAGTTGGGTCAAGTCATGCGTGAGAGCGAAAGCATGGGCAGAGATCCCTGCATGGTCAGTTTTGGAAAAGCAAAGCCACAAACCGTGGTGGGCGTTAAAGTCTCCCAAAAACACCAGTTTTGCGTTGGGAAATTGCGCCTGGGCATCATCTGCTACCATACTGAGGTGGTCAAACAGTCGAGTTGTCTCAGCGTCGCCGGTGTGAGATCTGTAGAGGCACACGTAGACTCTGGCCTGAAGACCAGAGTCTACATGTACCGCCAACATGGAAAAGGAGGGGTCTTCCAGGCAGCTCAAACGGCGACAACAAACATCCGCCCGAACATACAGGCATACGCCGGCTTTTGCTTTGAAGGATTCTTCAAGCGCGTAGCCGGGATATTTAAGGTAGCCTGTGTCAGCGGGCGGAAGTATTTGTGTCTGTGTTGTTTACTTAGTAAAACCTTCACGGTCTTAAAAAAATGTTTTCTTTTATTATAAAAAATGTAATAAAAGGCGGATTTTGATGGAACGTACAGATATAGCTTTAACCAGATTCTAAAATCAGCAAAGTCCATTGCCGATTGGAATAATGTTATATTTCTAGATGAGATGTGGCTAAATGCTAATCATACAGTTGGTAAGATATGGTCAGACGACACTCCTCACTCCTCCACAAAGTACCTAGTGGCAAAAGCGAACGCTTAATTATTTGTCATGCAGGTTCCGTGAAGGGATTTGTTTCGAGCTGCCTCTTGGCGTTTAAATCTAAGAAAACTGTGGAATATCACGAAGAGATGAATTTTGTTAAATTTAAGTAATGGTTTTGTATCTTATTGACCAACTTGAATGTGCCATCGACGATCATTATGGATAATGCACCATATCATTCAGTAGAAATAAGTAAGCCTCCTACTTCTAGCAGGAAAAAGCCGATATTGTGAAATAGCTGAATAACAATAATATTGTTCCTGACATGTCCATGTTAAAGGTTGAGCTGTTGCATTTGGTTACTATAAATAAGCCAGCTAGACCAAAATATGTATTGGTGAATATGAAATGGCTAAGTAAGCCGGACACAATGTAATACGCCTTCCACCCTACCATTGTCAATAGAATGCCATAGAATTGATTTGGGCGCAAATTAAAGGTAAGAATTTAAACAAATCTTTTTTATCATTTATTTTTACCTATTTTACCATTTTATCTCTTGCTATATTAACATACAAATCTTTATTTTAGGTTATGCGGCTCGTAAAAATATCAGGCCACCGTTTACTGCAAACAAAATGCTGTCATTGTTGCATGAAGCTTATGATAGTGTTACTGTCGCGAATTGGGAAAGTGTGGTTTTACAAACAAAAAATAAATTTTCGCTGATTGGGACGACAGAGACATACAATCGATGCCATCATAGATAATAAAATTATAATAAATACAGGGGATTCTACAGACGATGATGAGGGTGATGACGACGATGCCGACCATGAAATATCGATTTTAGCTATTGATCATGAATAAGTTCCATCTTGATAAAAACATCATGTAATATTATCTAATTAAATTTAAAAACCAAAGTTTGCGTTTTATTTTAATTTGCTGCTAATCCTTTTTCTGTCAATACGCTTTTAATTTGTTCGCAATAGTAATCGAAGATCAATATCGTCGAGTATCGACTATAGCGGTACTTTACTAGTACTAGATTATTGACATCTGTCAAATAGGTCTTCGTAATTGGAATAGAGTATAGCAATCATTCACAAAACAAGTTTTATTATTTTGTACAGAGATGTTTTATTTATTTATTTATTGCACTCATGTGGTTATGAAATGAGATGTGAATAATAAAAACCTTAATAATATCAATTCTGAATGCCTGTCCCCTACAACTAGATAGGAACTCACCCTCCTGTTGTTCCATTTCCTTCTGCATGCGCTGCGTCCGCGCGCAGCACTGCGTGAGGAACGCCTCGTGATGGTGGGCGGCGGAAAACTGCGGGCCCACGCACGTGCACACCTCACGCAACAATTCGATGCCGCGAGCAGAGATCTCGTCGTCGCACTCCGTTATCACCTGCCAATCAATCGATCAATATGAAATTCAAGTAATTTTACTTTCACAACATTCCTAAAAAAAACCTCATTAAAAGAGCAGGGTCAAAAAACTGAGCCAAAAAACTCTACCTTGGCCAATTCCATAGGGGGCATCGCCAATAGTGAAAAAGAAGCAGAAGAAAAAAACGATAACGACGTTAATGCTCATGCATCAGTTCAAGAAGCTATATATACAAATTAAAAATCATTTATTCAGATTAGACTGTTACAAGCACTAATAAAAGTCTAGATGCTACGCCATAGGTTCGCAAATCTACGTCTGGAAACCATGCACTAAGAAGAACAGGCAAGATACTCAGTACTCAGTTTATTTTTTTTCTCCGATATCTACTTGTAAAGCATGTCGAGTGGCATTGTAAGACGACGCCACGAGTGTGTTCTGGTATAGATTTTCCACTACAGGCAGAATGTTGAAAGTGTAACGTAAAGTCGAAGGTAGGGTTCGAGGTGAAGAATTTAAAAAGAAGATTTGCTATTACGTTACGAAGGCTAGACAGTCAGCAGGTTTACACAGCAGTGGCATAAAAACCCAACAAAAATTGCCTTCTGCAGCCTTGGCAAAAGACCAAATCGCAAGGCTTCGCGGAAAGTCTGAATCATGTCATAAATTGTCATTATCATTGCAAAGATATACCATTAATGCCTTTTACAGTAGGTTGTCCTTATCCTACTCTTTATGGAATGAAAAGAAGAGACATGTAAAGATTACAAATAGTTAATACGAATAGCCATGTGAAGTGCCAGCATAATATCAAATATGGAGGGGTACATCATTTCATTTAGCTGTAACATGTTTGATAGTGATTTTGAGTTTTGGGGTGTATGTAAACTTAAGTTATACTCACACGCCATAAATAATCTAATCCTATGAGATCAGCATCATTTAATAAAAAACTTCTTCGCTTAATTTTTAATTTGCCTTCTTTAGAGTTAACTGCTTTGAAGAATCTGAAAATCATTGTCCACATAAGAAATTCAATACACAATTATAATAACTTGTTTTATTCAGAATGGCTTAACTAAATAATTAAATACCTCTCGAAACATTTGATGCCTGCATGCGTTAACAGATTGGGCGGTAATGTCATAATGTTCCTCCGAAAAAAATGTAGATTAATGTTTGGATCTAGATCTGGTTCTTCGCCCATTAGCTTGCTGAACCAACGAAAGCACGCCTCTCGGTCGCCGTAATGTGCCGGCCTTTCTGCTAGACATACCCATATTTGTTTGGCCTAAAACAAAAGAATAAGAATTTACAAACATTTAAATAAATCACATACACTTGTTTATAAAAAATACTATTCAATTTTATCATTTCGAACTAGGATCTTGGTTTGTAAAATATAATAGTATAATTTCTTACTTGTTCTGCACACAGCCATAGCTGCCCGTCTTTTAATAGAAACCTTAAAAAACTCAATCTTTCCTGTACTTGAGCTGCATGCGGATATCGTCCATCTGGTAACCAATTGTCCCAGTCTATATCACCTTCTTCTAAAACAATATTAAACTATATAAAAACTAATTGTGAACTGTTCATAATCTGTTGATTTGCTGTCCGATATTTAATCTTAAGGGTCCTAAACCCAGAACACAGAAAGAGGTTAGGAGGGTCTTGTGGACGTGGCAGGCGCGCCAAAGTTATGTGGGAGCAAATGCTCGTGACTTTGGTTGGTTTGATTGGTTGGTTCTGATTGCGTCATTGCTCTCGGGTGTGGGCGCTGATAGGTTCGAATATTTGATGCCGCGTCTTTTGATTGGCTATTATCTATTAGGTGGAAGTGTAGTGGGGGCGAGCCGGCGACATCGGTTCCCGTACAAACGTTCTATGATCACTTATTTGTATTCTGTGGTCCTAAATGCACTGACTGTATTTATCTTACAGTTCGATAACAATAACCTTATCTTTTTTTTTTCATCTCTCGCAATCTTCTTTGTATCATTGAGTGCCCACGATAGAAAAACTCGTAATGAGACCCACGATTTAAAACCTGCCTATATAATATTAATTTAAATAAAATATTTGTATTTTGTTCGCCATTAGACATTTTGTAGTTATTTAGTCATTTTAAGCAATTTTGTATTCTAAGAAACTTTCATTATACTTAGAACGATAATGTATGGTTAGGTTAAGATGATTGGTGTACCAAATTTACTTGAACAGAAACATCAAATGAAAATCATAAATGGGTTTTTATGATTGTCACTTGATGTTTCCGTTCCGCAATAAGCAAAGACAAAGGTATTGTCTCAGCAAAATTCGGGGAGGAAGTTATTTTAGGTCTGTGCTGGCCAAACAACCTTAACTACGGTACATAAAATATAGATAATACGAACACTACTCCGCTATATTGACTCATCCGCAATCTTGTTCCGAACTCCGTCCATGTAGTGTGTGAGCGAGTCGGTGACTAGTATGAAGATCGAGTGCTGCGCCTGCAGGCGATCAATGAGCTCTCGGCGCGTGACCCGCGGTCGACGATCGGTGCCCAGACGTCAGACGACCACTACTCCGCTATATTGACTCACCTACGATCTTGTTTCGGACTCCATCCATGTAGTGTGTGAGCGAGTCGGTGACCAGTATGACGAGCGAGTGCTGCGTCTGAAGGCGGTCGATGAGCTCCTGGCGCGTGACCTGCGGTCGAAGGTCGGTTCCCACGCCCGCTTCGTACAAGCAACATATCTCGCGCATCATCTTCAATGCCGGTAACACCCACTTCTCGTTGGTCTTTAATTCTTCTACGCATCTGCGACACGAACGTAAATTATATACAAACGCATAATCAAACTTGTCGGTAAAGCTTTTAACTTTAAATGCATATTCAGACAAATAAACCGGGCCACCCGCTATCTTGGAACTCCAATTCCATTTTCTCGAAAAGTATAATATTTACAACTATCATATTTACTACCTTCAGAAAGTGCGTTTCATGATAATTAAAATGAATGGAAAATCATTGGGATTTATTAACCAATTTATTAAGTGTTTGTTAAGGATTTTACAAAAAAGAGTCGTTTTCCAGGCGTGTTGATAATTAGTAATCATAAAATATTAAAGCCAGACAAAAAGAAAAAAAAGTTTTTGGTCAGTATTCAGTGTTCCCTCTCCTTGCTCGGATAACTGCCAGCATCCTCGTATTCATCGACCTCACGAGCCTGACGATGTAATCTTGAGGAATCGCATTCCACTCCTCTTCAATTGCAATTCGCAGCTGGGAGCCTTGTTGGAGCAGGTACCCTGGATCGAACGCGTCGTTTCAGCTCATCCCATAAGTGTTCTATCGGATTTAAGTCCGGGCTGCGAGCTGGCCAGTCCATTGTACAAATGCCGACGTCGCGTAAATACTGGATCATTACATGAGCAACATGAGACCGTGCATTATCATGCATCAACTGCATATCCTGCCCGATATATCCTGCGTAAAGTATCACATGGTCTGCGAGGATTTCAGTAATGTAGCGATGAGAAGTCAATCCACTTGTACGGCTTCCTCCATAAGCAACAGTTTCCTCGATCAACAGTTCGTTGATTAATCGTTAGTATTGTGTTTGTTGCTTGATTACAATGCGAGTCACTCGTACTTTAGAATAAATTTATAGTCATTTTATTCGTCATGAAATGCACTTTCTGTAGGTATAACTTGTATAGTTAGTTTTGTATGAGCTTGTGAGCTCAGAACCTTAGTCCTGCAGGTTACCGTCAGTGATGTTCCGAATATCCGTATCCGTATCCGCAGATATCCGAGGGACCCGGCGCGCCTACCTCAGATGTCGGAGGCGCGTCACCAGTACACTCGACGAAGAAGCCGAATTCCGTCGGGTGTACAAGGAGGCCAAAAAGCCCTGGGTGAGGTTTGTAGCTCTCCTCGACCAGGATTTGCAACCCCCCCCCCCATAACCCTTTCGACCCCACCCCAGGATGCCCCCCCTCCCCTTCGGTCTCGGACGCTGAGTTCGAGGCGGTGAGGGACAGGATCAGGGCCAAAAGGGCGGCACCACGGCCATTTGGAGTCCTAGCCCTAGCGATTTGGCCACTAAAGGAGCGGTTCCGGGTGGTGCTCAATCTATGAATCGCCACGGGCCGCTTCTCGAGGAGGTGGAAGGAGGGGTGGCTGGTCCTACTCAGGAAGGACGGTCGCCTTGCGGACTTCCCCTGCGGCTACAGGCCCAGACTAGTGCTCGATGACGCCGGGAAGTTCCTCGAACGAATCTTGGCGGGGCGTGTCATCGAGCACCTGGAGGGGCCAGGCCGGAATCTGGCGGAACACCATTTCGGGTTCCGGCGAAACCGGTCCATGGTGGAGGCGGTGGCCCTATTGACGGAGTGGACCGAGGCGGCCACTAGGCGGGGAGAGACTGCTATTGCTGTGTCGCTCGACATCCGCAACGCCTTCAACAGTCTCCCCCATGAGTGCATTATGGAGGAACTGCGCTTTCACTGCGTGCCTCCATACCTGCGAGCGATCGTGGAGGACTACCTGCAGGGGAAGTCGGTCCTCTACGTTCCATGACCAAGGAAAAGTCTAAATACCTAAATATTGTTCACCAAAATATACAAGGCTTTTCTGGTAAAGACCTAGAACTATGCTTATTTTTAAATGCTAAGTATATTAGCATATTATGTATTACAGAGCACTGGCTCAGAGATTATGAAGTAGTTATGGGCTTAGATAATTATACAGTTGCTAGTAGTTTTTGTAGGAAATCGGCTCTCATAATCTTACAGAACGATCTTAAATACAAAGAACGTACAGATATTGTTTCACTTTCAGTTGAACGTAATATTGAACTATCTTGTGTGGAACTTGATGAAATGATCATAATATGTGTATATCGTCCCCCATCTGGGAATTATAGTCAATTTGAGTCCGCTATGGAAGACGCTTTCAATATAGTATGTAGATGTAATAAAGTGGTTGTTGTGTGTGGTGATTTTAATATAAATATTTTAGTTAAGTGTCCATTAGTGGGTAGGTTTCTAAACTTATTTAAATCATATAACTTGAAACATACATTCTTTGAGCCTACCCGGATCACACATGCATCAGCAACCTGTTTGGATAATATTTTTTGTAATAGGAAAGTTTTTAATAAATCAATAATAAATTGTATTAATTCTGATCATAGTGGACAATTAGCCTCTCTTGAACACCATCATGCTTCACACAAACATGACCTAACTTATAGATCAATTACACAAACTGGTATAAATAAATTTAAAGATAGTGTTTATCATAAAATATCGGACTTACCAGTTTGTAATAATAATAATATTTTGTATGAAGATTTATTCAATTTAATTAAAGATGAATTTAATAAAATATTCAAACGCAAAATAATTAAATGCCATAGCTCTAAAAAGAAATTTTGTGATTGGGCCACACCTGGTATTTACAAAAGTAGAAATAAGTTGTATCAATTATATGCTCTCAAAGCAACCTCATCTGATCCTAAGTTTATAGAATATGTCAAAAACTATTCCTAAGAAAAAAATATGAAAAACTGTTTAAAATTTGTAAAATACTACCAATAGAGGAAAAAGTAAAGGTCGCAATTTTCACTGAACAATATCATAAATATGAGTTTAAAAAAGAAAGAGAATATATATACGCTACCCGTCATATAAAAACTATTATGGTAAGCGAGTGAGGAGCTGGTCTACGCCTACTTTGCTCAATGAACTGCCATATGATCTTCTTAAAAATATATTATCCAAAAATCATTTAAAGAGTACCCTGCGCAAGCATTACCTATCGTTGTGTCCATAAAGAGAGGGAAAGCCTTAAGTGGTAGGTTAGTTAAAGCTGGGTTGTTTATTAAGTGTTAAATTACAAAAATCAAAAACGGTATAAATAACTAGATATTTGTGTGTTAATAGATTACTGATACAATCTGCAAGTTTTGGTGTAAGTCATTATTCATATCATAGTATGCCTGTACTAGTTATGTACCTAACTTATGTATAATTATGTGTGCGCGTGGCCACGCGTGGGTGTGTAAATGTTTTTAAGAGGTAAACTATGTAAGAAAGTTATAATAGAATAGTATATTTTGGATTGTTATTGTTTTAAAAAAAAGTGAAAGTATCTTACTGTGTGTGCGTGCGTGTGTATGTAAGTTATGTGTACCTGTGTGTATGTGCATGTGTTTTTGTTTTTTTATTTTTTTTTGTTGAACAAGATATCTTTTTATACATATAAAATATTATAACGAGAGCTGCTGCCGAGAAACTGTTACACAGTTTGGCAGATGTATACATAGTGTTTACATGTGTAATAATGTGGAAAATAAATTAAAAAAAAAATAACATAAAAATTAGTCTATCAGATAATAAAATAAAGACAACTTGGAATATAATTAATAATGAAACTGGAAGAAATAAATTTCATAACACACATATTCTTTAAAAATAGACAACAAGATTGTTCAGACAGATGATGCCATTGCCAACACTTTTGAAAATTTATTTTCTAGTGCACCGTTTGAATAAACTAGAAATCTTAATTCTTGTTCTAGGTTAGCAATGACCCTCCTTGAGTCAAGTGTTGATAAGTGCAGTAATGATTTTCATTTTAGACATATCAGTAGTGATTGTATTTTAAAAACATTTAATTCTATTAATATTAAAAAGACAGAGGATTTATGGGGAATATCAACATATATAATAAAACCGATTATCACTGTCATTGCGCCACAACTGGCCATTATATTTAACAAATGTATTGATGAGGGAGTGTTTCCAGATCTAATGAAATGTGCTAAAGTTATCCCTCTCTTTAAGGCTGGTGATAAATCAGATCCCAGCAATTTAAGGCCTATATCTGTATTACCAGAGCTAAGTAAAGTATTTGAGAAAATAATTTATAACCAATTACTAGCACACTTTTCTATAAATAAGCTACTTCATTTGAAACAGTTTGGTTTCACTAGAGGCAAAAGTACTACTGATGCTGGAACTGCACTTCTCAAACACATTTTTGATATATGGGAGAGTAAGCACGATGCTATTGGCATTTTTTGCGATTTATCTAAGGCGTTTGACTGCGTTAGCCATGAAACATTGCTAAATAAAATGAAGCATTATGGTGTATGAAATATTTCACTAAGTCTGATACAGTCTTATCTTTCTGCTAGGATTCAGAAAGTAGTTATAAATGAAGCTGAGTCTACAGGAGCACCCATTTCTATGGGCGTGCCCCAGGGTTCAATATTGGGCCCATTGCTTTTCCTTATTTATATCAATGACCTTCCTCACTTTACAAGAGATTTGTGTGAGACAGTACTATTTGCTGATGATACCTCTTTAGTGTTTAAAGCTAGGAGAGGAAATGATTGTTATGACGAAGTAAATTGTGCTCTCTCTGAAGTCCTTCGCTGGTTTACGGTAAATAATTTAAAACTAAACTCTAGTAAAACAAAATGTGTTAAGTTTACTTTACCTAATGTGAGGCAGGGTAATACTAGTTTAAAAATAAATGACCAGCCTGTAGAGTTAGTGGATTCTACAAAGTTTCTGGGTATTACTTTAGACTCGCATCTGCAATGGGATCCTCATATTGATGCCTTATCAAGTAGACTGAGCTCTGCGGCTTTTGCTGTTAAAAAAATAAGACTCCTAACTGATGTGGAAACGGCAAGATTTGTTTACTTTGGTTACTTTCATAGCGTTATGTCATATGGCCTTTTGTTGTGGGGCTCACCTGCTAATATAGAAAGTATTTTCGTACTGCAAAAGAGAGATGTTCTCGCCACATATAATTTAAAGGCAAGAGAATCTCTTAGAGAAAAATTTAAAGAAATTAATATTTTAACACTAGTATCGCAATACATTTATGAAAATATAATATTTGTAAGTAAAAACTATGGCGCATTTGCAAAAAAAGTCAAACCCATAACTTTAACACGAGATTTAAAAACAAGCTTGCCGTTCCATGTTTCAGACTCCAAAAATCAAGAGGTTCATTTCTGGGATGTAGTATTGCATTGTTTAACAAAGTTCCCCAAGATTTGATTGAGCTTCCACTAACCAAATTTAAATCTCAGATCAAGAATTCTCTTATGAATAAGGGCTATTATAAAGTTAATGATTATCTAAATGATCGTAATGCATGGACACTATGTGTTTCTTGTAATTTGTTATTTGATGGGTATGAGTCAGTTTTTGTAACAGTAATATGGTACCTATCTAATGCCGCTTCCTATATACTAAATATAAAATTTATTGTAACTATATATCTATATCCTTAATAATGTAATGGAAGGTGACTTCAGAAGTATCTCTGAAGTCATTTTTCAATTTGACGACTCTGTATATAAATACAGGGAGAAAAAAGCAGCCCTTGCTGAGTTTCTTGCCGGTTCTTCTCAGTACAAGGTCTCCTGCCGTAGTTTTGCGAACCGATGGCGTAGCTTCTTGACCTTCACAAGTGCTTGTAACAGCCTAGACTGAATAAATGACTTTTCATTTCATTTCATTACGAAGGGCCCAATGTAAGCGTGTGGTACCCCAGCAGTGGACCCAGCACTGACCCCTGGTGTGGTACCCCAGGGGTCAGTGCTGGGTCCACTGCTATGGAACCTGGGGTACAACTGGGTGCTGCGAGGCAGCCTTCTGCCCAATATGGAGGTTGTCTGCTTCGCCGACGACACGTTGGTCGCGGCGAAGGCAAACTCAATGGAGGTGGTAGAGGAGGTGAAGGAGGCGGTTCGCCTAGCGTCGGTCGGCACTTCGCTAACCGTCCGACGCATCCGCCTCCTGGGCCTGGATGTGGCCCTCGACAGAACGAGGGCCATGCTGTTCCACGGCCCACGCCGCAGCACCCAACCGGGGCTTCATATCCGAGTTGAGGAGCACTTCAAGCTCCTCGCTCCACGGCTGTGCGCTGCTGCAGCCGCACTCGGCAGGGTCCTCCCAAACGTGGAGGGACCAGGAGATGCATGCCACCGACTGTATCAAGGGGTGATACGGTCGATGGCACTTTATGGAGCTCCGGTTTGGGCTGAGTGCCTCAAACCCCGCACGGTGGCCCCGCTGCGACGACCACAGAGGACCATCGCGACCCAGGCCGTGCGAGCGTATCGCACGGTTAGCCACGGCGCCGATTGCGTACTCGCGGGTGCGACGCCATGGGATCTCGATGCGCAGGTCCTGGCAGACGTACATCGAGGTCGGGTTGAGGCCAGGGAGCGAGGTGAAAGACCTGCAGAGCTGTGGCAGGTCCGTTACATCGCGCAGGCCTTGCGGCGATAGGATGAGGTACTCGCACAAGTGAGCGCCGGCCACCGGACGACGAAACATGTCTTCCCTGTCATTACGGCGGGCGTGACGTCAACTATCGTTTCAAGGTCTCGCGCGCCGACACCGATTGAATAAGAAAATAAAGATACGTATCCGGGGAACTTGACACCAAATATCGGAATCAGATCCGTATCCACGAATACACATTCTAACGATCCAGCAAATAACTAGTTGCCGTATTGAATAGCACTTATGTAAAACTAGAGGTCGCCCGCGACTTCGTCTGCGTTAACTTAGTTTCTAGAAAATCCCTCTGGAACCTAATATTTTTCGGGATTAAAGTAGCCTGTGTGTGAATCTAGGGTGTCAGCCAACTCCATACCAAATTTTATTAAAATCGCTCCAGCCGTGAAGAAGTAACAAACATACACACTCACATACTCACACGCTCACAAACTTTCGCCTTTTTAATATTAGTGTGATATTGTCTAAATCTTACTTGTCCAACCATAGTGTTTTCTGTGCATCTCGATCTTGACTACAGCTGTAATCCAAAATTTTAATAAGATTGGCTAGAGCAACGTCCATTATTTCCGTACAAACTTCTTCCGAGTGAGCCAAATTCCAAAATAAAACCAAAACCTAAAAATTAAGATAATATTCGTTTTATTTTTAAATTATTTTACAAAACATTATATAAACCAAACTAAGTATGCACATACCTTGTTTGCCATAACTCCATCTTTATCATCTTCTGCAAGTCTTCTTATAACCTCTAATAATTTATCACTCTGTTTCTTGGTGGATGTGGCCCAACTCGCCTAAAACATCAATATCACACAATTTTACAAAGTTATTTGTCGATGGATTCATCATTTCAAATATTGCCTGCATAGCTGAAACTATTTTCTCTTTAAGAAAATCAATATATTTTGGGGTCATACCTTAAAGCAATCAAAAAGGTGATCTAGCTGATCTGGTGTGAAGTCCCATGCTAGTTTCGCCAATAAGTCATGTAAATTCTTAACAATGGCTTCGTGTTTGCCATGCTGTGCCTTCCATATTGCATCCAAGTCGTCTCTGGTCAATGAGTTTTCTTTGATCATAAATCTTAACATTTTCTCTAATCTGTCCACGTATTGAGGTTGGTGCAGCGAGTCACGTAATACTATGTCGACCACCTTATTTTCCCTGATCCAATTCTTTAAAACAACATCATAGATTGAATTAATAAATAAGTTCTTCAACTACTGAAATAAAAAAAGGTAAAAGAAGCCTCCGAAAAAGCTCTTACTGTGATAACTGCAGGAGTGAGCCACTCTGGTTTCGGTTGTTGAGATATTGTACTAATAAGCTGATTAATTTCGTTGAGCGCCGACATTTTACCATTGAACGAGGACATTTGCAGCCATCGTAGAATCATTTTCAATCTAAACATCTCCAAGGCTGGAAAAAGGGTGCATATCGAAATATCGCATAATTACACGACTATTACTATTACACAAGGTATCGGTATCGGCAAACTTCAAACAACGGAGCCAATGTAGTAGAAATTTTACATACAAAAACGTCTACTGCGCAAGTTTATTTTCTGTGGTTTAGCTCAAGACGTTTGCCGCCACCTATACATAGATCATAGTACAAAAAACACACGAGTTTCTCTATGTATGCTTGTTATTAGCTTGCTTATAAACCACTCCATAAATGATGCATCGATGAGGCGAGTGGGGTGCAGTAACATACAATGTAGCGGCACAGGGGAGGAATTATGACCGCGCCCCTAAGCAGCTACAGGGTATGCTGCCGACCCGAGCGATATCACTGATGAGGCTGCCTGAAGGTTCATCCCGTGCAAGTTTGCGTAATGCTAATGTTAAACAATATTTGGGCATTTAACAACTCTACCATAATAACGAAACCATGAATATACTGATCTTTCAACTACGATGAATTTAGAAAATATTGATTCAAAAAAAATATTTTTATAATAAATTGTCTCTGTCTTATATTAATAGGTAACTGAAAACTCACAGCATTAGATTGAGGATAATTAAATAATACAACAATTTGCCTTAGTTCATAGCTCAGCTTATAAGCATTTGTTATGTGAATTTATTAGGATAATTTATAAACATTTGGTAAGTTAAAAGGGAGGAAAATATAGCAATGTAGAGGCACAAAGATAAATTTAAAAAATGCATATTACAGTCTTGGACCATTAATTAATTGCAATTAACTACACAATAGGCAATCTAACAACATGCTCATTATACTTAAGTTAAAACAGACTGCAAAACTAATTATATAAAGGATTATTAATTTTTACTGATGCCTTCTTTGTTTGAGTAATGTAACAGATTAAAATTGTATATAATTATAAGTATTTTTATATATCTATCAGTATATATATTCCATCCGTTACCCCAGTACCCCATAATACAAGCCTACAGTAATTAATTTGGGGCTAGGCTAATTGGTGAGTGTTGGAAATATTTATTTATTAGGTCCTTACCACGGAGGAAAAACAAAGAGGAGCTGGCCTAAGCAACTGTGCACTGTGATTTTCAACTAGGTCCTGACGTCATCATTGTGGGCGGGGCCTAAGTCAGTATGCTTTCAGCGTTCGTCAGGTGCACACTTAACGAGACTCGCATTATAAGTGTTTTTTTGCGTTTTTAACAAGAAAAGGATGAAGTTTTGTGTTTTACTATGTCAAAGTTACTCAGACAGACGTTCTGATAATATGGATGGCATCACATTTCATTTGTAAGTAATTTTATACGTAATTAAATATATAACTTCTAGAACATTCTCAGCCTCAGCTATCAGCGTTAAAATTCTACTACTTGACACCAGATGGCGACACTTTTAGGAAGAAAATACACAAGTTTACGTATAATTTTGCAGTAGTATATTGTAATAATCATACGTAAATACTGAAAACTGTTATACACTTATTCCTAAATAACTTTTAGTATCTAAAACAGTAATTTTATCAATATATTACTTACTGGCCGCCATCTATCGTCATATAGAATAACTTTTTAAACGTTACAAATATCCAGGGCCGTAATACGTATTAAATTATTTTACCAAGTAAATAAATTTTAATTATTTTTATGTTCGTTTTAGATTTCCATCCAACAATAATTTAAAACAGCAATGGATTTCAAAACTTAATAGACCGGATTGGACACCATAGAAGAAGAAGATATTTCCATTTTAAATGAATCTTCTGTGCAAAAAATTAATATTAGTGTCGATTCTGGTATAATTCTCTAAAGCTAAACTTAAATTTGACAACAATGTATCTTTGTCATTCTCTATACAGAATGAAAAGGAGAGACTGATGTTAAATTTAGTTTTAAGTTTAGAGAATCACGCCAGAATTGGCATCATTACATCAGAACGTTATCGCATTTTAAATAAAATGAGTTTCGAGTCTTCGGATAGCACGGATGTCGAGCCTATGCCTGACGATATGTTATTGGAATTTGATGAACAATTAAATACAACTATAGGTGACTATTTGCGCCGTCAAATAGTAGCATATATTTCTGGGTATGTGGTCAAATATTTACATTCCAAGATCAAATGTGAGAGCTGTCTCAAAGAATTATATGCTGATAACTACGACGATAGTGACCTTGATTTGATAAAAACTAAAAATAAGGGTGGTCTTACTTTCCCATCTAGAGATGTCATAAAAATATGTATACGGACAGTATTCGTTGTGTTAAATCGCAATCTTTGAATACTCCTAACTTTCGTAAACATAAAATTGTATCGAATACATTAAAATCACTTATTGGACAAGATTGTTTCAAAAAATCGGCCAACCATATGTTTGACCAATCACCTACAGTTAATCATGTTGTATTTCTGATGAATTCGATCGCAGAAAAATATATTGATATTCGTTTTAAGCATTTTGCCACAATACAAAACGATAGGGCAACCAAGCGACAACAACTAACCAAAATTATTATTTACAGGTAATTGATGTTTTTTAATAAAATTATGTTTGTAATAACATTTTGTCTATTATTTTTATACTACCTTAAAATTTAAATCTAAAGAAAATATAACTAGAAAAATATCCACGCGGACCAGGCAGCAGACGGGAGCGGGTGCGGGTTCGAGTCCCGTCTGCTGCCTGGTCTGCCTGGATTTTTTTTCATCAAGCAGTTACATGTTTTAAAATAATAAAAATAATACCTTAAAAATTTTAAAATCGGTCAAATTTGTTAACCTTTATTTTATTTATTTACCTACATAATTCATTTTTTTGAAGCTTCAAGTTCTGAATACGTCCCATTATATACAAAACTTTTGAACATCTAGTGTTAGATAGCTGAACTACTACGTAGTAACATAAATATCAACCTAAGCTAGTTTTGCTATTAGCCGATAGATGAAATATTGAGAAGTGGGCGGAGCTGAACACCCCGCACCCCGCAAATTATCACGCGTCGTTTCTTGAGAAAATTTAATCACCACACCTCCTCTTTGTTTTTCCTCCGTGGTCCTTACCTACATATGAAATTAGCGTTTTGTCGTACTGACCACTTTGATCTGAAATATCTCCTCTTTGGTTAAGAATTCCAAATTCAAATTTATAAATCGATTCAATTATATTAAATTAGCTGGTACATTTGAGTTTAAAAAACAGTCATTCATTTGTTGTTTTCCTCAGTATTTATTTCTTTTGCATTGCTTATTACCGCACAATGGAAAACATGATATATCGGTATATTTACGAGTATAAGTTCTACCGTGGCACCAGTGCTGCAGAAATAACTCGAAGGATTAGTGATGTGTGCTGCGCTGATGTCGCAAAAGAAAGTACGGTACGTTTTTGGTTTTAACGTTTTCGTTCTGGAAATTTCAACCTTCAGAACCAACCACGTGGACGGCGGGAGACAAAAGTGGAAAATGAAGAATTAAAACGTATATTAAGCTAGCAGACCATGGTCGCAACCAGCACATCTAACCTACTGGGTATTTAGTTGCTAATTAGTTACACTATTCCCGATTTAGTTGCTCAATACCTGTTAAAGATGCGAGCGATCTGCTAGATTAAGTCTTAACCTAGCAGACCACAATACTGTATCTTCGGTTCTCGTAAAGACATCGAAGTTCTGCAAACGGCATATTTAGCAACTGCTAATTAGTTGCTGTAGGACAGCATTATTTGTATTATCCCCCCCATCATCCCCTAATTGCCGCACCAGCACCCACACTACCCCCGAAATACGATAAAATTAAAAGGAGCTCATCAGAGAATATAAACTACGGCGTATTTTGTTGCTAATTAGTTGCTGCAAAATAGCGTTGTTTAAAAAATTTTATTTAATAACCCTTAACTCCAGATCATCCCTGCAACCACCCCAGAATAGGACGATATCGGAAAATTCTCGTAGGTGGAAAATAGACGCGGCATATTTAGTTGCCAATTAGTTGCTCGCCAAAAACGCAATTAAGAGTATTCTACAATCATCATCCCCTAACCTCATATCCATCCCCTCTACTCACTTAAAAATAGTAGACGGTTCGAATTTGCACGCATATGTTTAAAACTGCTGGATATTTTGTTGCTAATTAATTGCTGCAAAATAGCGTTGCTTATAGTATTTTATTATCAACCCTTAACTCCAGATCAGCACTGCAACCACCCCAGAATAGGACGATATCGTAAAATTCTCGTAGGTGGAAAAAAGACGCGGCATATTTAGTTGCTCGCCAAAAACGCAAAAAATACGAAAAAGAAACAGAGTAAGGAACGTGCGAAATTTCGATCCAAATTTAATTTTACGTTGAAATAGAGTAGGCATCCTGAGGTAAAGAGATTATTGTAAAATATTTTTATAAACTTAGCGAGCAACTAATTAGCAACAAGATATTCTGCAGTTATACAGGGCGTCCCACGGCAACCTCACACGGAGGGAAAGTATATTAAATATTGAAGATAGGATATTTTACTGAAAGAAGACATCATTTTATTTTTAATAATAACGAGAACTGCATTCACAGTTTTTTTTTAAATCGCCTGTTACAACTGGGATCAAACTTGTGAAATTTCGAAAAAAAAATAACTCATTTTATGATAACTATCGAAAGGGTTAATCATAAGCATTATTTTTTGTTAAATAACATAGCATTTTAAATGAAAGGAATGTCTTATTACGTGTTAAAAATAATAAAGTGTTATACAAACTGAAGTACGTATGCTTTCTTTTTGAACTCACAGTTACAATGCCCATCGCATTGAAATTTATAAAAATAATAATTCAAAAATGGAACACATAAATTCCCCTGCCCCAATGCCCCTTCTCTTCCCGTGGGTGTCGCAAGAAGCGACTAAGGGATATCGGTGCTTTCATTCGCTCTTCTGGTGGTAGGGTGACTAACACCCGCCTGGTTTGTTGCCACCGTGCGCATGGTGAAAAACCCGTGAAGTGCTTGTTGCGCGTTTCGGGGTCAGCCAGCGTACAACAAGAGCTCGAGTGGGGGTTGCCGTGACGGATTCGGTCCACGGGAGGCATTCGTCGAACCGATGCCGGGAGGACTGCATCGACCCGCCGGCCAGGGAGACCCGTAGAAACGGTTGTCCCGCTGGCCGCCCGTGGCACAGTACAGGGGCCCGAGCGTTCCTAACCAGTTCGCGAGGCTGCCCCATCATGTCACGCATAATCTTGAAGTGGACCGTCGTGCCGGTTGGTGACCGGGGCGTGGGGTCCCGGCGGCCACTTCCGGGGGGTGTGGGCGCCCTTCCGTCCGGCGGGTCGGCGTATATCCTCTGCAGGCAATCATTCCGGGAAACAAACCTCCCAGGACAACGTCTGCTCGTTTCAAGTCTCTTTTTCACCTCCATCATGGCAGCCCCTAAAACAAAGTTTGGACGTACAGCGTTGCACACCCCCACGCCTTCAACGCTGTTTGAGGTCGAGTTCTGAAACATACGCGGACTCCACTCTAATGCTGGGGCTACACGTCGACTCTGGTCCCCTGGCCAGAGTCTGCGTGTGCCTCTACAGATCCCACACCGGCGATGTTGAGACGACTCGACTTTTTGCACCTTACTCGGGCAGCAGATGACGCGCAGAAACAGTTTCCCAACGCAGAATTGGTGTTTTTGGGGGACTTTAATGCTCACCACAATTTGTGGTTAAGTTCCTCCAAAACAGACCATGCAGGGATCCCTGCTCACACATTCGCTCTCACACATGACTTGAAGCAACTGGTTGCTCAGCCCACCAGGATCCCAGATATTCCAAGGCAAGCGCCTTCTTTACTGGACCTTCTGCTAACGAGCCATCCTCAGGGTCATCAAGTTGTGGTAAGAGCCCCCCTGGGCCCGTCAGATCACTGCCTGATAACTACCAAAGCACCACAAGCCAATACCCCGCGTCCAGCAGTGGTCTAGCGCCGTATCTGGCACTATAGGTCGGCAGATTGGGACGGTATGCGTGACTACTTTGCGTCCGTTTCTTGGAAGCAGCGCTGCTTCAGTGACAGGGACCTATCGGCCAGTGCCGTTGCCATTACTGAGAGGAGATTATAATGGGTATGGAATACTATATTCCTCATTCTAATCTCATCAGTAAGTGCACACGTAACCTCTGGTTCAATCACGACTGTGCTGAAGCTGCTTCGCGCTCATAAGGATCCCGATGTCGATTCACTCAAAGCAGCCTACCATTTTATTTCCAAGGCCTGTAAGAAGGCTTACATCAGAGCGGATGCCCAGCGCATTGCACGTGTTGGCCAGGAATTTATAACGCACCTTACGGGGTTCCGTAGCTACTGGCGTTTGGCCAAGGCCGTGCAAAAGAACTTCTGCTAGGCCTCGCTGCCACCTCTGAGATGGCCAGACGGAACACTAGCTCATAAGCCACAGGAGAAATTTACTGGCAAAACTCTTTGCGACTAACTCCCGAATCGATGATTGCAATGCGCTGCCACCATCATTACCTCATTGTGGCATAACGATGCCTGATACTAAAATCAGGCAGCGTGAGGTTCGCGCTGAATTGCATTTTCTCGACGTCCGCAAAGCTAGTGGAACTGATGGCATCCCAGCAGTTGTACTTAAAAAAAATTGCAGCTGAGTTGTCTTCCGTGCTCACGCGCCGGTACCAAAGCTCGTATTCTTTGGGGCTATGGTTTTAGACCGAAGCGATCGACGGGTGATCTTCTGGCGTACTTGACTCATATCTGGGGTGAAGCTGTCGACAAGCGTGGCGAGTCGTTGGCTATCAGCCTTGACATTGCCAAGGCATCTGACAGGGTCTAGCACAAAAGCCTTCTCTCCAAGCTTCCGGCGTACGGTCTGCCGGCCCAGTTCTGTTCCTGTGTATCTGACTTCCTGCATGAGCGTAGAATTCGTTCGGACGGTAGTAGTTCGCGGTTCATGACAGTGAATGCCGGCGTTCCTCAGGGCTCCGTCCTATCCCCTACTCTCTTTCTGCTGCATATCAATGACTTAATTCCTCTTGGGAACATTCATTGCTATGCTCGTAGGGTATCTCGGACAAGCAACGGCTGGACAGGCGGTAACCAAGAAAAAACCGGAGAATCTTGTCGTTGAACTCCATCAGACTCTGGACCACATTTCTGAATGGGGTAACAAGAACTTGGTTGAGTTCAATGCTAAGAAAACCCAGGTCTGCGCTTTTACGGCAAAAAGATCGACATTCCTTTTCTTGTCCTTCTCTTCAGGGCACAACACTGGAGTTAGAGAGCAGTATCACCATGCTCGGTATGGAAATTTGCTGTGACTTAAATCCAAAGAATTACATCGAAAGAGTGGTAAAAACGGCCTCACGCAAACTCGGAGCCCTGAACAAGGTGCGGCGCTTTTTCACGCCCGAGCAACTGTGCTTGCTGTATAAGACGGAAGTGCGCTCTTGCGTGGAATATTGCTCTCTCCTCTGGGATGGCTCCGCCAAGTACTTGCTCGATGCTTTGGATAGGTTACAGCGGCGTGCGATCCTCATTAAAAGCGATGAGAAGGTAGCTAAACACCTCGAGCCTCTTCAATTACACCGTGACGTGGAGTCACTAAGCGCGTTCTATCGTCTGTACCACGGCGAGTGTTCTGAAGAGTTATTCTCCCTTATTCCACCTTCCCATTTCCTTCAGAGGACCACGCGCGCTGGCCTACGTTGTCACCGTCTAACTGTGGCTACAATTCCACCGTGTACAAGGAAATTTGGTAACTTATTTCTTTGTCGCACTATCCGTAAATGGTATGCTCTGCCTGCTCACGTGTTCCCTCGCTTCTTACAACCTGGGATCCTTTAAAAGAGGCGTGAAGAAGCAACATGCAGCAAGGTGAGGATGGCTGGTGTGGCAGGTAGAATGGCTGTACCAGCTATTTTCACATCTGGACTTCACGATCACTTAACATCAGGTGGGGTGGAGTCATTTGTCGGACCTACTAATATGTAAAAATAACGATATTAAAAGAAAACAACACTTGAAATATATTTAAATTTTTAACTATATTGTAGTACCTACTTACATAAGTACTTACATTTTAATAAACTGTGATGTTGTGGAGTCTTGACCGACACATACTTGCAAGCACGGATAAGACAAGATACAGTATCAGTCTTATTCTCACTGCCACGAGCCTCCCTTTTTAGTTCTTCATCTGTAAGACTTTCTAATAATGTTGGGATACATTCCTGAAAAATAAAACAATATGGTCTTTTATACTATCTGAATAGGGATATAATAGGATAGGTCTAAGGGTAGTTTTTAAGTTTTTATTACCATTATGTTCTTTTATTGTAACCATGTGATTCCAATTTTAGCCAATAAAGTGCAAACCAAACCAAAAGTGAGCAAAACAAAACAAATTTCTTTTTGTCCATTTCGCTCAATGATATCAAATACTCTAGATACACCACTTGCACTCATAATGCCCCAATAAAGAAGTGCTTGAACACCACTCAAGCACTTCTTGGTTCACAGTCACGCACGGACCGTTGAAAGTCAAGCTGCCGCAGAGCTCCGTAAAAGAATGCGCAAAAGATACTTATAGTATGTAAAGTGCCGTTTTTTCGACAGGTATTTAATCAATGTTTGTTAAACACATTCGAATCAAATTTTGTTCTAATACTTACTATAAACTGATTTAATTGAAAATATTTGTGATATTCAAGTGCATGGTCAGTAATATAGCAGTCTCTTTTACTCGCGGTCCGTACCTGCTATATTGCTAACAGCGCATTATGAATTGCGCGTAGAGTCAAAGAAATAAGGTCTATCTTTTTCCGTATATTTTATTATGTCGTTAAATTTTACGAGCTTGCATTTCAAACTGTCATAACTCTTTGACGCATGGGTTTTGATTAAGACCTTATACAGTATGCATTAAAGGTGACTTTCAATGTTTAAATAATGCCTTATATATTATTTTTCACTACCCAATCATCCGGACCGCCGTGGATCGTCCAATGTACCTTTTGGACAGGTTTCGGGCACGATTTTGTTCGTGTCGATGTATCTAGGGTATTTAATATCGTTGATGTCGCTATCCAATTTTTACACAACCGCCCAAAAAAAAACCCGTAATGTATTCAGGGTCCATGTATAGGGTTTTTCAACAAGAACTTTGTTTTCTAAAACAAGATAAAACAAAAAAATTTGATGAAGATGTTTAAATTTTTTATTGAATTACAAAGAGTAAAGTTCGGCAATTATGAATGAAAAATGATATCTTGCAAATGTGCACCACGAGCACGATGACAGATGTCGATTCTTTCATCAAAGTTTTTAATCACCATTTGGCAAAATGGCGGGACTATTTCGTTAATCACATCACGGATTTCGAGTTTTAAGGCTGCAATCGATTCGATTGTCCCCGTATACACTCTGTCCTTAACATAACCCCACAAAAATTAATCTAGTGGTGTTAAATCACATGATCTGGCTGGCCACTTAACAGCTGAGTTTAGTGAAATTATGCGATCGAGAAATTTGGTTTGCAATAAATTGATCGTTTCATTGGCTGTGTGATATGTGGCGCCGTCCTGTTGAAACCACGAATCACTGATATCCACGTCATCAATAATAGGCCAAAATTCGCCATTTGGTGGTTCTGGATAACCCCAATTGTTGAGAACGTCGCAGAATTGACAAATTTGGATCTGCCTCAACACTGTGGCTCACGGCTGCGATGCTTTCAGTTGAACGACCCGGTCGAACACGCGTTGGTGTTGGCACATTTTATATCGAGCCTGTCGACTCAAATTTAACGACCAAATTCTTAATAGCGGTCTCAGAAGGACGATTATGTTGTCCGAAAATATCACGAATTTGACAAAACTGTAACAGAACCGCTATTTTCATAGTGGATTTTAATTATTTTAATTCAATATTCAAGTAAAATTGAATTCATTGTAACAATTACCAATGCATCTTCTACGAATACGTCAAAAAACTAAATGTGAAAACTATCATATTGTTGGTGTAGCCACAATTCAAAAACAAAGTTCTTGTTGAACAACCCTATATATGTTCCACCACATTTTCTAAACTCCTGAACCGATCTAGATGTGTGTGGTATCGCTGGAATAGTTTCACCATCCCGGGAAAATTAACAAACAGTTTTCTAATTATTACTGGTATCATTCGAAAGGTCTTAATGAGACCATATCAAATAGATAAAAATAGAGTAGCATTAATAAACGGGTTTACCGGTAAAACGAGATAAATACCAGTTTTTTTTTACCATTTTTTTTAACGGCAGTCGTGTTTATTAATTATTCCTGTTTGGGTCAACAATAAAACCTTAGATCCAACATCAGCGCTAAAAATATGTGCCGAACATAGTGCATAAACTCCACATAAGCGCTACTATTCGCTAAAAATCGTCGCGCACGGACCTAGGGTTGATTCAAACTGGAATAGTAGCGGTCTGAACGAAGCGGGGGCGAGCGCTTTCCACAACGATATTAAATACCCTACATACCTACACCAACACGAACAAAATCGTGCCCAAAACCTGTCCAAAAGGTACATTGAACGATCGACGGAACCCCGTAAGATGATCGCGTAGTCAAAAGCAATATAAGGCATTATTTAAATATTGAAAGTAACCTTTAATACATACTGTATAAGGTCTTAAATAAAACGCATGCGTCAAGGACTTCTGACAGTTCGAAATGCAAGCTCGTAAAATTTTACGAATTATTGCTATATGCGGAAGAATTAAGATCTTGTTTCTTTTACTGTACGCACAATTCTGAACGCGCAATTAGCCATATAGCAGGCACGGACCGCGAGGAAAAGAGACGGCTATATGACGATGTATAACCGACCATGCATTTGAAAATCACAAATACTTTATATTAAATCAGTTTATGGTAAGTATTAGATCAAAATTTACTTCAAATGCGTTGAATTAACGATCATTGACTAGATACTTGTCTAAAAAACAACACTACGTACTCTAAGTATTATTTTCGCATTTTTTCGCGGAGCTCTGTGGCATCTTGACTTTGTAACGGACCGCGCGTGACTGTGAACCAAGAAGTGCTTCAGTGGAGTTCAAGCACTTCTTGACTGGGACACATTTTGACACATTTTATCTACACATTTGAGTAGATACCGCGGTGTCGTGAGCGGGTGGCACCCTTCGGGGCGGTGTAACTACTTCGAACTTTTCAAGCGATACTAATCTTTAAAGTATGTAGATAAAGTTTCATATTATTTTCTCGTCGCCGCCGTATCGCTGCCATTCCGGTTTGAATTGGACCTAAGTTAACACGCCAAAGAGCTCAGTGAAAAATGCATATAGAAGTTAAGACTTTTGTTTTCAAATCTATGTTTGTTAATATATAACACAGTTGTAGCAAATTTCGTTCTAAAACTTAATACATACTGTTTTAATAAAAATACTTTCTGGACAGTTGTGTAGTCGTAACAATCCCTCGCGCTTAATGACATGATATCTTATTACTTACTATTCTACTTTAATAGCGCATTCAGAATAAAGATCTACAGTTATAGAATTAAGTTCTATATTCTTTACCGCCTATAGCGAAGGCGTAAATTTTTACGAGCTTGCAGTTCGAACTGTCACAACGCTGACGTAAGCGTTTAAATTAATACCTTATATCCCTTGGCCTTATAATGGTGACTTTATATTCAATTAGTGCCTTGTATTATTTGAGGCTAAGTGATCATTCAATGTAGGATTTTTAATAGTTGATTTGGGGATCACACTAGGAGCTATTCCTTCCGCTTCAAAAATGATTCGTTTCGCTCTCGGCGCAAGCCGCGCTTTGGAAATAGCGTAGTTTTATGACTAGCGCACATTATGCTGGGCCGCAGCGGGTCGTATCGCTGCGCAAAAATCCGCTCAAATAGGTCGTATTTTATAAGAACTATCGCACACTATACCGGAGCAAGCGAATTGAAGTGCATGCAGTTGCACGGCCGCCTAGCAGTACACTGTACCCAAAATCCGTCAATGCTCTACGACCCTGCCCGTCACTAATGTGCTATTCCTAATATATGCGATCTTTTATGGTAACGGACATTGTCAAGGCTGGCTAGTGAGAGGTAAAAGTGCGAGAGTTGGAGATGGCTTTGCCACAAGGCATACAGAGTAAGAAGAGTAATAAACAATTACACAATTATTTATAGACAATGTTAATTCTCTGAATAAAGGCTACAAACCCATCATCCTGTGTGGGGAATGGAACAAAGCAACTACAGAGGTAACCACTTATTTGAATTCCTCCTGACTAGTAACCTAGAGTTAATCAACACAGGCAATGAACCTACCTTCGTAGGCAGACGGTGCAAGACCATCATAGATCTGACCCTCGCGACACCAAAAGCGGCAACAGCTATATCTGGCTGGCATGTCTCCGATGAGGCATCATGCTCAGATCACCGCTGGATCCGCTTCACACTACAGGTAGGATCTCCTACACCCCATAGGTATCCACGGAAAACCGATAAACACCGCTACGCACAACTACTGGCGGACCTTCTAAGACACAACTCCGGCAAGGGCAGAATTGAGACCACGGAGCAGCTAGAACAACAGGTAAAACACTTGACAGACAGCATAATGCGTTGCTATGAAGAGGCCTGCCCCCCTTAGACTCTCGAACTCAAGAGTATCCGGAAAACACCACTGGTGGGGGCCGGAGCTCGAGAGATTGAGAGGGAAGGTGAGGAAGTGCAGAGCAATGAATACATGCAACGACACAGACTGGGACAACTACAGAGCTATTAAAGCTTAGTACAAGAAACGTATCAGATACTGGAGAACAGCCTCCTGGAGAAACTTCACCGAGTAGATAAGCTCCACCAACCAGGCAAACCGGGTAAGGAAATTGCTGGTCAAGCAAGGCGTGCTGGGAAGCCTGCGTGACTGGCGTGCTGGGAAACCGGGTAAAACCGACTATACTAACCCTAAATCCTTCAGGCCCATTAGCCTAACGACCTTCTTACTTAAGACGATGGAAAGGCTATGCGACAGGTACCTACCCAGTGGAGCATTAATCAATGCCCCACTACATAAACACAAACATGCCTACAGTTCAGGTAAATCTACTGAATCGGCTCTCCATCAGTTACTTAAGATAGAAGAAGCCCTTCAAAATAAACATATCTGCCTCGGAACCTTCATCGATATCGAGGGCGCTTTCGATAAGATCAACTTTGAGCACCAGCATTGAGACTGCTCTCAGAGAACATGGAGTGGAGTAACAAATCATTGACTGGACACTTAACATGCTAAGCAATAGAATAGTTCGGGTAAAAGGTGAGGACAGCAAAGGAGCACTGGTGACACGAGGATGTCCGCAAGGATGGGTTCTTTCGCCACTTCTGTGGAACCTCGTAGTTGACGACCTGCTGATCAAGCTAAACTCGTACCACTACTACACCATAGGGTATGCAGATGACATTACTATACTTACCCTAGGCATCCACGCCAGTATTACCTGTAACACCATGCAAGGTGCTTTGAAACTGGTTGAATGCTGGTGCAGGAAATACGACCTCACAGTTAATCCAACTAAAACAGAGCTGGTAATGTTTACAACCAAACGTGACGTTGGTGTTTTCAACTTGCCGAAGCTGTTTGGTACCACACTACAACTGTCGAAGGAGTTAAAGTATCTAGGCCGTATACTTGACAGTAAACTAAACTGGAACTAACCATGTAGAACACAAAATCAAGACAGCCAGCGTAACACTTTGGCAATGCCGTCAAATGTTACGGAGGCGTTGGGGTCTTGCACCAAAACTGTTCCTATGGTTATATTACACAGTCATACGACCAATGGTAAGTTATGGCGCCATCATATGGTGGCCGAGATCTACCCAGACTACTTGTGTCAATAAACTACAAAGCTTTGGACTTAGACCCCACTTTCAAAGATCACCCTTTGGTTATACACAGCAGTTATCAGGCCCTCTATAACCTATGGTTCAGTTATTTGGTGGCCCAGGACCCAACTGACCACAGTGAAATCCAAACTCCAAAGTCTATAACGCTTGGCGAGCGTAGCAGCAACTGGATGCATGAGAACAACTCCATCGGCTGCATTAGAGTACCTCATGAATTTAAGACCATTGGACCTGGTCATACAAGAAGATTCGAAAGCAGCAGCCTTGAGAATAAAATCTCTAGGATTATGGAGATTAAATACTGTAACAACACACTCCAATATTCTACAAAAGTGCACGAAGGAGATCCCACTCCTGGAGGCACCTATGGATAGAATATTGAGTCAACGCGTCTTTGATCGAAGATACAACATCCAACTTACCGCGGAAAAGGCAGATTACTCTGGCGCCGGGGAAGTTAGGATATACACTGATAGCTCCAAAACCAACAGTGGTACTGGAGCCGGTGTCTTCTCAAACGACCTGAATATAAAAATATCTACAACCTTAGGCAAACAAAGCACAATCTTCCAGGCGGAATGTATTGGCATTACCAGTGCCGCTGCACAGGCGGTTGCAGCCAGAGATATCAAAGAGTATAACATCAAGATCATCTCTGACAGTGCATCCGTGCTTCAAGCCCTACGTAGCAACACAATAAACTCTGTCCTAGTAATGGAGTGCCACTGGCACTTCAATTGCGGTTAGCAAAACGGTAACTCTGCAATGGATAAAAGGACACAGCAGCTCAATTGGAAATGACGCAGCAGACGAACTGTCTAAGAGGGGAGCAGACGCAAAAGTGTATGGTCCGGAACCTTTGCTGCCCATACCTCAGGCCCAACTTAAAACGTGGCTGCGTGAAATAACTCAAAAATCACAATTGACGGAGTGAAAAACAGGTGAAGGATGCCGGCAAACGAAAAACGCGATTCCGGCGGCAAATAAAAGTTTTGCCCGCACCCTTACCAGACTAAATAGGGACAAACTTCGCAGGATTATAGGATCCCTGACTGGTCATTGTCCCCTAAACAAACACCTATATACAATAGGAGTAACGGACAGCCCCCTATGCAGAGGATGCATGGAGGCAGAAGAAACTGTGGCCGACCAACGGGCACGACTTCTCCAGTCACCAGAATCGTTTCCGGAAGCTTGCAGCAGACTACCAAGGTTGCTTTCCTTCTGGACCGATATAGGCTGGCTGGAGTAAACGGGAATGTTTTTGAGATACGCACAATAGTCCAATAATTAGGACTAAGTGCGGAAACCGCCCTGAAGAACTAACGAACTAAACTACAAAGTTTTCAGCGGCATATATGCAGCGCGGTGACAGGGTGCATGAGTACGGCTCCAACCGCAGCACTGGAAGTTATTTTAAACATCATACCGCTCCATATCTACATAAGACAGGAAGCGGCTAAAACAGCGTTGAGGCTACAAAAGTTTGGATTGGTAAGGTTCGAAAGAGCAAGGCATCTCAACGGTATACTGAAAGAATGAGTAAACACTCCGCTCATAGAAGCGGCATGTGACAAAATAATACCCGCCTTCATATTTGACAAAAAGTACATAATACATCTACTGGATGACAACGATCCAAAGATAACACACAAGGCTCTCATGATCTACACCGACGGCTCTAAAACCTCATCAGGCACGGGCGCGGGTGTTTTCTCTGAGGACCTCAATATACACATCACTTTCCCCTTAAGCACGTACAACACAGTTTTGCAAGCTGAATGTATGGGCATCACACTAGCGGCAAGAGCGATCCTCTCAAGAAAGGTAACAGGAGAGGAAATACGAATACTGTCCGACAGCAAATCAGTCCTACAAGCTCTAGATGCATGTTTAGTCAAATCGAGCCTCCTACAAGAATGCCACCAAATCTTAAACATGGTAGGGTCAAGCAATTCTATTACTATCCAATGGATTAAGGGACACAGTGGATCACGCGGAAACGACGCTGCGGACCCCACAGGTCCCGAACCAATCGTCCCGATACCGCTAAGCTGTCTCGTCAATAAAATCCGCGAGCACACAGCGCACTAAACCAGCAACACTGGCTCGATCTGGGGACGTGCAGGCAGACGAAGCTCGCTTTGCCACGGGTGAACGCTGCCTTCTCCAAAACTCTCCTACAGCTAAGCAAACCTACATTGCGCTTGGTAACAGGTGCTATTACTGGACATGCACATTTTAACAGACATCTTTTTAACTTAGGTGTCACGGACAGCCCCCTATACAGAGGATGCATGGAGGCAGAAGAAACAGCTACTCACGTTCTGCTGGAATGATCGGAGTTGCCGAATACCGAATGAAATACCACGGCTCACCGGTAAACCTTCAAGAGGCAGTCACCAATGTGAAGGCCCTGGGGGAGTTCCTGGCGGAGCTGGGAGTGATTCCGGCTATACACCCTCCTCACGCAAAACAGGCGTCATAAGGACGTCGAGTTGCGGAAACAACCGTAGCAAGAAGAAGAAGAGAAGGCTACAAATAAATCATTTTTTTTAACAAAGTACATACCAGAACAGGTAACAGGTACGTAGTGACAGTGTGTGGCGTGAGTAAATCGTGGCAGAGGCCCAGTGGTCTTAATAGCTGCCATACAGTAGCAACCCGCGTTTCCCCACTAGTAGACTGCTCCAGTGATGACGGTTGTTCATTACGAGAAGGTGTTAATATCTATAATATTAAAAATAAAATAATTAAATTGACAGTCTTCTGATTTAACCAAATGCCCACTACACAGTATCATACAGTAGTACATACCACGACCGTGCTATGAACGTGTCAGTCAAAAAAATATTCTTTGTATTAAAATGTATGAGACAATGCCTACTAGCCAGTTCCGCTACCGACCAGCACCGTCGCGTGCCATGCACGGAGCGGCTACTATTGTCGGCGAGAATATTTTGCCGGTGCCGATACGCTCCGCGCATGGCACGCGACGTTGCAAAACCGATGCGCGCAGGCAACAAAACGGTGACTTTACGGGTTAGAACCGCGTATGATGACCGTTATATAGGCGTCTTAAACGCCGGAAGTAATGAAAGAACTTTTCTACATCTTCAACTAAGTGCTTAAACAACGTCCAAAATTCTCCTTCAGTTTTTCGTTCTTTTATAGAATCGTGAATCCAGTAGTGTCGAGTGGTTTTTTTGATTCTGTTCTTCTTCCTCATCCAATATTATGGCAATCATTGCCAGTCTAACAGTTAATGTTTTAATAGCCATACCTATTGTATTTAAAACTTGATAGCACTCTGCAGACATCCATTCATTATCTATACACAGGTAAGAATGAAACGGCTTCTTATCGATTTTGGTGAAGACGTCATACAAATTACGCAAAGGCAACATATGGGTTGCATACGGGCATCATACAGGGTGCACACCGGCATCATACGGGGTGCACACCGTCGATCCGTTTCAGTGGGCATAGGAAGCCGTTTCGTGTCAGTTTCCATGTTTGATGCGGTCCTAGCACATTCATGGTATGAAACGGTGTAGTCGGTAGAGACCTTTACTTTGAAACTTTGCTATTAAATAATAACTTAAACAAAAAACTGCACTCACATCACTGCTCTCCGAAAGCATTGGCACAATGTCAACTTCATCAACTTTTATGTTTTGAATGTCTTCACTTTCCTTTTCAGCCGTCTCTGCAGATACTTTCTCCTTTGAATTCATTGACGCTGTTAGATCAGGCTTTTGAAAACCCATTATTGTTTCAAATCTCTCCCTAAGTTTCACGAAACCTCCAGCTTGACCAAAACTGTTTGTGAATGCATGAAAAATACAAAAAAAAATTAGTCTAAGCTATCAACATTACATATAAAACAATGAGTAAAAAAGACTTACACATTAATCAGATGAACAAGCCACCCCCTTGGTGTGCGATGGTCCTGTGATTTGGCAAAAATCTCTGGCTCCTGCGTTGATCCTTGCCCTATAGAAGCTGAACTAGTGGCAACCGATAGGCCCTCAGACGTGCGTGATGCGTTAAATATGTGAAACCTATAAAACATTTAATGTTGTAAGATTTTTTTTGTACATTTGTGTCAAATATAAGTACCTAGGCTGTAATTGTAACAGAAAATGTAACTTACTTATTGTTGGGGTTGAATACCATAGACAATAAATGTAGAAATCTTGGATCATCTAACTTCATTGCACACAGCTTGACCAACTTCTCACAATTAGATCTAACACACTGTTGAATATTGTTTTTCCAAGAAGATACGGCATCATCAGTAAGAATTTTAGTAAAGGATAGTGTAAGGGCATCATTGTAAAATCTCTGGCACAATTGGTTATTTCCATCTTCCCCTGCACAAAAAGCAATCACCACATAAGAACAATATAAATTAAAAACAATTAATCAAATTATTCTTAACCCTTAATGCTTTTCTACCCTTTGCAGCAAGTTCTGTAGCAGCAACAAGCAAAGCTTCTAATTCTTGTTCTGGCAAAACAGGAACAACCCATCGGGAATGTGATATCTTCTCTTCTAATGCTTTTAATTTTGCCTCGGGGAACACCATCTATAACAGTAGTTATGATTATGTAAATGGAATAAAAACTTCAGAATGGAATACCTGTGCAGCAGAAAACACAGGCAAAGTAGTAGTCACACAGCATTCAGGGGTTATCTAATGAAAATAAATAATTTACCAATGTTTACGTATCACCTTAACTCAAATGTAAGGCCTTATATCTAGGACCCAAATTATTTGCTCTGCAACTAATCCCTTACAGCTTTGGATTTTCATTTTTATTGCCATAATTCATACAATGAAATAATGATTTAAACTTGGCTTTAGTGAAAATACACAGACCCTATAAAAATATTAAGTGTTTAAACACCTATACATAAAGACCTGACTCTATTCCAGATAGAAGAGGAAACAATTAACATCCTCATATTACAAATCAACATTCGCATATTGTGTATAAATGTTATTATGATGAAACATTACTACACAATATGGAGATTAGGAGCATTTAAAAATATCTTTCTATATTTCTACAAAAATACATCTTAATTTGTTTCATTCTTTTATTGTATTTCTACTTTTTACCCAGCTAGCATTTCATAACACAAGGCTTACAGTGCTTGCTTAGAGGCTAGGTTATTTGGGGTAGGTATAGAACAAAAAAAGACATATTGCCTTATGTAAAGTAAATAAATAAGATTGAGTGGGTCTTGCTGGTTGACACACTGAAACTGGTCAAGAACATAGAACAGATCTACTCATAGTGAAAAGGAAAACTCATTGCAGATTATATATTAATAAAAAATAATAGATTTATTGTTTCCTTAAACATACAAATACTTTAGAGTAATAATTTATTTAACCAGATTTTTTACTGTATATAATATAATAGGGTAATAAACAATAGTAGTAATATATTGAAACCATCAATTATGTGAATCTGTATTTAAGATTTCCATTTATATATTTAAACTAAATTGGCAATCACAAAAGTTAATGGCAAATGCATTCTCTCGAGTCAACCAGTATTTATAGATCACTAAATGAAGCTTAATAAAATTTTCTAATTCCTTATATCATTTGCACTAAAGATTGTTTTTTTTTAATAATTAGGGAAATATTAGAAAAAAACCTTTTTCATAAATATGTTCCATACATCATATTTTATAAGACTGAAAATATGATTATAAATAACAAGGCAATGAAAAAAGATCAAACACTCACTTCCCCAGGCACTGGATCTTGTTCTTTCATTGAAATTGTCATTATTTTATTGTGAAATCATTCATTGCCTCCCTGAAAAATTGTAGATACTATGTTAAAATTTAAAGAAACTGGATTATTGAAAACATAATTTGCTAAGTCACTAAAATGACTATAAATATCATAGACAAAAGGAATATTGATTTGAAGTATACCAGCCTTTATTACAAATAATTTACATGAATTAGTTCATAACTAAAACATTTTCAGTGTATGAATAACTTGGATCGGGAAATAGAGAAAAGTAAATCGTTCCAGGTAAATACATATTAGATATCTTAAATGTTCATGTTTCAAGACCAATATTTCTTAAGTGAGTAACCAATTTGGTTGCTTCTGCTTGTGACAAATTATATCGAGGCGGATTTATCTAATTAAGTGCTTGACACATCAAAAGATTTTTAAAATAATAATTCTAGCGATCAGCCGGCGCGACAAAATGGCGTCATATCCCTAAACAAGACGAAGTAAAAATACGGTGTTTTTATTGATTTGAAAGGCAAAATCATTTGCATTATGTATTCATTATAACATGTACTCACCCTTATTCTCGACATATATCCAAATTTACAAGTAAATCTTTGAACAAAATCACAAATAGAAATCACTACACCTTTTTGACGTAAGAAACGAAAATAGATGAAAAATACTTAGGCTACCAAAACTGAAACTGACCAATGAACATGATTTAGCCCTCGTTCACACGAGCGCTTGTTGAACGCGATTAATTTTACTATAACAAATATTTAAGAAAATTCGGTTCTATAGTATTAGAAGCATTAAAATAGTAGACTTGTATATAATTTTAACTTCACAATGTTCGCAGCAAACATATAGTGCTTATAAAAATATGCACACTTAATAGTATTTCGCTTTACTATAAATGGGTAAAAATGGAAAGCGTTGCGTAAAAAAAAAAGAGTATGCTTAAGACCACACGACTAAAGTGAAACTTGTTTACTGTATGTATATATTATCATATCATACAGCTTACTCCCTAAGTCAAGCGTGCGTAAAGAAGTTTCACTTCAAAAGCTACCACCGCCGGAGAAAAAATAATTACGACTATCATGTTACAACTGCAACCCTCTTCATTACACCAATTAAAAGGGTGTCATGTGAACAAGGCCATGACCTAAACAACTCATGACCAAGATCGACCGAAAAACCAAAACCCTGATCAACCAAGAAAAATATGGACATTATGGACGACTATGTGATGGATGATGACATGACGAAGCCTGTTAAATTAAGTGCTTTGTTTATGCACGTTGAAAAGATTTTGGAATAAAACCAATGGGTGCAGAATTTTAGTATTCGTATCGTATTCACTAGCGTTTTTCTTAACGAGATGATTTTTTATCGGTAGTTTTATATTTTATGCTCTGAGGCCCAAGCACGAGCTTTTGATAGCTCCGTAACGTAATGTCATCGTCATACTTTGTATGGAAAAAAAACTAGTTAGTTCTTACGTCTGATAAAGGCGCTGCTTAGTTTTCATAAAAGCTTTGCGATGCAATATGCTACGCAGCTGTCATAAATTCGTGCTTGGGATTTTGAAATTAGGAGTTTCTGACAGGTGTACAAAAGCGCTCGTGTGAATGAGGGCTTACAACGGTCTTACCATAGACACCCATTCTTTGTCTATGGGACTTACAGACTTGGGGAGTAAGCTGGCGAACACGTTACGAAAAGTGTGATCGGGCGAGGCGAACGGGAGTTAAGTGGGGGATATAAACAAGAGAAAGCAGTGCGTGCGCACATTATCTTTCTCTTATAGCTAGTAAATGAAATATGTATATGTACATACATGTATACATTACACACACACATATATATATATATATATGGAGCTAAAGAAGTTTCACTTCAGTCGTGTGGTCATAAGCACACTCGAATTTTTGAAAGACGTTCGTTGATAAAGTTATGACTTTCCATCATTGTGCCGCTATGGATTTGACTTTTGCAATCGAGCCCCAGCACCTGAATTATAACTATAAATTGCAATAAAAAGCGACGTCAAAGAAACGTACGAGTTAGATATAGTTCAGTCGAAAGCGTTAAGAATAATAACTGGTGCTATCCAGATCCAGCCCAATAAATGCATTACAAATTGAAACTTGTGAACCCCCACTTAACATTAGACGTCAACTTCTTGCTGACAGATATCTATTCCGTTTACTTCAATTTTCCAACCATCTACTATATAAAAATAAGTCGGGTTTTCCTTCCTGACGCTATAACTCCAGAACGCACGAACCGATTTCCACGGTTTTGCATTCGTTGGAAAGGTCTCGAGCTCCGTGAGGTTTATAGTAAAGAAAATTCAGGATAAATTTAAAAAAAAATCGTTTTCTTTTAATCACAAAACGAAATGTTACATAAAACGAAGCTATCTGGTGGCGAAACGGAGTTCGCTAGGTTTGCTAGTCCTCTTATAAATGTTCTTTGTTCTTTGAATGAAGAAATGAAATCAGCAAGTTACTGGACACACAAATCTCTCTCATGTTTGATAGTTAGTTATCGAAAGTATGTAAGTATACAATCACCTACACACCGATCAAACCATCTTCCCATTTTTACTATTGACTAAGATGCCTTAGAAATAGCACCAACATAGAAGATGCAATATTTTTATTTTTGTTTTCATTTTAAAGAATTCCATGTAGAATAAACCACAGATACATTAAAAAAATGTGTGCGTGTACTAGTGTACACAGGTAAGAAATGAAACTTCTTTATGGCCTTATTTTTTTCGAAAAATGATCTACATGCAACTTTCCAGAAATATACATATAGGCGTGCGCTAAGATTTTTCAAAAACACACCCACTAAAGGGGTATAACTACACCTTACCTTACCTTACCTTACCTACCTTACCTTACCTTACCTTACCTTACCTTACCTTACCCCCCCCCATGTGGAGTGGCCTTGCCGCGGCGGGGGGGCTTGCGGGGGAGGACCTATTCCTCCCTTTACCAACGGCTCCACAACCTAAGTCCTCGGCGGGACATTTGCCCGGAGGCACCTGAGTCCTGCATTTGCCCGGAGGCAGGCCATGGCGGGGCATTTGCCCGGTGGTAACCAGTTCCCCGAGAGGAGAGCTGCTTTACGGAAGGACTTAGCGCCAGTCCCTCGGTCCGCAACTTGTCCTACCATTGACAACGACCCCATCCCAGCGCTCATGGTGGTAAGTCATTGGTCGTGGACAGGCCGGAGGCTTGCCTTAACCGGCCGGCCGCGACAAGGAAAAGTCTGTAAAACCCGAGAGAACACTCGTAAAACCCTGTAGATACCTGGCGACCTCTACAGTATGTAGCCTCTCCTCCGGAATGGGCGTCACCCGGAGGAGTATAATCTATCGACCCTACTCGTGGGATAATAATGGAGACGAATAATTTAAAACTTAAAAACCAAAATACCGATAACCCCCCAAATACACGACCCTTGGCAACAGCAATGGACAACCGTACACAGCAAAACGTGACGAAAAGCCCAACATCTAATATTGAGGTGCAGAAGGCACCAGAAGTAAAGAAAATAGCAGTGAAAGCAAAACCTAGCAGGACGCCTCTTGGTCCCATACCAGAGCCTATTTTACCTGCTCACCCTTCTCGAGATGACTTTTACAGAGTAATAAAGGCACACAGCGCAAACATACAGAAACAACTCAGGGCATCACACTCTGTAAAAGCTACACAGCGCGATTCTGCTATAACCTCTGCTGCATATATCAGCACGCTAATTGAAAAACTACAATGCGTGCCTGAAGCGATACCAATGGCATCGAGTTACACTGAAGAAGATTTATCGGCAGCACCATCGCAAATTACTCCCAAACAATCCACAGAACAGCAACCTACTCTTACATCGGAGCTCGCTCCGATATCAACAACCGGAGATGAGATAAACATAAAGACCATGGCGAAACGTGATGACCGAATCCTTAATGAACTTACACAACTTCACAAGAAAGTGGATGAGCTGACCGGGCTAACACGAAAACTCGCGCGACCAACCAAAACATTCGCCGAAGCAATGGCAGCTAGCCCCTCAGCAAAATCTACTACTACCAGCGGAAAACCCATCAAAAAGAGGGACCCCCCTATAACACCATCGATGAATAGGCCCTGCCTGATCGTTACCATGAAGGACCAGCCTCTACACAAAGAACAGGTACTCAAAGCATTTAAGAGGAGTATTAACTTTACTAAAGTCAGTTACGCACCGGCGGGTGTGTCTCATCTCTCCAACTTCAAACTGCGTGTCGAGTTTGATACGGCACAGCAGAGGGACGAGACATTAAACCGATTGAAGGGTGCTTCAGAGATATCCGCTGAGCTTCCTAAGGTACTCCAACCTATGTTTATCTTGAAGGGTGTATCAAGGGACACAGCAGCGGAATCTCTGGTTGAAACCATCAAAGTCCAAAACCCTAGTGTTGGAGAAACAATAAAAGACGAACAGTGTCTCAAGCTACACTTTACTCGTAAAAATCGCCACGAAAGTCGGTATAACGCTGTCTTTATGGCTGCCCCAACGGTGTGGCATGCCATCATGAAAATCGACAGGGTTAATGTCGACCACGAAAGGGTGTATGTTACTAATTTCTCTCCGTTCCTACAGTGTTTCCGGTGCCTGCAGTTTGGACATACGCGGGCCAACTGCAAAAGTGAGACCAGCGTGTGCTCACACTGTGCGGCTACCGATCACACTTTCGAGAAATGTCCCTCAAAAAGTGATAACGCGCTAAGAAAATGCCACAACTGCACCCAGCACAACAGCAAGTTCAACAAAAAAGCCAACACAGGACACGCGGCTACGTCCGACGACTGTCCTAGAATTAAATCACTCAGACAGAGAATCAACCTAAAAATAAACTTTAATGGATAACAAAGCCCAGAAAATTTATATAATCCAATGCAATGTAGGACGCAGCTACCAGTGGCAACACGAATTTGTACACTATTTCATGACTCACAACAAATATATAATAGCTTTAGTAAGTGAACCATATGTAGGTAACAGCAATGTTGTCAAGCAAATTCCAGGATTAGACGTGATACAGTGCCCAGATACATCAAATAGTCCAGTTAAAGCCTGCATTTTTATTAAATCCAAATATTATAATCCAATTCTCCTGTCGCAATATTCTACTCCTAACATCACAACCATCAAACTTACCTTTAACAGTAAAGAATATCTTATTTCATCCGTTTATGCAGAGCCTAATAATGACACTAACAATACATTAGACATGATTGACTACACACTCAAAGCCAACTCGAACAGGTGCTGTATTGTCGGTGGGGATCTGAACGGTTGGCAATCTCTTTGGGGAAGCCTCAGAGACAACCCCAGGGGGCGCGACATCGTTGGACTCGCTTATGCAAACGACATGCATATTTGCAACACTGGTAACGAACCGACGTTTGAAGCAGTCACACATGGGCTACTTCGAACATCAATCATTGATATAACCCTAATAAGCGAGGAATATCAAGAGATGGTCACCAACTGGAAGGTTAATCGAGACGCTGCTCCATCCTCTGAGCACAACGCCGTCGAATTCGTCCTCACAATACAGAGTCAAAAACCATCAAGCCGCACCAGCGATTCCACCTTTTGCTACAGAAGTGACAAGGCGAACTGGACCGAGTTTCACCGCATCCTCACATCCACAATGGTATCCAAGAACCTCCTTGAACTCGACACTGAAACAATAACTACTGAACAGATTGATAGAGTCATAGATGACATGGAAGAAGTTATAAATAACGCCTGTCTAAACTCTATGCCTATACGTAGGGGTCAACCAAAACCAAAAGCTCCATGGTGGTCAGAACGGTTAGAAGATCTAAAAACACGAACTATCCAAATACATCACAAAGTTAGCTCACTCAAAAAACGGGGACTCTCCATGGAGGAGGTGCTCGAAGAACAAAGGGCGATCAAAGAGGAGTATGCTCGAGAGATGAGAGAAACCTCAACCAGGCATTTTCGAGAATTCTGCTGCCGCCAAGGCAGGGAAGACGTGTGGTCGGTTACCAACCGACTCCTAAAAACTGGGAAAGCGAGGACGGCACCTGCTACACTAAAGGTTGGCAACACCCACACCTCCAATGCGAGGGAGTCTGCGGAGGCTCTCCTCAATCACTTCTACCCCGAAGACTCTTCTGACACACGAACCAGACATCACCTTCTTAGGAATACCATAGGCGAGCTACCTAATAGCAATAATGATGAACCTTTTACACAAGCAGAAGTTCTTGAGGTGATCGGGCAAATGAACCCCAATAAGGCGCCTGGGGACGATTGCCTAACGGCAGACATTGTTGCTGCATTCTGCCGAGAGTACCCATCGTTCATCACGAGCATATTAAACAGGTGCTTAGAGCTAAGCTACTTCCCAGCTCGTTGGAAGACGGCAGTAGTAAAGATAATCCCAAAACCCAGGAAAACAGATCACACTGCTCTTACTTCCTATAGACCTATCGGGCTTATACCAGTTTTCGGCAAGCTCTTTGAAAAGCTTGTCACTAATCGTATTGTTTTCAGAGCGGATCGCGACAATCAGTTTAGTCCGCGACAATTCGGATTCAGGACACAAAAATCAACAATTCAGGCAATTAGTACATTCATCACAGAAATAAAAAAGCGAAAAAAGGAAAAAGAACTGGTGATCGCGATCAGCTTAGATATACAAGCCGCATTTGATAATGCGTGGTGGCCAGCGCTATTTCATAGGCTTAGACAAATTAAATGCCCACGTAACCTATATTTAGTCCTTAAAAGCTACTTCAAACAACGCACTGTCAAAGTTACTTATGGAGGAGAAATGGCAACCAAGACCATGACAAAGGGGTGCGTCCAGGGATCGGTATGTGGCCCCATAATGTGGAACCTCATCCTAGACGAATTGCTGAATCAGGTGAGCCTCCCCACCGGCTGTCACATTCAAGCCTTTGCCGATGATGTCCTCCTGGTTACCTCTGCATCAACCATCCAAGACCTGGAAATAAAAACCAACACTGCATTAAAAATCATTGATACGTGGGGAGAAGACGTCAAGCTGAACTTTGGCCCTTCCAAAACTCAGCTTGTCGCCTTTACCCCAGCGGCTAAACAGGCAAATATAACCATGACTGGTCAAACACTCAACTTCGATACCAAAATGAAATATTTAGGCATGATCATAGATGAAAAGCTTACCTTTAATGAACACTTACAATACGTTACCGATAAAGCTCTCAAACTACACAAATGCTTAAGCATCTTTACGAGAGCCACCTGGGGTCCCCATCCTGAAAATGTCCGGACTATTTACAACCAAGTGGTTGTTCCAATAGTGACATATGCCGCTGGTGTTTGGGGTGAAGCGGCAAATAAGGAATACGTCCGCACCAAGCTCGACAGCCTGCAGCGACTTTTCGCGATCAAGGCCATCAGAGCTTTTAGGACCGTCTCCACTGTTGCGGCAACTGCGCTCGCCCGCATGACACCTCTGCACCTAAAGGTGAAAGAGGTCTGGCGCATTGAGCAAGTTCGCCTCACAGGAAAGACGGAAATGCTCCCGGACGACATCGAAATGGAACAGCCGACACCCGCACACCAACTGCTACCGCCTCCCAATAGAATAACAGTTGAATACAAAACTGCCACCAATGACCAGGAAATCGACCGCATTTGCCCGCCAGGATCCACCAGGGTGTATACCGACGGAAGCAAGCTCGACACCGGGGAAGTGGGAGCTGCTTTCGTCGCGTGTCACCCGGAGCAGAAACACCTCCAAATTACCCGAAAATTTAAGCTACACTTCACGTGTACAGTATTTCAAGCGGAACTGCTCGCTATCCACCGAGCCTGTCAGTGGGCGCTGGGCTCCCGATCAAACGCATACACCATCCTAAGCGATAGCATGTCCTCCTTACAGGCGCTAGCTGACCGCAGCAACACAAACCCACAAGTGGCTCAGATACACCAAACCATAAACGATGCCCAAATGGCAAATAAAACTATTAATTTCATCTGGGTCAAAGCGCACGTTGGCATCAGGGGAAACGAAGAGGCCGATTGCGCTGCAAAAGCAGCTGCAACGCTGCACAGCAGATACAACTACGTAATGTTCCCCATCAGCTACGTTAAACATCAAATCAGAGAGGAAACACAAATGAAATGGACAGAAATGTACAGGGATACTGTCGGCGTTGCAGAACATACCAAAAAGTTGTGTCCTGAGCTGAGCGACGTTATAAAAGTCATGGAACTATGTGGCGCTTCCTTCTGGCTGTCTCAAGTCCTCACAGGACATGGGTACCACCTGCAGTATCTATGTAGATTTAAAATCATAGATAACGACACCTGTCCCTGCAATAGCGGGGCCATTCAGAGCATTGATCACCTACTGTTCGAGTGTGGTAGATATGCACGAATCAGACACAAATATACTTCGTGCTGTGAATTTCATAAAATAGATCCACACAATGTTATAGAAAGTGCATCCAATGAGAGAACGCGAGTAGTAATGCTCGAATTCTTTGAGGGAATATTTGGAACTGTAAAGCAGTTCAACGGAACATAAATTTGAAAACATAAAACTAAATATAGTACTATTAACTTATTATACGTATTTATAACATATATATATATATATATTCACAAATATACTACTTATATAAATAATAAAAAACATATATAGTATCAAAGATATAATTAATAATACTTACCAACAGTGTAAAACGAGTTAAATATATGAAGACCACAGGTTTTGCTGTATCAAATCGCAGCGTACCAAACCTGCAAAACGAAATCACACACATAATTATACCTTACCTTACCTTACCTTACCTTACCTTACCTTACCTTACCTTACCTTACCTTACCTTACCTTACCTTACCTTACCTTATATAACGAAAACTGAAATCAAGCTTAATACCAAAGGCGCAGTCCGTAAGCGCCCGCGGTATATTAGCATCTTCTTAAGCTAATCTAATATCAACCTTACCTTACCTTACCTTACCTTACCTTACCTTACCTTACCTTACCTTACCTTACCTTGTGTGAAACGCGAATATTTGCTGTCGATACTTTTTTTTTTAAAGTTGACAGAAGAAGCAATTGTTCGGATGAGGTAAATAGTGCTCTTTTTAAAAAAAGATGGCGCGTAACCAAAAAACGTGACGCGTAACGTCCGAAAAAATGTGACGGTAATTTTTTTTCCAACGCCGATAAAGAAGTTTCACTTCAAAAATTAAAACATTGGGATTTATCGGTAAAAATGCGGTTTTAAATTGACAATTTAAATTTTCGCGCGAAAAAGAACCTATAGTTGCGATGACGTCACTCCTGTCTGTCACTGGTCGTACTTGTTCGTCGCTGGCTTTAAATTTCCATACTTTTGCATATTTTTTCGACTTTCGAAATATTTTTTATAACAATACCACTAATATTCCGAAAAAAAGTCGTGTTGACTCGTTGACGTGATGTTTTGTGCCAATCTACTTCAACAAAGTTTCCAAATAAATTGTTTTTGACTGGAACTTCTGACCCAAAACTGAAAAAAAAAGTGGTTTCAAGCTGCGAAGAGAAATAACAATTATTCTCCAAAGACCATTATTCGATGCTGTGAAGATCACTTTGACGTAAGTCGGCGAATATACTTGTTATATGGTTAATTAATCTGCTTGTACGTAAAAACGCATTAGTAACCTACCTAATACAAAACCTGTCTATAACATATTTTTAATTTTACAGTTGGAGAGTGACGTCGAAAATTAGATAAATTTTAAAATATGTTGCACAATCTTCACATTGGCAGGACTGAACCAAGCTTTGCGTTTCATTTAAAATAACTGTAACACGATAACCTTCTTTACGTACTTTATGCTCTGGGGAACTCGACCTTTTACTGTACATAATTCTCCATCTCTTTTAATTTGGACATAGCCGATTGCATTATCGCCGTAAGATTTGTAGAAGCCGCTGAATAAAATACGAAGTTTAACAACTACGATTTTTACAGACCGTAGTAATTTAGTCCCTTTCATTTCTACACTTAAAAAACTCTGCACTTTGGACAAAAAAAGTTATAACCATGTCAACACTAACTCTTGGTAAATTCCTGGAGTCTGCTTTGATAAACGCAACTTCCATTTTTATTTAATATAAAAAACGCAATTAATATTCCCATAATATAATATTTACTATAACAACCATAACCTCAAAGAAGTTGTCATAACAGGTGTGACGTCACTAAACGCTGATTGGTGTTTTAAAATACGTTCTGTTTCAAGTATTTTTAATTCGTAATAATTGTTAAAAAACAACATTATGTAAAATAGTAACGCTGCAGTGACATTTCTTTTATATTTTTTTAACATTTTAATCATATAATTTTCATAAATATTATATATGCATCTTCCCTATTATAGATACTGAATATGACGACTTTCATCATATATTCACTGATGATTCTAAGTCATCTCCGTCTGAGTGTACAGGTGTAGGAGTGTTCCACTCTCAGTTTTCTATTGTCCAAAAAACTAAACTACCTCCGGAGACATCTGTTTTACCGGAGAATGTATTGGTTTATTAAAAGCTGTTGAATATATCTCTGTTATGAAACTCCGAAAATCTATAATATTTTGCGATTCAATGAGTGCTCTTCAAGCCCTAAATAAATTCCCTTTCCGTACCAAATCATATTTTCCTGTAATATTTGAGATAAGGAATTTTCTAAATAAATTAATAAAATTGGGATACATGGTAGAATTTGCATGGCTTCCGAGTCACAGTAGAATTCAGGGATATGAAAAATCCGACCAGTCAGCCAAAGAGGCAGTGCATTGTGGTGACGTTGTTCCTTATAAATGTTATAGCTATGACTTGCTATCTCTACCATTGTGCGATTTGCGAAGTGAATGGCTTACAAGTTGGAAAAGTAGTACACAAATAAAAAGAAAATACTATTTTACAATATAGCCTACTGTCCCTTTAAAGCCATGGTTTCGCAAAGCTAAACTTGGTAAGACTGCTACTAGCATAGTAACGCGCATGCGACTTGGACATGTTACTACACTAGCACATCTCTATAAGCTTGGAATTGTCAGCGATCCTACTTGCGGGTGCGGAATGGACACAGGGGATATTAACCACATCCTGTTTTCTTGCCCTCCATACGATCGATATTCTTTTTTAAATGACCTCATTTCCTTAGATGTTCCCTTTCCAACATCCGTAATAACCCTACTCTTCTGTAATAATTTACCGATTTATAAATGTAGAGCATCTTTCAATAATATAAGAGTGTAATCTTCTCTTTATTCGTATTTTATGTATGTATATTTATATAAATATACAAATTGTGCCTCCTGATCCTATCCTCTAAATTCCGATCCAACGTTCATTAATTTCCTACTAATGTTTCCCTACCTTTGCAGTGGCAATGCACAAACCGTGTCCTGAAATTAAAAAAAAAAAAACAAAAAAAAGAAACGTTCGAAAGCTCCATTCCATGCCCAAAGATAACTGACTCGCACGCTAGATCCAGCTAGTTAAATAATGCGTAGAGGACTTTACTTACTTTTTTATCATTTATTCTGTCCCCCTAGCGAGCGATATGCCATATCGCGGTGCTCATACCGCGATATGATATATCGATCACACCCAATTGTCAAATTACTATGGCGTTTGACAGTTACACGATAAAAAACGTGTTTTAATGTAACGTGGTGGTCATGCTACGGGGACACGCCTGGTGTTATTTAACATTCCTGTATTCTAATTTTATTTATCCTAATTCTGATCCTATTAAAGTAAAAATATTTCTCATTGATAATGATTCCTAAAATTGGTTTCTCTACCTTTACCATTAGAAGTGGTTTCTCTACCTTTACTATTAGAAGTGGCAAATTCACAAGTCCAGCAAGCCAAAAAAAGGAGCTACACTTTTTGCTACTCTGTGCTCCTTTCATGTGCGTTGAAAAACCGACAACAGACGACTAGTCTGTGGTATTCGTCTCAGATTTAAACGAAGTTACAAACCCTTTTTATTTTAATCTAAGGTATTCGTATTCTTATTACGCACGCAACATGAATCCAAAAAGTCCTGAAGCAAGAAATAGAGACGGAAGCCCATTTGAAGGAATGATGATAACAGATTCACAGCCTCTAGATGCATTGAAAAGCCGAAGTTCCTGCCCTAAATGCGGCAAATCCAGAATGTATTTTTGTTACACTTGTTACGTTCCAGTGTTGCAGCTGGAGGGCTGCATACCTAAATGTAAAGTACGTCGACTTGTAAAGCGTAAATCTTAGCCATGGTTTAGGTTAAAGTAGACGTAGAGTATATTGAGTTTTCTGTTTCAGCTACCAATAAAAGTGGATATAATCAAACATAAACGAGAAATTGATGGAAAAAGTACAGCAGCGCACGCTGCTGTCTTGGCTCCGGACGATGTAAACATATACACTTATCCTCATGTACCACATTATTACTTAGATAACAGAACAGTTTTACTATATCCTGGTACAGAAGCAAAAACTGTTCGTCAATTATTTACTGGTGAATCAAATAATGTTTCATACAATGAAAGTATCCTTTCAGAACTGCCTTACGGGTTTAATGTAGGTACTCTCATGACTAAAATAATAGGTGATAATTTTCAATGTGAAGATATATATCATAACAAAGAATTACCTGTTGATAAAGTAGTTTTAATAGACAGTACATGGAATCAAAGTCGAGGGATATTTGCTGATAAAAGACTGAACACATTACCTAAAATTGTATTACAAAATAGACCCTCCCAATTTTGGCGTCATCAGAAGGGAAGTCCACGTTGGTATTTGTCCACTATAGAGGCTGTACATCAACTAATGTTAGAATTACATTTATGTGCATGGGGACGCAGTGTTGATTACAAATCTTCTCTTACTATGCATTACCCTGTTCATGAATCTAATATTGAACACTCACATTGTACACCTTATGAAGGGCAATATGATAACTTACTGTATTTTTTTAAATTTATGTATGAAAAACTGCACACACTATACAAACATGAAGATATGTTAGCTTATAAGAGACCTATGTTATAATAAAAAAATAACCTAAGTAAACCTATGTTTATTATTATTCAAGTCCATTTCATAATGTTCAGCTTTCATTTAATGTCTGGAAAAGGCTTGAGATCTCCATTACCCACTGAGCAAATGATGAGGGTATGAGTTATTTTGACCAGCTCTGTACAAAGTAAATACCAGCCAAGTACTAGGGGAACACTATCTTACTTATAGGCTCCCCTTATCCTCAGCATCTTCACCTGATATTTTGGAGTAAACTCCTAATACAATATTATCTCCTATTTTTATTGGCAGAAATCTACCTAGGTATTTCTATTCTAGAATTTTCCCTGCTGCTGAATCACTAGGTGGCTGTACCTCTGGCGTGTAAATGGCATGCACGCAAGCAGAGCGGACCTATGGGGTGCTGCTCGCCACCATGTCCGCGCGATTACTAGAGGGCGCTAGGATAATGTGTATTCAAGGGCTCTACATGGGCCAGAGACGCTTTTACGACGAATGATTCACATTTATTGATTTATCGCATTTATTTAATTTAGTTAGGTATAAATTTATAATTAAAATTCATAATAAACTATTACAGCACTACAACAGCTGTCTTAATTACCTTAAAAACTATTATATTTATTTAGCAATAGATAACTTTTTGAGAAACAAAAAGGACAAAATCTCTTATGCAAGGCTTTTAACAAATGATTTATTATAGTCAAGGAGATTATAAGTAATTTAGTTTGTACAATGTTTTATGTATTTCTATCATGAGAAATAGAACGGCTGATGAATACTTTACAATTATAATTCTAGGTATTATGTGCATATATGATGAGGCCAAAGCTTTTTTGTTGATTTGCGAGTCAGAAACAACGAAACATGCAACTTATTTGGCAACACTGCAGCTGTGTTGCACAAAGAAAATCTTTAGTAGACAAGGTTACGCTATGCGCAACAGTCAATGCAACTCACGTCACACACAGCTTTTAAAATTACACTTGTTTAGCCTCACCCTAATAAACTCAGATCCCAGAGCTACAAAAATCAGCCCAGGGCACATTAACTCAACAACTTAATAGATTTTCTAACATAGCATGTAACTTCATGCTATGTTTACAATTTACTACAATTTGCGTAAGTCCAATACAAACACACTACCATCACTGGCACTAGCACCTACTTTTGTGCCACGGGAATTCCAACAGACTTCAAAAATACCTCCTGTGCCCTTGTAGGAATGCACTAATGCTCCTGATTGTGTTGACCATATGTGGACACATTTATCAAATGATCCACTTGCTAAGAATTTACCATCTGGAGAAAATGCTACACTGTAGACAGGTTCTGTATGTTTTGTCAATGTGTGGATGCATGCTCCTCTTTCTACGTCCCAAAGCCGGACAGTAGAATCAAAAGATGCACTTGCCAAAATCAAATTCATATTGGGATTTTGTGTCCCTGGACCTGTTGGTGACCACTTGATTGTATATATTTCTTTAGAATGTGCTTGTAAATCATGAACACAGGTATCTTGCTTCATTGACCATATCTTTAATGTCATGTCATCTGAACAAGATGCTAATAGTTGCCCTTGCGGGTCCCATTTAATGGCATTAACTTCATTCTGAAAATATAATTAAAGGTTGAATTACTTAAATTTTTGTATATGTAATTGAAAATAAATCTTCATTTCTTGCTGAAGAATATTGTTTTAATAATATTTTATAATGAACTTACATTGTGACCATGAAAACTCTTGATTGGTTTATCAGCATTCAATTTGCATACGTGTATGCACTGATCTGTTGAACAGGATGCAAATGAAGTGTTAGTTTGCCAATCAACATCAAGAGCTGGAGCATGATGGAAAGAAAATTGTTGGGTACACTGCCCTGTTGCTGCATCCCATATTATTGTAGTTTTATCAACCTGCAATATTTCATTAGTAATTTTTCTAAACATAATAAAAAGAGAAACCATTTAATTCAGTAACTCTACTTAAATCTTACCCCAGCACTCAAAATGTAATTTCCTCTTTTGTTCCATTTCAAAGCAAAGATAGGACCTTTATGTTGTCCCAATGTAGATGCTAATGTCCCATCAGTTGTCCAAATGCGAGCATATCCATCATATGACCCAGTAGCCAAAAGATTGCCATCACACTAAAATAAAAATAACATTGTAAACCCAATTAAGAAATGAAGTCAGTATATATTTCACCCCAGTTGATACAAACATTCCAATCTAATGATGTGACATCTTTATTGCTTGGTACTTCAGCTCCGCCTTTTTGTATACAATGTCTTAATACTAGCTGGTTGGGTGTAGTTGCAGGATTATCAGACATATCCCATATCCTGTGAAAACAAAAACATATTCACATCATACATAAAAATATAGAATACATCAAAAATATAGGTGTGGAACATTGTGAAGTCTTACCTAGCAGTACTATCACCAGACCCGCTTGCAAGAAGATCAGTGCTAGGATTCCAAGCACAGATAAACACTTCAGATTCATGTCCTCTTAAAACTGTAGCTTTGCTAGCCGGTATTTCTATGGACTGATCAACTTCCATGTTTTCTGGAGCACTTGGTGTTGTTGCTCCTCCTGTTGTTGTAGCTGCAGTACATACTGTACCCTAGATATAACAGAAACAACAAAAGTTGGCCTTTTTTTAATAGCACCTTGTAAAATGTAACAAGTTATAGGTATGTGAACATGTAATTATATAGAGGATTAAATAAATTTAGTTTAATTAAGTCTCTACTAACAATTACCTACTGCCAATACATATTTTAATGTTTTACTTTTTGTTTACTATTAGAGAGACAACTTTTATTAGTTTAAATATTTAAAGTGATTTGCTTTTGTGAACAGCCTTTGCTTTTCCAAGACATAAAATATAATAAAGCCTTTAGCAAAAATTTTCTGAAAACATTCAACAAAAACACATGCACTAAAGTGTTGTTTCTGAAACATGTTTCTCTATACACTGCTTCTACTACTCACAAAGCTGTCATACACAAGATACACAGGATTGCATTGCAAACATACGATCCAGATACAACAAATAAGGAATTTGACAAAAGTTTCATACATTTTGTGAAATTGTATTTGTGTAGGTTTGGAACACAGGCCAGACTTTTAAAGCCAAAATTTTGTTAAATCAAAAAAAATGTGTAGTGAAACAAAGTTATGTGTAAGCAATTTTGTTGAATGTTGATGATATGTTTTTGTTGATTGTGTGGGGAGAAACACTCACAGCTAAAGAGTCCATCCGCCTACATTAGGCACAAAGGATATAACTACCAATGTTTAACCATGAGCGTTTATGAAGTTAAAGTAAATAATAACTCTTACATCAACTCCATTTTGCTCGCCTCCAGAGCCAGGCTCTGCTTTGATAGCTTGTTTTTGTGCATTGTGAGCATTTTGACGAGCAGCAACTATATCTGGTGTCACTGCATCTATAAGGCTTAAGCTCTCAGTAAGGCGAGTCTCAGTTCCTGAAAATACAAACGACTACATCAGACATACATGGTGTAGGTCAGGTAAAAAAATTGTCAATGTTAGGTTAAGTATCAGGATATCAGACAAAACAAAATATACTTTTACCATCTTCTCCAATTGTGATTTCCGCTTCTGTATATTGCAGTCCTTTTTGAAGAATATTTAATAATGCTGCGGGAGGGACTAGGGCTCCATTTATATTGCTTTGAGATATATGTGACTCAATGCCAAAAGTGTATGCAGAATGGTGAAACCCTACAAAGGTAAATAAACACTGTCAGTAGAGAGATTAAAAACGGAATTTTGAAGACATACTCATGAACATTTTGGGTTTTGGTTAATTCTTAGCGTCATTGGTTCAATGAACCTCACTCACCTGATTCTTGTAGATATCGATAGACGAGAAAATTTACTTCATCACTGGAGAAACTCATTATTAAGCTTATACGCTATTCATTGAACTATATTGTAAGCTCGAATAAACAGATTTCGTTCTTGATTAGACTTCCGGATAAACAGAAACACAAGCCATCACACAATTCATCCATCCATACACTAGTATACTCTATGCATACAACCATTATAGACTAATGACAAATTGACAACAGAATACAGAGATTTAGATTAGCTAAAGCCGGAAATATATTTGTCTCTAATGTTCTGACGTGTCAGAGAGGTGTCGGTTTCATGCATTAAGTTGACACATCGCGACCTTAGAGCATATACCAATAAAAATGTCATATTGTTTTAAAAATATTATTGATTTCTTTTATGATCTTAAATTTTATGTTTTAGAATTGTTATTATATTTTTAAATAAAAAATGTCTTTATATTTAATATTTATTAGCTTTTCATATATGTAAAACAGAATATACAATCTTTTAAGTCCGAACTTTTATTGAAATATCAGAAGACAAATCAAAAGCCATCACAACACATCTCCACACACAAATGTAGTTCTAATTATACTAAATGTGTGTAACCAATCGGTGTCTGACGCCACACAACACATTAGATATATGTAGTTCTGCCATTACACTTTCTTTACAGTGTCACCAAGATCTTGTGGCACATGGCCAAATTAGAAACTAATTTTAGGGAGTTATTGGTATCGATTCTGGCCATATTCTCCAAACTTGAAACTAAATTTAACTACTATCATTCAGTCATTCTGTATCGAGAATGACAAGGATACAATGGTGTCAATTCTGGCATGATTATCAAAACTTAAACTATCTATACAGAATGAAAAGGAGAAACTGATGTTAAATTTAGTCTTAAGAGAATCATTCCAAAATGTATACCACTGTTGTCAAATTTAAGTATAAGTTTAGATAATAATGCTAGAATTGGGCCCATTTTATTTTAAGAGGAGGGTGTAAATCAGTCTTGTACAATAGTTCCTATTGCTTTTAGTCTGTCAATACTGTCTTAAAAAAAAGGAGGTCGCTATGACGCTTACATAGTATTTCTGTTAAACATCGACTAAAACGGTTTGATATTTGTTAAAAAGTACTATTGTATTATTTTACTTCGATACATATAATTATTATACGAGTTATATATTTTTTTATCTTATCATCATCTAATACTTTTTCTGAACCTGCCTAAAACTTTGCTGGAATTGAAATTCTATTCAAATTTTTTTAGCTATTATAGTAATTATCTTATTATTATTATTCAGAGCCCAAATAAAGTGATTAAAATGAATATTCCTGCGTCATCAAGTTGCTGGTTGCTGCCAGCCTCATAGGATTAACTGGAACTAGAATCATCGTCACCTGCACAGTTTAACCCCAGGCAAATTTTTCGTTTTCAAATTTACACAGATTTTCCATTCTTGTGAAATTATTGCCTGAAATGCTTCTTCCGTCAAGAAATACTCACTTTTTGCAGGAATGGTATAAATCTGCCGTTTATGGCCACCATCAAAATTAATATTTTTTCACACCACTGCCCGAAACACAATCGAAACGAGTCGCCTTCAACATCGAGGGACAGACGGAGGGATTCGACATAGAAGCACGCACTATTCGGCGCATGAAGATTTCATCGCAAACGGTCGAGCCGCATTGCCTACGTGACTGCAAGCACCTCCGAGGCATAGAAAAGCACCTCATATACGAAGACGCCCGTCCCACCATTTTGATCGGTCAAGACAATAGGGACCTCCTTATCGCCAGCGAAGTCCGAAGAGGAAGCCGAAAACTGCTCGCCGCATCGAAAACCGCGCTCGGATGGGACCTTCACGGCACACACGCGCGCAACACCATCGAAAAAGTCAACATCGTCAACAATCGCCCGAAGATAGAAAATCGACCGAAGACAGAAAATCGACCGAAGATCGAAAATAGAAAATCGAACGAAGAACGAATACCGAAAAATCGACCATCGACCATTATCGAAGACGAATAGAAGAGCGGACGCGCACATAGAAATTCGCACCGAGCACGCGCCGCCACGAAGTCGAAAAGCACCGCCACCGGGTCAGCATAGCGGCGGGAGCACGAAACACACTGCAAAACAGAGAAGAAATCGCCCAGCTCGCTATACCTACAGCGACGAGCCGCGAGTTCACCGACCTCGGCCGCCCGCGCCACCGGCGGGAGTCCCGAGGTGGCATCGCATCGATCGCAACAGAGAAAATCGCCGTATAGACAAGAAACACCGAATCGTTATCGCCAACCAATTCGGGCGAAACGCGACTACACGAGTCATCGACCTTATCAAGACTGGAGGAACACTACATCACCTTCGGAGCGGCTGGTGGTGCATACAACATCATCGGTCGCCTCTCCCACGGTGATTGGATGCAGCGACGAGTCAACCGACGCTGCACGGCGGGAGTATGTACGAGACGACCGCCTTAAGAACGAAGCGAGAAGAAATAAAGTTAACATCGAAACAAGATTGATTTGTAAAATATGTCTAAAATTTCACATGTAACGGTTGTGTGTACATTAAAAATGTTATTTCCTTGTTGTTTCATTAGAATGAGTCGGATATCGCAATAATAGAGAGCTTCGCTCATAGTAATTGATTGTAAAATTGATAGTTCAAAGCGATATTCTGTCTCTTTCTAACCCATAATCTTATAAGAATTTGTCTAATCGATCGCCGCGATGCCAAGCGGTGGCGCAGGGAAACTGTACTAGATTAAGATAGTTCGGACCGATAGGTAGGAGGGACAGAGAAGATAGGCTGTCTCTTTCTAGCAGTCTTATAAGATTTTGCCTAAGTTGATAGCCTTCGAAAATATTATGTAATTGTGTTTGAATTGGTTTGTTTTATATCTTATTAGGAAAAAGGTAGATATAGTATTAAGATAGTGGAGTTTTGTGTAGATCGATTAAATAGTTTAGGCATAATTAAGGGAAACGTTAAATATAGTTTTTTATGAATATTTGATAGGTTATAATAGGTATAATTTTAATAATAAAGCTTTTATTTTGTGTATTTTCGCTTGCTCTATAGAATGATATATGATAGTTAGGCATTAAATGAATGTAAGTAGGTTTTTTAAGACTTTTAAAATTGTAAACTTTATAGGGCTATAGAGCCGTTGTTTGTTATTATTCTTGTTAGAAACTTATTGTATTAGATAGATAACGCATAGGACTACGTAAATAAATAGGTGTCAAATCGATAAATATAGAAATGTACCGAATATAAGGCAAAATTAGTTTGTATAGAACGATCTCCTAAAACGTTTCGCGCTCCCCTCCCGGCGCACGCAGAGCGCGTGGGTGGGGCAGCGGAGTCCTGTGGCAAGGCGAAGCCCTATGGAGGGGGAAAATATAAGCGCGCCACACCTAAAATATCATGCTTACGGACGCGCCACTGCGCTAAAAATATGCCTATTTGTATGCCCAATGTATGTACGTATAGTTTTAAGCTCGCACCTATGTATTTTTTGAATAAATGAAAAATAAAGTATAGCGGGGGTGAGGTAATGGATCGCTGGCCAGCTCAGTCCTAGCATATAAAATTCGAGTCGGAACAGGCTCCGACATGCATTCAGCGACAGGCGCTCCTACCCTAAGGAACAGGAAGAAACAAGCGGTTCACTCTGGACCTGAAGCCTCCTCTCACCAGCCATCCATTATCAGCGCCCACCGATTTCTTCAATACCGAACACCAGGGCTTTTATTCACCGAACCTACAGTCCACTATCGCCGTCAAGACTCCTGCGTGTAATTTCCTCCACCCCGCAGTACGAGTTGGTAACTGTCCGCTACTGCGACAGCCCGGCGTCCCGTACAACCCCACCTGATGTTAAGTGAAGGTGAAGTCCAGACGCGAAGATAGCTGATACAGCAGTTCTAACTGCCACACCAGCCATCCCCACCCTGCCGGCCTGCAAGTTGCTTCTTCACGCCTCTTTTAAAGGATCCCAGGTTGTAAGAGGGAGGGAACACGTGAGCGGGCAGATCATTCCATTTACGGATAGTACGACAAAGAAATGAGTCAAAAAAAATCTTTGTACGCGTTGGAATTGTAGCCACAGTTAGACGGTGACAACGTAAGCCAGCGCGCGTGGTCCTTTGAAGGAAAGGGGAAGGTGGAATAAGAGAGAATTACTCCTCAGAACACTCGCCGTGGTACAGACGATATAACGCGCTTAGTGACGCCACGTCACGGCGTAATTGAAAAGGCTCGAGGTGTTTAGTCACCTCCTCATCGCCTATGATGCGGATTGCACGCCGCTGTAACCTATCCAAAGCATCGAGCAAGTACTTAGCGGAGCCATCCCAGAGGTGCGAGCAATATTCCACGCAAGTCCGCACCTGCGTCTTATACAACAAGCACAGTTGCTCGGGAGTGAAAAAACGCCGCACCTTGTTCAGGACTCCGAGTTTGCGTGAGGCTGTTTCTATCACACTTTCGATGTAATTCTTTGGATTTATTTATTTTATGGTGATACTGCTCTCTAGCTCCAGTATTGGGCCCTGAAGAGAAGGACATAAAAGGAATGGCGACGTTTTTGCCGTGAAAGCGCAGACCTGGGTTTTCTTAGCATTGAACACAACCAAGTTCTTGTTACCCCATTCAGAAATGTGGTCCAAAGCCTGATTGAGCTCAATGACAAGATTCTCCCGTTTCTCCTTGGTTACCGCCTGCCCAGCCACTGCTTGTCCGAGATACCCCGCATGTACTGTAATATCGTCTGCATAGCAATGATTATTCCCAAGAGGAATGAAGTCATTGATATGCAGCAGAAAGAGAGTGGGGGATAGGACGGAGCCCTGGGGAATGCCGGCATTCACTGACATGAACCGCGAACTGCTACCATCCGTAAGGACACGAATTCTACGCTCATGCAGGAAGTCAGCTACCCAAGAACAGAACTGGGCCGGCATGGCGGCAGACCGTATGCCGGAAGCTTGGAGAGAAGACTTTTGTGCCAGACCCTGTCGAATGCCTTGGCAATGTCAAGGCTAATAGCCAACGACTCGCCTCGCTTGTCGATAGCCTCTCCCCAGATATGAGTCAAGTACGCTAGAAGATTTTTTGTGTCATACAGAATACGCTACTAATGTGAAATGCGCTGAATTGTGAAACTAAAAACTGTGTAATTAATATGAGTCAGTTTAAGAGCAAATGTGTTGAAAAAAATGATAGTAAAAATGAAAACAGAATATTATAGGAATAAAATGTAGATTACATCAAAGATGAACGTTAAATAATATAAAACTAGGTTAAGATTAATTGCAAGTTTAATAGTAAGTTTAAATAACATGGGTTCAATATTAAAATAGACTAATAATAAATTCACACTATAAAAATTTCAACTAGGTATATGGACTTCACTCTTGTATACGTGGCAACAGGGCAACACCTGAATGACGTTTCGGGTTCATGATATTTTATGTTGAAATTTCAAAATTTTATGATACTTATTGATGTTATGTGATACCAGCGTCCTTGTTATTCATTATTGTATTATTTCACTACATAAACTGGCATTTTACTTTCTATTAACACCAAATTTTAATAAAACATGTGACTGTGTGACTGAGTGTGACTGGCTCATTGAAGGCTCGGGTACGCCAATTTCAGCGTTACCGCATTTGACAAATACGCCGGCGGTATCTAGTAGAGTGAAGCTAGACCAATTATTCATCTATGACTCAAGCTATAAAACTCCATCATCTATGACTGACTGTCAAATTGTCAATGTCAAGCGGTACCTACCAAAATATCAAAATCAAACAAATTTTGGCTTTACCGATTAATTCTGTTTTGCAATTGTGTTATTAACAAACTTAATAGTGGTGCTGCGATTTCAAGAATTTACAGGCATATACTAAGTGTAATAAAAAGTAATGATATTATTTTTATTGGTAATTTCAGGGACAACACATTAAAAGTCCTGATTACTTTACCCATGACAAGATCATTCCTAAAAAATGGATGTAACTTCAAATAATTTAGCCTCTTTGCTTCATAAGCTATGTGTCAGTTTATCACCTGATCCAGGTAAAGTGTAAAGTTCCTATTTTAAAATTTTAGTCTTGTCTAAATTGATTCTATAGACAGCTATCAAATGAAGTGATAAATAAGTTGTTGGTCAGAGTTTACTGCTTCAATTAAAATATTTCGAATGAATAACATCCATGACTATTTAAAAGATTTAATTAAGAAGTTTAAAAAAGGTTAACATAAAAATATGGTTTAGTTTCTCTGATATTTATATATCAGAAAAATGGAAAAAAGGAAACTTTGAGTGTTTAAAATTTTATATTTTCGGTAATAGTAAATAAGTAATAATTTTATCTTTATTCCTATTCAGATGGTGCCTATGAACTTGCAGTTTCATATTTGTCATCAACAAGTGAAAAAACTCGTAGTAATTTGGATGAAAAGCTTCTTTGTCAAAAAATTCAGTCTAGATTGACTAATATCTCTACAAAAGATGTTGATAAATTCAATGAGTGTCACACAAAATTAAAAACTTCAGTGAGTTAAAGTTTTACATAAATGTTTTTTTTTAATCTTTATATTTTAAGTGGTAATGTGTTGATAAATTCTCTGTATTTTCAGTTTGTTTTGAAACAACGTGTTTCAATTCTGGCTTTGCTTTTAGCATTGTCAGAGGCTCCACCGCAATCAGAATCTACCCATCAGTTGTTTCCTATACCCCAGTTAGCTTCAGTAAGTTCTGATATTCGAGTAGTCTTATTCTATTGCTTGGAAAGAATGATAGCATCAGTTACCATTTACTTAAAAATTAATGAATAGCAGCTGTTACTAATAAACTATTGTCAGGGGAGTATTTTCAAATCTGGAGCCACGCTACTTACTATTCCCGACATCCTCCCCCCCCTATTTTTGTTTTATTATTATTACCAAATTAGTAAATCAAATCAAAGTATAAGTCAGTTACTTATGCCTTAATATGACTTCTGGTGCCCCTCGTAGCTGGCCACCTTGACTATGGCCTTTTTGGGCCTAGGGTAAATACACCCCTGATTATTGTGCTACAGATGAAAATGCTGAATAAGTCATTTAGGTAGTAGTTAGTTCTAAAAGAAGGCAGGACTTATTTGTACAAGTTATTTTAAAAATTAAGTATATTTTATACAACTGATATGAGTAGTAGAATGTTTATTTTTTTTAATATATTCCAGATGCCAAGTATTGGGTTTTCTGGTGGAACGTCAAGTTCAAGCAAGAGCACAATAGGTTCAGTGAGCTGGGGCAGCCAAGGGGCCCCTAAACATGTGGGATCCAACCAGAGCCTTCCCTCCAATAAGAGTAATATGGCTTTAGTTTTACAAACTAATGGTGAGATTTCTTATTATTTTACAATTATTTTCTACAATTGTTATTTTTTAAAATTCCATTTGTAATTGGGCCACAAAAGGTTCTTTAACATTGTGAGAGTTTAACAGAAGGTCAATTAAAAATAACAAAAAAAAAACTTGATGAGTAGTCACTTTATGGCAATGGAACCCTAAAAAGTTATTGAACCCTTTTAATTAATATTTTACTACTGTTTGTAAAGCTCTTACCAGCAAGATGGTGGACCTGGACTTAAGAAGTTATGACTTTGTAATTGTATGATGTCACTCAAATCTAGATACAAAGTAATGCTAAGGCTTATAAGTGCAAACTTTGGTTCAGTGCTGTATTGCAGAATGACTACAAGATAAGTTTGCAAACTAATGTCATGGATTACCTTATTTATGCTACAATTTTAAATAATATTTAATTTTATTAATATTTCATAAAGTACTAATTTAATTGTTTGAGCCTTGACTTGAAAATGTAATTAAAATATTAAAATTATTGAAATTTTATGCTACAATTATATTTAATTTAATGTGATTTTTATGTGATTTCCAATACACATGCTTTTCCCTATAGTTTGCATTGATATACAGTAAAACCCGTTTAAGACGATTTCACAGGGACTCAACCAAAAACGCGTCTTAAGTGGGAAAGCATATTATGCGGGATTGCGGGATGGCAAATTTCGAATGCTGGTATTGAGATATTAAATGTACAATATTTAAGAATTATGTATATTATAAAAAAATCAGTGTATTATTGTAAACAATAATTAATTTAAATAACGTAATAAATTATTACGTTATTTAAATTAATCACTTATTTTAATTTGTCAAAAAGATTTGATTTGGAGGCATTAGCAATTACAAGATTTTCAACAGATTTTAACTTTTGCAGTGCATCTTCACTTTGATTCAAAGAAGTTACATAGCATCTTAAATCATTAACTGCTGATAATGCCTGAGCGTGTGACAAAATCGGAGTTGACTTATCTTCTATCTTCTTGATCATTATCACTTAGGGCCTTTTCTTGTGTGTTATTCACATTCTCATTGAATTTTGTGCTGCCGCAAGAGGTAATATGTGTGGTACGTGTTGGCGATTTAGGCGTATTAAGTGGGATGACGAATCGTATTTAGTTAAGAAATGTATGAAACATGTCTCAAGTTGCAGTGACTGACGCAAAACGGCGTATTATGTAAGAAATCGTATTAAGCATGATCGTATTAAACGGGTTCTACTGTATATTATATTTATTGTATTTTATGTATGTTATGCACACGTATATATAGTAGTACAGTAGTGGTCATATAATTAAAATCACTTCTTATGAATAAAGAAAGTATAACTTCAACATACAAATGTTCTAAAAAAAATAAACACATTCAATAATGAATAATCATGCAATAATATAGCCACAGAAATAAAAAACTCATTAACTGTATAAAATATAAAACATATCTTTTAATTTAAAAATTAGACGCTTAATTAGAAACATTTGATTAGATTAATTAGAAACATTTAAAAAAAGTATGTATAGCTGGTTCTTTTTTTAAATTGAAAATTGGAGGATAACATTTCTTTCTTGGCTCTTTCTATTATTTAGGCGGCGATTCAAAATTTTATCTCAATTTTATTTTGTTCAAAATGGGCAAAAATAAAAGTTGTGACGCAACAACTAGGCAAATAATTGTTAATTTACATATTAACAATAAAGTCTCAAACAAACGTAACACCAGTCAAAACGAACTATAAAAAGCATTTGTTGAAGCATGGAATTCAATCCCCATAGAAAAAATATTAAATTGATTTGAATCATTGCCACATTGTTGCAGTGATGTTGTTAAAAATAAGGGATACGCCAATTTTTTTTTTTTTTTTTTTGTGTTACCGCTTTCTGCGATCAGTCTACACTATAAGCAGAACATTTCAATGACTTTTCGGGCGTGCGAGATGGCTTTTTCAACAAAAAGCTCTTCTCTCATTGTTCCACACTGATCTTCAGTTAATGCCTGTTTTCCAGCTCTCCGATAGTACATCTTTTGAGTCTTTTGGAGTGTTTGCTAACATCAGTGAGAGCCACCGCAAGTTTATTAACATGGTGAATAAGTCTGCCCTGATAGCGCTTGGCTATAGCGTTTATTTCGTCCTTGACAGTGTTGCTTTGCAAGTAGTCGTGCATTTCTGTGCTTTTCACAAACCATGGAGCATTCAGTATGGTGCGAAACACTGAGTTTTGGAATCGCTGCAGGATTTCTAGGTTCGAGTTACTCGCTGTACCCCAAAGTTCGATGCCGTAAGTCCAAATTGGTTTTAATACCGCGTTATAAATGAGAAGCTTGTTATTCAAACTGAGACGCGAGTGTCTTCCCATTATCCAAAGGAGTGAGCGAAAGCGAATATTTTGTTCATCCCTTTTCTTTTGAATATGGGTCTTCCATGTTTGCCTTCTATCAAGATGTATCCCCAAGTATTTAGCAACGTCACATTGCGGAAGCTGTTCTGTTCCAAGCTTAACTGGTGGACAAATTCCAGTCTTCAGTGTAAAAGTTACATGAGTGGATTTGGAGGCACTCGCCTTTATCTTCCATTTTTCCATCCACTGGCCAATGGTTGTGAGATGTGCTTGTAGCTTCTGAGAAGCAATTCTCGGATCCTTGTTGCAACTCAGTGCCACTGTATCATCTGCAAATGTGGCAGATAGTATTTCAGGTGAGTCAGGTAAATCTGCGGTAAACAGTATATAAAACATAGGCCCGAGCACAGATCCCTGCGGAACACCTGCTTTTATATCGTAGAATCCGGAAAGGTCTTCATTAACAACTACTCGGAACATTCTATCATCTAAGTACGATTTGATGAGAGTGAAAAAGTTGTGAGGAAAGTGTCTCTTAATTTTGTATAGAAGGCCTTCGTGCCAAACTTTATCAAAAGCTTGTTGAACGTCTATAAAGGCGGCAGAACAATACTGGCGCTGCTCCATGGCCGATCTTATCTGATTGACCACTCTGTGAACTTGTTCTACAGTAGAATGTCGCTCTCGAAACCCGAATTGGTGATCAGGTATTAGCTTTTTGTCTTGTACCAGTGTAATTAAGCGAGTGAGGAATACCTTTTCAAACAATTTAGATAGTATGGGCAGCAAGCTAATGGGTCGGTAGGATGACACCCCATAGTGGTCTTTGCCAGGTTTAGGTATCATAACGATATATGACACCTTCCATGATTTCGGGAAGTACGATAGACGAAGAATACCGTTAAAGAGAGCAGCAAGATATACAACAGCCTTTTTAGGTAGTTTTTTAAGTACTTCAGCTGTCAGTTCGTCATAGCCGGGAGCCTTTTTTGGTTTAAGTGTTCGAATGATTTTCCATAGCTCTCTGGGTGTGAAGTGTTTGATAGGTAGACTTAGCTGTAAATCGCTACTTAAATATTCTTTCACTTTGGCGCTACTTTCGTTCGGTGTAAAAACTTCTTGTAGGAATTCTCCAAAAGCTGCAGCCTTCTCTGTATCAGTTTTAGCCCAGCCGCCGTTGCGAAGTCTCAATGGATATTCCAGATTTTGCGGTTTACACGATGATTTAATTGTGTTCCATAAGCAATGCTCCCGACCTCCAGCCGAAAGAGATTCAAGGCGTTGCTGAAGAGTTTCATTTTCAACTTCCTTCAGAAATTGTTTCAATTTTTCGGATGCTATATTAAAAGCATTTTATCTTCAGTTCTTCGGGTATTGTGCCAGGTTCTTCTAAGTTTTCTTTTATGTAGTAACATTTCTCTAACTGCAAGAGGCACATTGTGATATTTATTAGTTTTGTTTTGGTTAGCTGGTGTACTTAGCCAACACGCTGTCTGTATAATTTCGGTTATTGACATAGTTGCTTCTTCCAACTGATCTTCCGTCTTCAAAGGAACTCTAAGGTCTAGATTCTTGTCAATGTACTCTCTAAATGCTTCCCAATCTGTATTCGCGTTGTAAATATGTTGTCTTTGTTGCCTTTCGATTAATGTAGTGCTAACTGTGGCTATGATTGGTACATGATCAGAGGCACCATCACAACTTGTTTCAATTTTCATGTAGTGCTCTGTGATACCGCTGAAGACAAAGAAATCTATCAAGTCAGGGTTACGTAGTGGATCAGAAGGGTAATATGTTGGCTGTCTAGTCGTTAGTATGCCAAAATGTCTATTATCAATACAGCTCTTGAGTTCTCTACCCCTTGTTAGTGTCTTGCTGGATCCCCAGGCTACATGCTTTGCATTCCAGTCCCCTCCTACAATAAATCTTGGTCCTAAGGTAGAGAAGAAGGAAGTGAACGCCTCTGAGTTAATTTTTGGCCTAGGCGGACAATAGATTGAGGATATATTCAAGTCGTTGTGTTTGCATTGCACGCGTATTGTTGTGGCTTGCATATGTACTGTTTGATATTGCGGCAATACGTGGTGTTTCAACTTCTTCCTTACTATTATTGCAGAACCTGCGTGACCAGTTCCATCTGGATGGTTGGTTGAATAAATGCAATAATTGTTACTTATACTTAGTTTAGATCTATCAGTCAGGTGAGATTCCGATATTAATACTATATCAATCATGTTCATATTCATAATGTTAACTACTTCGTTTACATGGCCTGTTAGACCGTTAATGTTCCAGGCTGCTATTCTAAGGGAATCTATTTGTTTACTATGTGGGTAAGCATTGTTGTTAACAGACTCATAAGAGTTCCCATTTGGCTAATTAGAGCGTCTAGCTTCTCAGCTTGTTTTGTGAGTAAGTCTTCTAGTTTATTGGTTAGACAGTCAGTTGGTTCGTTTTGCTGTACTACCTGTGCGTAGGTTTTGTCAGTGGTTCTATTTTGAGAGTATAGTTTCTTAGTGGGGGTATCTTCAAATTTCTTATTTTCTCTTGTTTTATTTTTATTTATATATCCTTTTTCATTAGTATGATCTGATTTTAAATTAGTATTGATCACATTTGGTTTCTTCTTATTTTTCCTGTTATAAATTTCTAGGAACACTTCACACCCTTTATAGTTGGCTGGATGTTGTCCTAGACAAAGGGCACATTTTGCAGGAGTAGTTCTATCTTTTTTCTTACAATCTATAGTTTTATGACTTCCTGCACATTTTACACATCTATAAGGGCGCATGCAATTGTTTTGTGTGTGGCCATATTGTTGGCACCGTTTACATTGTGGGATACTGTTTTTTCGTTTTGGGTCTTCTATCACTACTGCTGTGTTGTATATATATTTAAGTTGTTTTACAGCACCATTATTAGGTTTGGGTTCTAGATTCACAAAGAAAGTAGATAATGGGATTCTATCTGGTCCATATTTAGCATTGACGATATCACCTTTAACTGTATTTCCTGTAGTCTCTATAGCTTCCTTTATGGCACTTATAGGAGTACTGTGATGTAAGTTCTTAATCACTATTCTATAGGGCCTTTCATCCTTTCTTGTAAAAGTGTGTCCAATAAGCTTATGTTCTCTAACAAGCTGAATTAGTTGTTTATATGCTTCAACACTATTATACGATATCCGTAGTTGTTTTTTAGTGATGATCTTATAGCTGTACTCAGACCTATCTAGAATAGATCCAATGAGTTCATTGAGTTTTGTTAGGTCTTCGATTCCATAAAGCATGATTGGAGGAGGTTTATTTTGCTTTTGGCGAGTTTTAGCTGGTTTATCTTCTCCTTCATCTAACTGTAGTTCTCTAAATCGGTTCTGTGTCTGGATCTCGTGATCACGTGATGGTGATGGTGAATCACTAAGTTTTCTTCTTTTGCTTCGACGTAGAGTTGGTACGGTTTGCCAATCAATTTGATTACTATTATCTTGCTCCGTATTGTAAGCATTTTCAGGAGCTAGTGGCGATTTTTCTCCTGTAGGTAGGTCTCCAAGGGAGGGATGTCTTGTTTTGCTGTTTATGAAGAAACTGCGGTGAAAAACTTGCTGCATCATAGTTTTCGAGCCTTGCTCTTTAACTGCACTTTGACCAGTAGCATTAACTGTGGAAGCAGCCTGGGTACCCACTACTTCACAGTCTTCGGTAACACATTTCTCACTCACAGGCCCGGGTACCCGTGAGCGCCGGTCGCTAGCCGGGGAGCATGGCAAATCACATAAAATATTACTCGAATTCATCATACAAAAAGAGGTTGGGTAGATAGTTGCAATGTGTCCCCAGAACATTGCACACAGACTTTCTGAGGGTATTTAATCCTCACGGCTTCTGTAAGCCGCCATAGAGTAAACTATGGGGATCACGTTATTTAAGACCGCCACCTGAGACTCGGCGTTGTCACTTGTTTTGCACCACCCGGGGGACACGTGTAGGGTGGGCCTAGGAAAAGGTGGTAAATCCTACGGACGCAAGTGACATCACCCCCCAATAGGTGGGATACGCCACTAAATATAAATTAAAACTATTGGTAGGCTGTGGATAGTAGCTATTTCGTAAATAACAATACTAATACTAAAAAATGTTTTTTATACTTTTTTGTTGTTGCTTCTTATTAGTTGACCATTATTGTTCATACCTTGAAACTGATTTGAATGTTTGTCCGTAATATAATATTGAAACTGCACTTTTGTAATGGAATTTATATTGTTTTTCTAATAAATAATAAATCTTTGAACATATAGTTGTCCTATTTATTGTTTAATTGCAAAATAAAAACGATTGCTGCGAAGTATCTTACATAATGTCAACAACCATTGGTAGTGTTTCTAATTATATGACCAAGACTGTTTATGTGTATATATATGTATAAACATATATATTTATATGTGTATGTTTATGAGTATTTTATATATGTACATCAATTTGTATTTAAGTATTATTATTTTTATTGTTGTTATTTAGTTAATTTCATTTTATTGAATTTTTAGCGACTGCTCTATTGCCATACCATTTGTCTCCAACACACTGGTAGACTGGTAGAGAATGCCAATGCCATAAAGTCCGCATTTTGTTTGTTACAGGTCAACTAAATGACAGCAAGTGTGTGCGTGACGCAGTCTTGGCAGCAACTGGTGTGAAAACACGTGGACTGAGCAGTGAATCACGCCCTATGCAGACTCTGTATTCTCGTATTGCGCACCTGGGCTTCTTACATGATAGACTCAAAGAATTCATTGACCCTAACTCAGGCATAATGCCTCAAGGTAATGTTCTTAAACTAATCCACAATTACCTAGAATTACATAATATCCTAATTTGGCTTTGTGATTTTAAAATGTTTTAAGGAATAAACGCAAAGATTAATCTGCATATATAAATCGTATATTCGAATGCCTTTTGGATTTCTTTTAAACTAATAATACCTATTCTGTTTTCAGGACTGATGGGTGAGGGTTTGGTCTCCTCTATAAGAGATGAACTAACAGAATATTATCGGAGTGTTGCATTACTTCAGTCACAGGCAAGTAACAAGAGATGTATGCAATAGTGTTAAAACCGAATATTTCGATTACTGTTAACTTAAAACAAAAATATAAATGGTAAAGAACCGTTATTTTATAAATACACAATAATTAAAATTTGGATGTTATTGAAGTTTTTCTGCAAATAAGTACACCACTATAATCACTATCTGTGTGTCAAGCACATAATGTTAGCATGACGTGCCTTCCAAAGCGCAGAGCTGTTAGAGATAGATATAAATTTTTAGTCACCCATCCATATGGCTGGTAATTGTCAACCACTGCGTCATCGAGCTCCTTAATCTTAGCTTATAATAGTATTTTTTTATGTTAAAAGGGTGGCAAACAAGCTGATGATAAGCGGCGCCCATAGCGTATAGAAGCTTGCGATACCAAAAATATCACTCACACCGTTGCCCACCCTGACTCATTCCCCTATTCATTGGGAGCCCTGGAACCTTACTGACAGAAACACAACCAAACCAAAAGGTAGTGTTGGCTTTGACGACCTCCGTGGCCGAGTGGTTTGTACGCCGGATTTCATGGTGTCGCCGACTCGAGAGGTCCCGGGTTCAAATCCCGGTGGGGGCAGATGTTTGTGTGATGAATACGAGCATTTATACTCCGGTCATGGATGTTTAATATGTATTACTATAAAAATTTACTTATATATGTACAGTATAATGTATTCTATCCTAACGGATAAGGGTAACCCCTAGTATCCCATAACACAAGCCTTATAGTGCTTACTTTGGGGCTAGGCTAATTGGTGTGTGTTATAAATATTTATTTATTTTACTGCGGTCCTCTGTAAGGTGAACGTTACTTCCCCAGACGGGCGCTCCAATTCGTGCGGAAACACCGCTATGCCTCTCTAAACTATTTATTTGAAGGATTTTTTTTTTCTCTTTAGTGGTAAACGTAGCGTGTCAGTGACACAAGGCCTCCCCCAGCCTCTACGGGATGTCCAGCCGATGCTCGAATCTTTGGAGAAATGCTGCTTCCAATCTTCGCCACTCAGATCTGTTTAGGGCTCTTCTTCTCCAGTAAACTCCCACCGTCTGTTTAATCTCGTCTGCCCATCTAGCAACTTGCCGCCCCCTGTTTCTTTTGCCTTCTCTGGGGTACCAGTTGGTAACAACTTTACTCCATTTTTCTGATTGGTTACGTATCATGTGGCCTGTCCATATTTACTTTATTATATTCTAAATATTTTCGATAAATTCAAACTTGTAACATTAATAGACTAAAACCTTATTAAACATTTATTTACTCACAGTGAGTAACTTAATACAAATAGATTATAAACATACCTACATGGTATTATAATAACTTGTATGGAACAAGGGTGTGACAATATATATTACCAAAAAATATTAACAAGCTACCTATAAAACTACAATTATTGTATACTACTTGTAATAACATTTGTACAATAAAAAATAAACTTAAAAAACATTTTAACAGTCATTCAAGATGAATTTTAGCATTATGTCTAACCCGGTTAGCATTTAAGATTGAGCAAATTGTAAGATTTATTTTAATTTAATTTGTATAGTTCCTAAGTAAGATAAAGATCAACATCTATATCTGCAACTTCTGCTGCGGCGGATGCTACATATTAACTGTCCATTAAGTGGATTAGATATGTATATATTAAATTTATTTTTAAGCATGTAACAATAAATAAAAAAAAAACTACCTTTGTTTTAGGCATGCGAAGGGGACGGTGGCGGTGGAACTTTACGACGCGTGTGCGTGTGGGCTCAAGAACCTTTACATCGTCTCACATGGCTAGCAAGCATCGCTCATACAGCTCACCATAAAAAAGGTAATAATTACTTTAACAACCATTGGCTTGGCGTAGGTTTGAAGGCGCTTTTAGCACTTCTCGAGAGCTGAATAATATTGTCACGAACGCTCTGGAAAAAAAGATCAAGAACGGCTCGCGACATGAATGACCTCGATGAAGACCGAGTGGTGCGGTCCATTCGAATATTGTATCTTTATTAAAAAGTAATTTATTTAAATAAATAAATGCATATTTGTAACACTTACACCAATTAACCTAGCTCCAATGTAAGCACTGTTACAGATAGAACATATATTATATTTGATACATATATGAGTATATTTAAATAGAAAAATATATAAACATCCATGACTAAGGTATACATGCTCATCTGACGATTCATCATACTATTCATTCTCATACAGAATGAAAAGGAGCGACTGATGTTAAATTTATTTTTAAGTTTAGAGAATCATACAAGAATTGGCTACCATTGGCAAGGTACTATTTAAGAGTAATAATATATCTGATAAAACAGTTTTTACGGGTTATATGCACTGACTTTATTTATTTATTGATGTTTCGCACCTTTTTCAGGAGGAGTGCATTATCGGAATGACTCCTAAAAAGGGTACTCCTGAAAAGGGTGCAAAACGTCAATAAATAAATAAATTAGTGCCTATAACTCGTCAAAACTGTTTTATTTAATGAGTGATGTGCGTGAAAACCTAAGAAACAAATATAATATATCTGATATATTGTATACAGGCGGTGAGCTAGCGTCGTGCGTACACCGGTTCGTTCGTCACGGCGACGAGCGCGTGGCGACGCTTGCACGCCGATTGCTCACCGCACTCACGTACCCGCTGCTACTGATGCTTACAAGGTGGTTGTTGCACGGTAAGACTTCATCTTCAACCTTTATCTACCCACGCCAATGAGGGTTTTCTAAAATTTCGGGCTCTAGGTGGCAGCCATAGTTCTACTCATCCGTGAGATCACGTATGTCGTCATAGTCCTCTGATCATTTTAAATGTTCGTCCGATTAATTTGCGTTAAAAACTTCATACGAAAGACCTTTTGTCACAGTGGCGCCAACTGGTGACGTAATTTTTTCTAAACCACCAGATCCAGTTCTTTCCTGCTACTTTGTTGATGTTATCAGACCATCTGGCTGGCTACCTCTAGACCAGTGGTTCTCAAACTTTTTAAATGACGGAACCCTTTTGGGAAGCAAAATACTTGATGGAACCCTACAATAAAACAATTATTTTTATAAGTGTATTCTATATTAATCAGCATAATAAAAGTACAATGTATCCGTTACTAATTATTATTTACTTCACCACTTGGTAAGGACAATAATAGAAAACATTAAAAAAGAAAAAATCTAACTAGTGGGAGGTATGAAACTGTTTTTTATTTTTCATCAATTGCTTGATATCAGGTTTGATGGAAGAAAGTTGGAGTCTCATATCAGCTTCGGCGTCCAGTCTATTGCGATATTTTGTTTTCGTGGCTGCGTAGGTAGAGAATCCTGTTTCGCACAAATATGTAGTTGGGAACGGGAGAAGAATATCCAGAGCCATTTGGCCAAGCATTGCATATTCATCTTGGATTCTGCACCAAAAATCATTAAGAGGCGTCGTTTTGAACAATGACTCCATACTTGTGTCTGATGACATTTCTAAAAGAGATTCATATATCTCATTTGACATGTTTTCAGGCTTTTCCAAGTTGGGTAAAAAAGGATTATGAATCCAGGAGTTCACTTTAATTTTTGTATTGTGTTCTTCGGGAAAATACTTTTCAAAAGATGCGCGCATCGAACTGAGATATTGGACCAATTCTTCAAACACATTATCTTCAAACATTTCTGAGTCGTTTTCGCTAACAAACTCAGTGAGTAACGTAAAACTTTCTATTTCTTTCTTACCAATGCAAATGATCCAAAAATCTAATTTTCTTTTAAAAGTAGTTATTTTATTATAGGCCTGAAACACTGTTGTCTGTTTACCTTGCAATGATAAATTTAATTCGTTAAGTTTTTGAAAGATATCCGCCATAAAAGACAATCGGAACAACCAAGTTTTATCATACAAACGGTCCTTCAAATTAAAAGAAGTATCTGCTGAAAGAAACATTTGTAACTCGGCTCTAAGTTCAAATAGCCTTGTTAAAGTTTTTCCCCGAGACAGCCATCGCACTTCTGTATGGAGCAGCAGTGTTTTATGTTTGCTGCCATAATCTTCACACAATAATGAGAACAATCGGGATTGTAGTGGTCGTGATTTGATAAAATTAATTATTTTTACCGCTTCATCCATAACTAATTTTAGATTAGACGGCATTTGCTTCATCGCAAGTGCTTGTCTATGCAGAATACAATGACTGGAACTACAATTAGGCGCTTTATTTTTCATTCGTGACACTGCTCCTGCTGTTTTACCTGTCATCGCCTTGGCCCCATCTGTACAAATGTCAATGCAATTGTTCCAACTGAGATTATGTTCTTCAAAAAATATATTTATTTTATTAAAAATTTCTTCCCCGGTAGTGTTTGTAAGCAGCGATGAACACATAAGCATGTCTTCTTCAAAAGAACTTTTATATGGATATCTCACAATAACCAGCAGGATAGCCAAACCAGCGACATCAGTCGACTCGTCCATTTGCAAAGCGAATCGTGTATTTTGTAGACGTGTAACTAGTTCTTGTTTGACGTAGCTTGCCAGATCATGGATTCGTCGTGAAACAGTATCGTTTGATAGCGGAACAGTAGAAAGATGCTTTGCAGATTTTTCATCAAGCATACATTTTGTTATGTCTAATACACATGGTTTTATTAATTTCTCAGCGATAGTGTGCGCTTCACCTGCTTGTGCAATGCGATAGCTAACTAAGTATGATGCCTCCGTGGCCTTTTCGTTGGTAGTTTGTGTTACATGCATCATATTTTTTTGACTTTCTAATAACTGATCTTTTTTGCGAACAAAAAATTCTTTATTCTTGTCTTTAGTCTCGGGGTGTACGGTTTCTAAATGTCGACGCAATTTGGCAGGTGCCATGGAACTATTAGGAAGCAGTTTACTACAGAGCATGCAGAGAGGTGAGCCGTTGGAATCAACAAATCCGAAACTGATATAAGATTCATCATACTTCCTTTTTTTCGTCTTTGAAACCGTCGAGCTTGACGTCGTGGCACTCGTGGCATCATCTTCTGGATCGGTGATTGCTAAATTCTCCGCGCGCATTGCTTTTGAACATTCAGCGTCATTAGAAGATGTTGTTGGAACACGTTTAACACCTTTAAGCCAACGTTCCATTCTTCTTTATTTATAATGTTACAAGTCAGGATAGTGGGGTTTAAATAATGCACAATCGTTACTGCGTATAAGAGACTAAATTTAGAACCTACAGGGAAGAAATGTATAAAACTGAGACAACAGAATACAGCAGGCAGTAAAACAATGAACACCAGTTTCTCGCTAGCGAGCTTGTAAGTAGGTAGTAACTTATCGCTCCGAACGCTAATCATCAACTGACGACGCCAACGCGCGATCGCCGCTTTTATACTTAGTCCTAGACTCGATCTCAAATATTCTCGAAAATACTCGAGTCGGCACCTTTGATAAACAAAAAGCAAAAATAAAAACAGAAATTTAAAAATAGCGTTGTAAACAATATCGACTTTATCCTTTGAAGTTAGAGACGAAAGTCGCTAGTTGACAACTATAGCGTCTAATTCAGAGGCGGCTTTTATCAAAGAGACTGAGCGCTTACAAGTATACTACCCGCTCGTTTTAAGTTTGCCGCTGGCGATAGGTATGAGTGTATGACGTTCGAAATTTTTTATTTAATTGTAACAATAAAAATTGTGTACGTTAGATATTTGGGTAAAACTATGACACATTATAAGTTTTGTTGTCACGTGGGGGAGGGTACGCGCATTCCACAGACCGGCAAACTTAGAGCGAACGCGTTGTACAAGTATAAAATTGTTGAGACCAAACTTATGAGATATTGTACCAGCTAATGTAACACAAGCTTATACAAATACAAATAAATAAATAAATAACATTCATAGCGTTTTGTCTCCGCGCGGCCGCGGAGTCCGCACAGCCGCGGAGCGACCAGAGAGAGGTGTTTTGATTTTTTTATTTCTAAATTCTTGCGGAACCCCGACAGAGGTATCACGGAACCCTAGGGTTCCGCGGAACACACTTAGAGTATAGCTGCTCTAGACGTTCCTGCGTCATGTTCTTGATCGCCACTCCACAATAGCTCGACTCCGCCTGTTGTCTGTTCTGCGAGCCACGTGACCTGCTCATTTCCATTTCTTCTTTCATAGTAGTTGACTATGATTAGTGCCTGTCAAATACGTCCACGTGGAACGGTGCGTTGACATAACGTGCAAACTTGATCGTAAATTTACACGTTAAGTTAATACCACCATGCCAACTTACCGCACCGTTTCATGTTGACGTTGACGTGAATTGTTACTGAGGCTTACAAAGTGGCTGTTGCACGGTGAAACTCGAATCATTTGTCGTCACACCCGTCACTTATATCAAGCCGACAACAAACTTGCACCTGTTTTTTTTTTTGAATTTTGAACCCAAGGATATTATTACGTTTTTTCATTAAAAATCAGCTTTCTCCACTAAAACAGTAAAATTAACACTTTTACCTATTCAAATATGCGTTAATCTTAAAGATTCCACTAATTATCCAGTTGTGTAAACATTATAATGGCCGAGAGACCATAAATTTAAGCTGGTCAAAACAATGTGTAGACATGTCCACATCTCCATGTCCTGACGTTGTCAACGTTAAACTGTGCGGTGTCGCGGCACGGTGTGTTGCCGCGTCGTGCTAGTGCCATAGAGGTATAAGAATAAAGTGGGAAAGGCGGCTCTAAAAGTGTCCGTCTAGTATAAAGAGAAAAAGATGAGAGACGGCTAGCTATCTCTCTCTCTTGTGATGCATGGCATCCAATGGCATTACATCGAAATAGTAAGATTACGGTTGCCAATGCGCATGCGCTATTAGAGAGAGAAAGCTAGCGGTCCCTTATCTTCTTTCTATTAGAGGGACACTTCCACTTGTAGTAGAGTCTATATCTCCTCTATACCCCTAAAAAATTGCCACACAAAACTGCCACGAGAAAAACGGCGAACGTCACGTTAACACGTAAAATTATCGTCCGTAAACTGACTTCACAGACAACCATTTTTTTAATTTGCAGGAGAAATCGACGATCCTTATAATGAATTCTTCATTGAAAGCAGGTCTGGTGTTCCTATCGATAGGATGTGGCATGACAAATACAGAGTAAGGTGAGCCTAACATTTGTTATATATTAAGCTGTAATAAAAGCGTACTGTGATATTATGTGTGAAGGTGTGCTTATTTTTGTGTTGAAATTGTAATTTCTAAACTGAAAAGTAATACATGCCCATATTAAAAAAATTAAGATACTTTGTATCACAAAATACATGTCATTTTGGGTGGAAGCAGAAGGGGTTTTAAGAATTCCAAAGGGGAAGATCTTCCTTCGAGCTGAGTGATTGTCGAGGGCCGCGGCCCGACTGAAGTGTCTCACAGACAGACTCGGCCTGTGGCCGCGGCCAGTTGTATTCGCTTGCAATGTAAGCGAGTTTTAAAACACGAGCGACCAATAAGGGCTCAGGGTATATAATAAGGGTCAGGCTTTAGTGAAGCGTTAGCCTCCAAATTTCTACTGCGCGATGTGTACTTCCATACTTTTTGAGTGCAGCGCCAGTATCACCATCTGTCGTTATGGAGCGGCAACTCTTGCTTGTAAATTATATGTGGGGCGTGTAGATGTCGCCGCCATAGGGTTAATCGAAAATCTCACCATATTACACCGAGTGAGGGAAGAGTAAGAGCAAGTGTACATTGAGCCACTAGCGGACTAAACCAGACCGCTAGTGGCTCAGTCAAGGTTGTCGTCGTCGTCATTAAGTGGCCGCGATTTGTGGCTCAATTTGCACTAGCTCTAAAGTTACTAAAGAATCGAGTGATTAATTTATAACTCCCAAATTTTAAATGGACGGGCATATGTTAGGGAATGGATGGTGCCTTCGTTCATGTCGCGCGAGCAGGCGGCGCAGATCCTCGCGACCGGCAAGAGTGTCGTATTCATGCGAGAGGCGTGCGCTGACGAGCCCGGCCCAAGCGACCACGCACACCACCTGCAGGCGTTACTCAAGTCTCATACTGGTGAGTCACCCGGAACACGTTGTGTGCTAGGTAATGGATGGTGTTTTCGTTAATGTCGCGCGAGCAGGCGGCGCAGATCTTCGCGACTGGTAAGAGCGTCGTGTTCATGCGAGAGGTGTGCGCTGACGAGTCCGGCCCAAGCGACCACGCACAGCACCTGCAGGCGTTACTTAAGTCTAATACTGGTGAGTCACCCTGAACACGTTGTGTGCTAGGGAATGTATGGTGCCTTCGTTCATGTCGCGCGAGCAGGCGGCGCAGATCTTCGCGACTGGTAAGAGCGTCGTGTTCATGCGAGAGGTGTGCGCTGACGAGTCCGGCCCAAGCGACCACGCACAGCACCTGCAGGCGTTACTTAAGTCTCATACTGGTGAGTCACCCTGAACACGTTGTGTGCTAATGAATGGATGGTGCCATCGTTCATGTCGCGCGAGCAGGCGGCGCAGATCTTCGCGACCGGTAAGAGCGTCGTGTTCATGCGAGAGGCATGCGCTGACGAGCCCGGCCCAAGCGACCACGCACAGCACCTGCAGGCGTTACTTAAGTCTCATACTGGTGAGTCACCCTGAACACGTTGTGTGCTAGTGAATGGATGGTGCCATCGTTCATGTCGCGCGAGCAGGCGGCGCAGATCTTCGCGACCGGTAAGAGCGTCGTGTTCATGTGAGAGGCGTGCGCTGACGAGCCCGGCCCAAGCGACCACGCACAGCACCTGCAGGCGTTACTTAAGTCTCATACTGGTGAGTCACCCTGAACACGTTGTGTGCTAGGGAATGGATGGTGCCATCGTTCATGTCGCGCGAGCAGGCGGCGCAGATCTTCGCGACCGGTAAGAGCGTCGTGTTCATGTGAGAGGCGTGCGCTGACGAGCCCGGCCCAAGCGACCACGCACAGCACCTGCAGGCGTTACTTAAGTCTCATACTGGTGAGTCACCCTGAACACGTTGTGTGCTAGGGAATGGATGGTGCCATCGTTCATGTCGCGCGAGCAGGCGGCGCAGATCTTCGCGACCGGTAAGAGCGTCGTGTTCATGCGAGAGGCGTGCGCTGACGAGCCCGGCCCAAGCGACCACGCACAGCACCTGCAGGCGTTACTTCAGTCTCATACTGGTGAGTCACCCTGAACACGTTGTGTGCTAGGGAATGGATGGTGCCATCGTTCATGTCGCGCGAGCAGGCGGCGCAGATCTTCGCGACCGGTAAGAGCGTCGTGTTCATGCGAGAGGCGTGCGCTGACGAGCCCGGCCCAAGCGACCACGCACAGCACCTGCAGGCGTTACTTCAGTCTCATACTGGTGAGTCACCCTGAACACGTTGTGTGCTAGGGAATGGATGGTGCCATCGTTCATGTCGCGCGAGCAGACGGCGCAGATCCTCGTGACCGGCAAGAGCGTCGTGTTCATGCGAGAGGCGTGCGCCGACGAGCCCGGCCCAAGCGACCTAGCACACCGCCTGCAGGTGTTACTCAAATCTCATACTTTTGAGTCAAATCAATGGTGCAGGCGGCTGGGGCTTTCAGTCCGTGATTGTTGAAGTTTGCTATGGCGGTATTATTGGATGAGTAGCTAAAAACTTAATCTTGAGCTCTTTCGTGCTTCGGCATGTTTAGCCGTTGGTGCACTACTTGCTACATGTGTAGTCGTTAGCGCCCACTAACCTGCACTTGGTCCTCGTGGTGGATCATGTCATGACTCATTCGCACTATGCCATTTATAGGAAAGGCTGTGCCCCAGCGATGAGGCCATTACTAGACTGGTGATGACGATGAGTGAATTTATGATGACACTTAAATAACACGTTTATGTTCATACTATCACATTCGAACTTCTAATGCAATATAATCTTAATTGGTTTAGGAGGATCATCTAGCGTGGACAGCGCGGGTACAGCGTGGTGGGAAGCCGAAGGACTAAGAGCTGGCGTTGCCGCCGCCCACACCGCCGCCTCTCAGCGCCTACTGGCCGCTCTCACCACGCACCACCACCTGCTGGACCACCTGGCGGCCCACAGGCGCTACCTGCTGCTGGCGCAAGGAGACTTCGTCCACCACCTCATGACCCTGTTGCGGTGAGTGTTACGGCACAGTACGCGGCCGCTTCGCAGCGACTACTGGCCGCCCTCACCACGCACCACCACCTGCTGGACGACCGGGCGGCCCACAGGCGCTACCTGCTGCTGGCGCAAGGGTACTTCGTGCACCACCTCATGACCCTGTTGCGGTGAGTGTGATGTCACAGCACGCGGCCGCCTCGCAGCGACTACTGGCCGCCGTCACTACGCACCACCACCTGCTTGATGACCTGGCGGCCCACAGGCGCTACCTGTTGCTGGCGCAAGGGGACTTCGTGCACCGATATTATGATCCTGTTGCAGTGAGTGTGAGGTCACAGCACGCGGCCGCCTCCCAGAGACTACTGGCCGCCCTCACCACGCACCATCACCTGCTGGACGACCTGGCGGCCCACAGGCGCTACCTGCTGCTGGCGCAAGGGGACTTCGTGCATCACCTCATGACCCTGTTGCAGTAAGTGTGACGTCACAGCACGCGGCCGCCTCGCAGCGACTACTGGCCGCCCTCACTACGCACCACCACCTGCTGGACGATCTAGCGGCCCACAGGCGCTACCAGTTGCTGGCGCAAGGGGACTTCGTGCACCAATATTATGATCCTGTTGCAGTGAGTGTGAGGTCACAGCACGCGGCCGCCTCCCAGAGACTACTGGCCGCCCTCACCACGCACCATCACCTGCTGGACGACCTGGCGGCCCACAGGCGCTACCTGCTGCTGGCGCAAGGGGACTTCGTGCACCACCTCATGACCCTGTTGCAGTAAGTGGGACGTCACAGCACGCGGCCGCCTCCCAGCGACTACCATCTATGAGACTTCCATTCATTCTGTCATAATTCTCCGTGAATCGTTTACCAGAATCGCCTTATTTTTTGACCCGGAGGAATGCGATACGCAGACCTCGTCGCTGGGTAAGGCGACGAGGTTATGTGGGACTCGTGTTATCACCTCCGGCCCACCCATTAAGCCAAACCGTAAGGCTGGCTCGATGGTTGCTCGGGATGGGGGTGCTCTTTCCACTAAAACTCCGGGATGTGCTCTCTCCTTGCCGGTGTCGACGGCGTGGGCTGTTTATTAGGAATAAAACTTGCTGCCCGGCACACCAGGACTGCCTCACCTCGCAACTAACCAAGTTGCGAGGTGATTTTGATAGGAGTATTCAAATTCACAATTCCAAATCGTTTAATTAATTTAGGCGGTTACAAGTACTTATTAAACGTCTAGATCCCAACTAACATTAGGCGCTAAAATAAGAGTAAAATAAGCGTTAAATTTTATTACTAACACACTTTTGTGGTTATAATCTATACTTGCAGCTCCTACTCTACCTTCATTACACTTAAGGCTCTAAAGTAAGCTCTATTTGCAGCCATAATGTTTGTTGGGATGTTACGCCATCGATGCGTAAATCTACCGCGGGTTTGTAAATTAGTTTGTATGTTAAAATAGAAATCAGAATGGGGACACCGTAAAGTTCATGGTCGCTCCGCTCAGCGACATATTGGTTAGATTACACATGTTACCTTGATGTTAACAATGTCTTCATTAATTTTATTAAATATTTCTTTTTCAACGCAGGGATGAACTGAACAAACCAGCGACTTCACTTTATGTGCACAATCTAACGTGCACGTTGGAGGCGGCAGTGCGGGCCACAAACGCCCAGTTCGAGCCGCCGCATGTTCTCGCGAGACTGCACGTAAATCTTTATCCGAACTGTAAGTGACTTCTTATTATATTAGCGGCCACCCGCGACTTCGGACGCGTTATGTTTAAGTTTTTTTGAGAATCCCTCAGTTTTTTTTTTATGCGAGTGTCAGTTAGTCCATTCTCTAACAGGATAATTGACCAGTTTGTGAAAACTTTCATACGTTATTTATTAGTGTATAGTGACTCCATAAAAAGACGCGACGGTGATGGACATTTAGAAATCTGTTGGGTATATCAGTAAAAAATTGATTTCAAATATGCCGCGGAAACGTTTTTCTAGCAAATATGGCGTCTTACAGGCAGTTGACGTCACACGGCTCTCATTAAAACGTCAGTACAAAGTAATGTCACTTCGAAAACATGTTTACAAGCAGGTGACGTCATTTCTAATAGCTAAATTGTCGCGCTAACAAACGCGTCACGTCTAGAGTTGGTATGATCTTTAAATCAGAACCTGCCCGTTTAGGCGAGCAAAAGGGTAAATATGGGACACTTTTAATATTAAGACATTTCTATCTTATAATACAAATGTTAAGACATAAATTAATGATATTTCACTTCTCATTTTACATTAAACTTAAGGAATAAAAACTTATCTTACTAGTAGTATCTACTAGTGATTCAAACTTTTATAGGTAAACAAAAAGCCGTACACTCTTATTTGTTCGGATAAGCTTTCAAAAAGCCCGTGTCTGCATTTTGGGTTGGCAGAGCATTAACGTTGCAATAGTTTGAAACGGAAATAATTTATATAGACCTTTAGCACCTAGGGGTGTAAATTGTTTACTGGAAACAATAGTTCCACGTCGTCCTCTTAACGGTTAGTTGGTGGTCGTTCCCGAAACTACCTTGTACAAGGATTGAATTTTACTTGAAGCGCAAGGAAATTAGTAGTTGATGATAACTAGGATCTGTCATTCATTCGCTCCCAGCCTAGTAGTAATAGCATACTCTAAATGAAAACCAAGCGTGACAAACCTCATTGGCGTAAAGCGAGTAACATTTGAGTTAACTATTCGATTTAGCGATTGACTCTCGTTGACCCTGTTGTGAATGAATTGTGAAGTCTTGCTCGAGTCAATTGGAGTCCCGGCTTTATACTGGATTGACCTGTAACCTCGCCGCCTGATAAATTATACTAACGGACTTAGACTGTATTGTTGAAGGGTAGTGCTGTCTGCCTCCAACTAAAAGTTGAGTTGGTTATGTTGCCGCCTTGCCGTGAATTCATTGAACTTCTTTTGTCTGTTAAACGGGTTCCCTCAATGTGTCAGCAGAATCTTGTTGCTCCGAAAATCATTTGGCATAGTAGTTTTGAACGTATATTTGAAAGCTATATATATATATTTTAATATTATCTTTGTTTAGCCGAATGTTTATAATTTTATGTGTCCCAATTCTCAGTGGCGTGCTTTTAAGATAGCAGAATTGATGTTATTAGGCATATTTACCTCTGGAAATATTGTATTCGGAATAATTACGTTAAGCATAATCGCTGTTTGTGGTTAGTGGATTAAGTTAGGTAAAAAAGTTAAATATTTGTATGCCAAAAGTCGATTCTGTCTTCACCTTCTGTAATACGATGGTTCTGATTTTTAATTATTGTGGATATGCCCTGCGGTTATTACGGTTGGGATTAGGACGTATACGCGATCTAGCCCCCCTAGCATGAGCACCGCTGCACTGAGCAATATGATATATATTGCGTTTTTATCACGCACACTTGTAAATTACTATAGTTTCACAGTTAGACGCGATAAAAAACGTGATACAATGTAAATTGTGGTGCTCATGCTACGAGGACAGTACCGCGTCGACGGTCTGTTCCCGACCACGTGTGCGGCGAGATATAATGCGAGTAGAACTTTATGGTAGCCTGAAGTTAGCAGCAAGCGCAGCTATGCGTACAATTGAAACCCCGCGCTCACCTACATCACCCTACATTTCTTTTACTGCGCAGTAGCGCAACGTACTTTGACTTAACGACCCCCCATTTAGTTTGAATTGCACTAAACCGCGCGCTGTTCACGCAACCGTTATTTTTAGTTTGCTAAAGTTGATTGAGATCCTGCCACATTCTGTACGATAGCAACAGAATGAGATGCATCAAATTAATATTACGCTTCTGATTCAACGAATTAGAAATGATATGGGAGTTTACTCTCTAAAAAAGGCCGCTAAAACATGGTTCCAAACTCATACAACTAAACTTCAATATTAGCGCGACACGTCAACAAACCAAAAAAAAAATACATTGATATATCAAATATCCGCAAATTAAATTCGGCTATCCATTCATTGGGTAAGATAATCTTAAACGGAAATCCCAACCAATCCCATGATTCCCATGATCGGCGAGTCGATCGCAGTTTTTTTGCTTCATCCGCTTGATCGCAGAACGTGGAACCACGCTTTAGCGCAGTTATACCATATTATTTCTAATTCGTTGGTCTGAGTACGGCTTTTATCTGTTATTGTATAGGCGATGGGCGTGACGACTGCGGATGGGACGTATTCGCGCTCCAGTACCGCGTGGACGGGCCACTGGGCACATTGTTCCCGGCCACGTGCGCGGCGAAATACCGCGCGTTGTTTACGCAACTATGGCGTGTGAAGAGGATAGAGTACGGACTGCACGATGCATGGCGCGAGCATACCATATTGCAGAAGCGGCTCAAGTACATGCCCGGTAAGGTGATTGTGTATAGATTCGGGATGGAACGATAGGTGCTCCAGTACCGCGTTCACGGGCCACTGAACACATTGTTCCCGGCCACGTGCGCGGTGAGATACAATGAACTTTTGACCAATCGTTTGTTTTTGTTGCAATTCATCTTATAAATGGTAGACCGTAGTACCATGTCTTTGTGGTTAGTCGGTTGGTTAGGTTAGTATTGTGACCTAAACTTAGCGCGAGCCGAGCGAACCCGCCAAGCGCCAGCCACTTGAAAATTATTAATTCGGTGAACAACAGGAAATAAAAACGATGAGTTGGACAAACTTTCATTGGTCTGTAGTTCATTCGGTGAGAATATTAAAAGTGCATTTTTTTATTGGATTTGTTATTTAGTAAAATGGTATTCAAAATCATGTTCGGGTATCGTTTATTCTAAAGCTGTTATTGTACTCTCCCGAGTACTTTCATATGGTTGCATTTTTGTTATAACGAAGAAGCTAGAAAAAGTTCCTTGACCGTAGAGGTGTGGGGTCTGATGCGTCGCGTGTCGTGTCTACGCGCCGAGGCTTTGCGTCTATGCGGCGCGCTTCAAGAGGCGAGCTGTGTGGGTGCCGAGCTCGCGTGGGAGGAACTGGTCGCCGCCGCAGCCGAACGATGCGACCTCGACCGACTGCTGCGACTGCATCACCGCGCGCTCGACCGCCACTCCATACACGCCATGATACACCACACCACGCAGGCGAGTACGGGCGTGTCTATGAGGCGCGCTACAAGAGGCGAGCTGTGTAGGTGCCGAGCTCGCATGGCAGGAACTGCTCGCCGCCGCGGCCGAAAGATGCGACCTCGACCGACTGTTGCGACTCCACCACCGTGCGTTAGACCGACACTCCATACACGCCATGATACACCACACCACGCAGGCGAGTACTGGCCACCACTGGCGAGCTGGTGCCGCCCTCTCGACACCCACTCCTACACACCATAATACACCACACCACGCAGGTGTGTACTGGCCACCACTGGCGAGCTGGCGCCGCCCCCTCGACACCCACTCCATGCACGGCATGATACACCACACCACGCAGGCGAGTACTGGCCAACTTTAGCAAGCCGGCGCCGCCCCCTCGACACTCATTCCATACACGCCATAATACACCACACCACGCAGGCGTGTACTGGCTACCACTAGCGAGCCGGCGCCGCTCCCTCGACACCCACTCCATACACGCCATAATACACCACACCACGCAGGCGTGTACTGGCCACTACTGATGAGCCACCGTCACCCCCTAGACACCTACTCCATAATACACCACACCTCGCAGGCGTGTACTGGCCCTCACTGGCGAGTCGGCGCCGCCCCCTCGACCGTCTGCTGCGGCTGCACCACCGCGTCAAAAGTCATGTGACAGTTTATATTTTTTAAATAACATGCAGGGTCATATTAATTATCGGTTTTACTGCGTCTTATATTTGATTTATGTTCTAAGAATACTCATCATGCCTCTCATTTAACATGGCGTGCCGCTTACCATCAGGCGGGCCATATGCACAAAGCGTATGTTAATCTGCCACCATAACCTATAGCCCATAGACTCTTGCGATAATCCTGCCTGAGTATTAAAATGAACATGATAAAAGTGATACTTATACAAAATGAAAACTGTATATTTTACTCTGCATAATTATGAAAATTAAATAACTTGGTTTTATTAGGAGCTGCAATCATATTTGGGCAACGTGTTAAATGAAACACTTGCGTTGAGAAGTTTCGAAGCTACGTTGCATAACGGGATCAATGCCGAACTAGAACGACGCGAGGGCATCGAGCAAATGAAAGCTGAGAGAGTCGCGCGGGGTAAGCAATCGAAAATACTTGTAATTCAGCGTTGGACAATAGATGAAGTACGTGCATTGAATATAGTTCTTATTGCTAAGTAATAAAGGCCCTATCTGAGTAAAATCATATCATCCAACCTACCAACCATCATAGCCTCGACTGTGCATAATATAATTTTTTATGCCTCGAGAGACTTTTATATACTGGTTTACTTGGTTGATTTTGAACTTTACGTTTAACTAAGAACACGAAAAAATCTTCATATAGGAGAAATTTTAATTATCTTATTATTTAAAGGCTTATGTTTCACAATGTTCTGTCAAAATTGTATTGTTGTTCTTGTAGTTCGACGTAAATAGTTTGTTCCGTAAGATTGGTGATTAAAATTGTCTTGTTTTCAGGGGAATATGCATTCACTGCAGCTGACGAAGCACAGGACAAAGAGAAACGAAAGATCTTCCATCAGTTCCTGGCGAGCAGAAAGGCTGATTTGAACGTTTGGGCGCGAACTTACAGGTCCGTAATTATGTGTTAGATGCGTTTGTAACATTGGTTGTATTCTTATAACCTAGCTAGCGATCGCATCTGTTTAACGCAATAAACAGTCTTTGTCTATCCTGAAACTTCTGTCAAATATTGATAGTTGCTTTAATTTGGTAAAATTGTGCATGCTTTCCATGATCCCTTCCATTTGACATTTATAGTCACGTTGACACTTCTTTATAGTTTTGAAGGGGATTGCAAAAAAAAGTATAAGTTAAACTATTAGTACCTCCAGTTAGTTGTTTCGGTGATGTCGCTCTAATTAAAAACTAAACCTCTTCATAATAATGTTTTAGTATTTATTTAAATCTTAACACACCAGCGTGTGACCACACTATAGGTGTATATGCAAAGATAAGGGACCATCTTGCTACAATTCCTCTGTTTTTGAACTTCTACATTCTAAAGTGGGGTTTTGGTGCTTCCCACATATTTTATGTTATTATTATTATTACTTTAATAAGTCCTCTTTTGCTTCTACGTAATCATAATCTTGGGAGAGCAATGGTGGGTAATGTCCACTTCACAACCTTTATGCCCACGCTGTTCAAAAATAACAATTTAAAAGAATAAATGTTAGTTCACGAGGACGGGTACCCAATCTACGAAAAATCCCTAAATAGCACTACAAGTGTAATAAATTTAGTAATAAAGTACAAATGCAATCTTTGTAACTTATTCCGCCTAATTCCAAAACGCGAACTAAAGTTAGTTTTGGTTTAAACCCAATGTTATCTCTTATTTTAAGCAAACAAAAGCGACAGCTTCAGTTTAAGTCTAGGTTTATCTTTAGCCTTCTGTAGTATGTTGAGTTTTAAGTGACTGTGACTTACTTTATAGCAACGTTGCATTATTGATCAGACGGCAATAATAGTACTCGTGTCACGTGTACGTAATTGAACTACTCCGAAACGGCTCTACCGATTTTCGTGTAATTTTATATGCATATTCAGTAGGTCTGAGAATTGGACAACATTTATTTTTAATCCCCTTGGTCCACCCTTATTTTTTTTAACAATTTTTTTATTATACATCATAGAAAAATACATACAACCCTAAATTTTCATCCTTCTACCACCAACCCCTATTTTTTTATGGCGGTACGAAGTTCACTGGGACAGCTAGTATTAAATATAATACATTATTTAAGCTAGTTTGATTTGAAATTCCTGTAAGAAGAATGATATTATACTACGTTTAGTAGTAAAGCGGTAAATGTTGATGTCTAGGGGCCACGTGACCACGCTGATATTGAAGCTGGCGCTGCATACAGAAGTGTCGCTGCAAACACTTGCCTTCCGCCTGGATTACAGTGACTTCTACAAGCGAGGCGATGCGAAGCTGCACGAACCGCTCACCTACCAGCACAAGCGATTAAGCGAGATCGGACTCAACTTGGCCAAGGTATTGTAATTTGTGGGGATGTGGTCCGAAATTATAACGCCAGTTCACGTTTGACAGTTCTTTATTCACCACCACTCAGTTAAGCATTTTGATCGCCTTTTTAATCGTTCCGAAACTCTGCTGTGAACTCCGCGAAGCCGAGCGCACTTATATGTACCAAACGAAGCATTTCAGAAAAAAATCAGTTCAATTGAGCCTAGCACCCATGGAGGTTAGAGAGCAGGAGAACGATCGCTACGTACTAAAGCATTAGCCCGCCTGTCCCTGAAAATTTGAAGAATTTATAGTTTATTTTTCAGCTACTAGCCGCGCTGCCGTCGGTAAGTAGTGTCTATGAGGTTAGCTGTTTATGAGTACAAGTAGATGAAGTTAGTTGAATAATGTACAAATTTTCTTGGCGGCATTGGTCATTTCAAATTAGCGCACAACAACCCGCTTTTATTGAGACAACTTAGCGATCGCAGCGCCTCACTTATATTTTCCATATTTCTGGGATACTATTTTCTACAGCGATCGTTCTCCTTCTCTCTTACCTCCATGCTAGCACCGGTGAGTACTTATACGTAGGTGGCAGACATGAGTTGTAAACAAAATGGCAGCTCTCGTTGCGCTTTCACCCTTACGCCGTACTGCTAAGGCTCATATTCGAGTGGACAATACCATTCAGCTTACGTATTTAGGTACTTGGGAGCGACGGCCGCGACATTCTGGGTAAATCTATTTCCAGTGCGTTTGTGTTTTGGGTCACGAACACTCTGGAGTGTTTGTGACGGTAGGTTATACGTGCACATTGAGAAGGTCCGTGCTTTGCTAATACTGAAGCTAGCGCTGCACACAGAAATGTCGCTGCAGACACTCGCTTTCTAGCTTTATTACAGTGACTTCTACAAGCGGGGCGATGCGAAGCTACGCGAACCGCTCCCTACTAGCACAAGGGACTCAAAGGTCGGACTAAACCTGGCCAAGCCAATCTTTGAAGTAAAAAAAAATAGCGTATTGTGATTTGGACTTGTAATTAAATTAGGTGTGCTTGAACTCGCTTCTTGTCACCTATATAATGCCGACACTTCACTTGGTTATTCGCGTTTGCTATTTCTAAACTTGACATCAGTCTATCCTTTTCTTTTCTTAAAAAAGCATGATAAGGACATGTAGCCAGGTTTACGAATAGCAAACACGAAGAGCTAAGTGCCGGCATAAAGTGAAAATATATGATCAATGTTCAGAATTTCTTCTACCTTCGACTATCCACATGTAATCATGAACATCGTCATTGCTATCGAGGAACTCTGATTTTAAATCGAAAATTACACTTAAAAGGCATCATGTCTAAGGAATTGGCTTTGACGACCTCCGTGGTCGAGTGGTTTGTACGCCGGGTTTCATGGTGTCGTCGACTCGAGAGGTCCCGGTTCGAATCCCGGTGGGGTCAGATGTTTGTGTGATGAATACGAGCATTTGTACTCCAGTCATGGATGTTTAATATGCATTTCTTTAAAAACATACTTATATATGTACCGAGTAACTGCGGATTACTTTGACATAAAATGTGCACGTTTTTTTTTCAAATAAAATTGTAGCTTCTCTTTGTGATGAATATGTCACGTTTATATCTTTCCTTTGTGAACTTTAAAGTATAAGTTACAAAGTTATCATACAAAAATAGGAAAAAATAATATTTAAGGGTTAATATATTTTTTTTAATTTTGGGCCAAAGTTGGCCTTAAAGAGGGTTACTTTAGCTCGTCGAGTTTTCTCTGTGAAAAAAACTCATTTTTAGCCATGTTGGGGTTAAGTAACCCTTATAACAGATCACCATTAGCATACTGAATACACAGATGGATGTTTATGCCCAAAAATAATTAAGATAAATAAAAAATATAACTTTAAATTTAGAAAAAATGGTAAACTTACCGAAAACCACAGTTTTGAGAAAGTTTGCGCATGAACTTGCGAATTATTTTAGTTACAAAAAATTCCGCGTTACAATGACAACTTGATACATGAACGATGGCGGTAAAACTACACCACACTACGCGCCTATATGGCTATCCTATCTGTGATTTTCAACTGGAACTATTACGGTCACCCAAGAGATACTGATGGGGCGGCAAGTTCAATATTTTTTCTGATTTGGGACAAAGTTACCCGCCCGAGCTAAAGTAACCCTCACTTACGGTACTGTATATGTATTCTATCCGTTACCCTAGTATCCCATAGCACAAGCCTTACAGTGCCGACTTTGGGGCTAGGCTAATTGGTGTGAGTGTTGGAAATATTTATTTATTTATTTGTCTTCTATTTTTTTTTCAGAGCAAAATTTTCGATCGTACAAAAAAGAAGTGACACGTCGCGATCGCGGAGCCGGCCGACACGACAGGCTGCGCGCCATGGCTGAACTTCGTTTGCGTCCGTGCGACGTGATCCTCGATTCACAACCTTATTAACTCTATTTAAGACACATAATGCCCCATAAGTGTACAAATAAACTAACAAACGTGTACGATTTTACTAATAAATTAAACCACAAAAGACTTGGTGAATTGCCCCATCTGTTAGCTCTCTATTTAGTGCCATTAATTTGTTGTATTACTACTACTTGTTAATTGAATGCAGTTGTAAGAATATGATGTTTTTTACCAAAAATGCCTCTTTTTTTCATAGTTTCCGCCCTTACGTTTTAAATGGTAGTCTGTAGCAAAAATTAAACAACAGCTAATTGATTTAACTTAAAACATTTTTATTTTTGATATTCATTATATCAGTTATGAATACTTTTACATAATCGGTATTATCACGGAAAGTTAGAAGCTGTTTAAAATTATTACATTTTCTTCTATGCACTTGTCCCACTGAGGAAGCGAATTGGATAACGACGAACGAGCGACTTCAAACCAACCAAAGGTTTGCATAGGACTGACCACTCCGCGAGCGAGTGGTGTGAGTTATTACTCTTTCGTGTCTCTTTGGGTATTCCACAAAGATAGTTTAAATTTGCGATAATATTCTATCACTACACCAAACCATTATTTTCTTAAGGATTGTAAACCATTATAAAGCTCGTTGTTAACAAAGCGCGCGCAGTTTGCTAACCGGACCAATTTTATCGCGATATATACTTTGATGCACACCAATTTATCGACAGCGAAGTGAAGATCAATTTTGTCGTGATAAACATTAGTATGTGCTAGGAGGGCTATTACACGGTAATAATATCATACAGTATTCTATCTTCATACAAACGGTCGGAAAGCGAGTCATACCTACGCCACTCGAGTTCGATGTGCGCTCGGCGGGCACCCAGTCGCGAATGCGCCGCCGCGCCGCAACGACGACCGAACGGTCTTAATTGTTTTTTATGCAGTTAGCCGTGCTTAAACGTGCGTTTTGTATTGTAAATATTTGATTTAATTAAGTAGATACCTACATAATTTAGTATGGAAAAGAACAAACGACGATCAATATCGTACAACAGCACAATTGCTGTTTTTGGTTGCTTGAACTCTTCAATAACACACCCAGAGATATCATTTTTTAAATTACCTGAAATATTGGAAAGGTGTCTTACTTTTATAGAATATTTTTTTATATATCTATCTACTAGCACGTAATTTGTTTCTAATATCTAGGTATTTCGGTTTTTCCATCGGGCAAAATATCTGGAATAATATATAAAAAAAGTGGTTAGGATGAAAAAAGAGACAAACGAGTAATCTACCTACACTCGCGTTAAAAACAAAACTACATAAACTACTGTAGGCTGGCGGCCCTACCGCGTGCAAACGCAGCGCTCGGTGTAGGCATTTATTTTCAAGGACAGGGCGGAGTCACAATACTGTATAGATAATATTACCGTGGCTATTACCTTGGCCAGAGATATCTCGACAACGCAAATCTTTGCGACAGTGCGGCCTCAGCGTTTATACACACTCGCTACTCGCCATATCGTATCAAGTTTCCAGTTTTATTCGTTCTTGCTAGTCGTCCGCGGTGGAATAAGTGCATTTAACTCATCTTCGAAGTCCGACTAACTTAAATAAAAGTTATACTTGGTAAAGTCGAATTTAATCAACATGGATAAAAATGATAAATTAAGATTGTTATATACCATTTTGTTGTCACGTCAGGATCTTGCTTCTAGAATATATATATATATCACAAACAAGTATTGTTTACATAAAAAGTTAACGGATTGCCTTTTAATAAAGCATAGAATGCTAGTGATTTCTATCGCAGAGACAGTTACAACTTTAAGTGAAACTTTAATTGACAGTTCTGAGTGCGGCCGAAAGACATTATTTTAAATTATAACATTAATATGTTCTGCAGCTTTTCTAGTATAGGAGAATCGTTACACATTTCTAAATCCCACGAACTTTAAAATGTACTTGTGACTTAAGACCAAAAGAAGGGATTCAAAGGTGCATGTGCGACCAAGCCGGGCTAGGCTAGTGTTCAATAATTGGTCAGTTGTAAAAATCTTTTAAAACGGACAATTGGCTCAATTTATATTGATTCGGCACACAGATAGATTGCTAATAATTTGGTTCTTCAATTATGGTAAATTCATACTAAAGCGTAGCCTATCGAATTTCAAAAACGTAAAACAAATTTCACCATTATCTCCGCAACGTAATGTACATACATATCAGAGATAAGATAGATAAAGAGAATTCCGCTTATCAGCTCAGAAGGAGTATGTGCATTACGTTGCGGAAATAAGGGAGAATTTGCAATGTCTCTGATTCTGATATTCGCTTCGATGCACTTACTCTGCGCTAGTATGAATTGGTCAAATCATTCCTAGACCGACCAAATACATAGTGATCTATCTGTGTGCCAAATCGTATCAGAGCTCGTTCAGGTATTTTTGAGGTTTCAAAGATAAATGCGAAACAACTATCATTTGTCAGTCTGTTTACGCCTTCACACCTAAATCCAACCTTGAAAATTTTAATAGAAAGGGGACCTTGGAGAAAGCTAACGAAAACTTGAGAAGAAAACTTACAGTGTGCAATAGAAAATTATGATTGTGTGGGGATACAATTATTGAATGCAGGCGAAGTATAAACTACAAACAATTTTAGTAAGAAACAGTAAGATATGAAAGACTATACGAAATACTTAAATACGTAGTGTGCGCGCGATATTTACAAAATGTCGTTATCATAAAGTGGACCACAATTATTTATTCAGTGAACACTGCATTTATATAGGTATCTATCTAAAAATTAACAATGTTTCAAAGAATTAAAAATATCAGTTTGAATAAAAAAACCGTTTCTTCTAGTAGGAATAGGCATTTACGGTAAAATAATGTACAATCTTCATATAATGCATCCAGAATAGAATATTCCAGTTATTAAAATAGCATTCAAATCTGTTGCGTAGTATTAAAACCAAGTAGTTATATTTATATTTTATATACTATCTATATTTTAATTTTGATCTGATCGGAATAGGTTGTAGTTACAGCTTACAAAGGCCCAAGCACGAACTTTTTACAGATCCGTAATCGTATCGTCATCGTCAAATTTTGTATGGAAGGAACCAGTTCGGTCTTACGTCCGGTAGTGGCGCTGCTTATATTTTTTTTTAATTTAAATATTTAATGCTCTCACAGTCATACATAGTACAATGCGATATGACAGCGTGAAGAGCAAATGGATGTGGCTCAGCATAAACTGCTCTGTTACAGAATGTTTTGGGCAGCGCTGGTTTACAGCCACACCCACTTCTCCTTAGATGAAAGCGAGACATGCAAAAGAGATCCAACAAAAGTAGGTGGTCAGATTGTGTGTGTGTGTGTGTGCATGTGTACGTGTTTTCATAGAAACTTGGACGATGCGATACTTATTATGGAGCTGTCAAATTTCGTGCTTGGGCTTCAGGTCAAAATAACCGCCACATTGGCTTATCTGATCGAGTACAGCAAATAAGGAACAATTATTTACACGTCCTACTGAAATGATGTATATTCCAAAGATAAAATTAGTACCGCCTACTCCAATAAATGGGTGTTAAAAAAAATTACAAATGGTGAACAATACGTTCTTCGAAAGTTGATGAAACTAAGAAGCTTACTGTTACAATGTTTTAAAGAATATGGACTAAGAGCGATCATTTAGGCCCGTATTAATAGATCGATCTCAACTTTGAAACTACGATCTTGAGATACTGTTTTCATACAAAATAGCGTCTCAAGATCACTCTCAGAGTTGAGAGCGATCTATTAATACGGGCATTAGTGTATAATCATGGCTTTGTGTGTCCGATAATAACAAACTCTCATACAACATACTTTGATGCAAACTAAAGTTAATAATATACGACAATCATACATTTTTTTTAATGTAATATAACCACAATATATATTACTAATAAAAATCAAATGAAAACTATTACAAAGCTAAAATGAGAATCACAGTTTTTAAATATAAGTAAGTATATAAAATGGTACCAAAAAGGTGTTTGAAAATTTTCTTTTTCATAAAAGGTAAGTACATTTATTTCTAAATGATAAACAACCAACATCCTTTTCACATGTAAATTAATCAGCAAAAGCTCATTATAACATCAAGCTACGATATAGCATTTTAACACTGATTACAAAAGTCTCGTTTCCATCACTTATAGAAAAATATTCATTTGCACTTTACACACCCCAACTTGTATATAAGTTAACAACAACACTTATTTCGATATTATGAGGATATTTTTTAATCTTGTGTTCTCAAGCTATATCAGCAGAGAAGAGAAATGCCATTAAAATACTAAAGTAAGTTAAAAAAAGAAAATCAATCATAGAAAATTACATTTAGATTAAATGTACCTTATTGTAATAACAGGATATAATCTAGTACCTACTTACTTGAGTAAATCAAATTTACTTACACTTTCACACTAAGTAAGTTTTTGATTAAAATAGGTATATGATTGAGTAGGTACATATTAGGTACATTTATTCCAAATGCATATTTATGACACTGCAATAATTATCGACATCGACAAAGCTTTTATAAATAAATTTAAAACTGTATTATCATTTTTGTAATGATTAAAACATAATTTTAATTTAAATAAGTATTCTAAGACTATTTTAATAAAAACGGAAAGTAATGTATTCAAAAGTAAAACAAAAAGTTTAGCACTTTCTCTGCCTCTGAATAACCAACTTGTACCACACATCAAGCATTAAAAATTTGCCAAACAACAAAACGATGTTGACATCTTCGATCCCAAAGTTTCAGAACCCGAAACAGAATAGGGTCATCGCCCTCACCGCTCGCACGGAGCGGTTTGACAATCACTGCACCTCTTCTTCGGGTGGCATTTCCTGTTGGTCTATGGGATCCTCATCCCGATGCCTAATTTCCGGTTCTATAGCCGGATCAGCTGTGGCCTCCGCAAGATTAGTGACAGATTTGCTCTTGAAGCATTGGAAGTCAACGTGGCGGCTCTTGGCCTCCTCTTTTTCCCACGACATGTGAATGAAGGGGCGTTGAACATAATTATATATTACTTCGGCGCGTCCGCCTGGCCGTTTGCGCACCTTTGGGAGAAATATATCGGTCCATTCAACACGTTAGATAATAATATGTACAGTACATATAAACAACCAGGGGGCCAAAAGGCTCTTCCTCAATTTAAAACTATATTTTGCCTTTTCGAAATAATAGCAAAGCATATTGAGTGCCAGTATGTATGCTACATGTTTCTAGCATTTTAAATACTCAACTCGACCATTTCAGTTACTTTTAGTGGTACATATTTCCTCTCATTGATTCAATTTGTAAATTGCTAGCAAGTGTAACTGGGTCTTGTCGCCACTTTTTTAAATAAAAATTAACAGGCAACATTTCTTAAACTGACTCAAATAATATTCTAGCTATAGTAGTTTTATTGTATTATTATACAGAATTACCTTCTCCTTGTATGTGGGGTAACCTTCAACGCCCAGGCGTATTTTTTTGAGGCCGCGCTCCCTCATCACTTGCTTGGCTACGTCCCTATAAATAAATATTGTTTATCATCATCAGGTAATTAAAAGCTTTATTGCTGGCATATAATAATAAATCAATAATATTTATTTCTGAAAAAAGTCCAATACAGCTTTCGGATCAGACTTCCCAGTAAGTATTATAAATACTTGTAGTGGAAATTCTCGTTCCCCCTAGATCAATTAACACAAAACTCATTTGTAGAAGAAATAAACAGCTATGAAACTATAAACAAAGCCTTTTATATGTAAAAATAACAGTAGGTATGTAATTTTAACCATACAAACAACATGCTAAGAAAAGTAACAAAAAACCCTTAATCACCATTAACAGGCAATCCAACTAAAATTAATTACGAGATCCTGTTGTATTATTATTTACCAACAACAACAAAAAGGGTACTTAGTAACAAAAATAAATTTAAATTTCACACCTAGTTTCAGCTCGGTACAGTACACATAGCTCGTTCCATTGCACATATGCGAGTCATTATAATAATGTTTCTAATGTTGCTTTTTTATTATCTATTTCTAATGTTGCTTTATTATTATTATTAGGAAACTACCTCTAGTAAGGCCTCTGTTTGGTCATAATCAAGTGTTCGCAACCACGTAATTAGCCGATTTTGCAGTCAGAAGACCCCATAGAATATATATGTAGTGCTAGGAAAGAAGATTACATACAACCAAAAGCGTGGCGTGGACAAATTCATACAAATTCGCCTTATAAAGACGAAGTCGCATCAGATGGGCCATTTTTCAGTATACTATAACCAAAATTCATAAATAAAATTTACAAATTGAAGTTCATGATAACATAAATATCTCTGTGTGGCCTGGCCACGTGCAAAGGGTTGCTTAGGCCACAAGATAGCAAAAATATCATGGATGGCTTTCATATTTATTAAATGACAACTATGCATATTACATTACAAGTAATCTATTTAAATAAAACTCAAAGGTTACTGACTGACTGACATAGTGATTTATCAAAGCACAGCCCAAACCACTGGACGGATCGGGTTGAAATTTGGCATGCAGGTAGATGTTATGACGTAGGCATCCGCTAAGAAAGGATTTTGATCAATTCTACCCCCAAGGGGATAAAATAGGGAATGAAAGTTTGTATGAAACTTTGTCAATTTTAAACCGATCGGGCTGAGACTTGCATGCAGGTATAAGAAGAATCATAGATGAATGTCATTGTGTATAATACAAGCCTGACAACAAAAACTGTAGTCTACACTTCAGCTCTACACCGAAGCGAAGCGAGGGCGGGCCGCTAGTTTTACTATATAAAGTAAATAAATCGAGGGAAGTTTGCTTTTTTCTACTAAAACACCAAAGGTACTCGCCTGTTTTCAATATACTTGAAGAACCTATATAGCGGCGTGGACAGCACAGTCTGGCTGTATTCTTCGCCCATCTGAGGAGGGTATTCTTCGTCCCACTCTACCGCGTCGTCATCGAGCAGAACGACAACATGGCACTCGCGGTCGCCGCGCCGCGCCGACTCCACCATCAGGGGGACAATCAAGCGTTCTAGGAACGACTCGAACTGTCGACGGGCGCCCTCGTTCGATAACTCATGGAGGAGATCTCTTAGATTCTACGACACAGGCATATGGGAGTAAATAAAGAGGAAAATAATAATAAATGCTTTAATTTAAAACAAAGACTCTCACTGGACTGGTAGGGAAAGAAAAGCATCAGGTAGCTGCAGTCAATATTGTTTTTAAGGATAATGTAGTATGTAAGGGTAGCTACACACATAATCGGGCATAAATAAATATTTGTCGAACAACAAAGCCGATCCGTAGTAATTACTGCCGAACATTCATCGACACTTATTCGATTTTACCTTCCAGGTGTGCCGATTAATGCCGGCCCGCTTATGGGTGTAGCTACCCTAAGATTTTATTGACTTAGAAATTTTCAATGCACAGACAAAGCTTATCCGTCTGTTAAATAAATATACTAGTGGTGTCGATTCTGGTATGATTTTCTAAACCTAAACTTAAATTTGACAACAGTGTATCCTTGTCATTCGCTATACAGAATGAAAAGAAGAGACTGATGTTAAGTTTAGAGAATCACGCCAGATTCGACACCTGTGTCGAGTTGTGATAAAAGGCTAAGTATGTAAAATAAAAACGGTCAGTTAAATTTATTATTCAATTGAAGGAAATTTATCATTTGCCAATACCAAAAATCAAAGTCATGAACGAAAACCATTTTTTGTGAGATTCTTTTCCCTGTGTTAATAATTGGCTGAACTGCACAATCACCATATCCATGCTTACTTTGGGATTGACATACAAGAGTAAACACGAGATTCTCAGATCTCATAGTAATATTGGTAGGACCGGCCCTATAACAACCAGTGCAGAATTAAATACCCTAGCTAGATACAACAACACGAACAAAATCATGGCCGAAACCTGTCCAAAAGGTACATAGGACGATCTACGGAGCTTCGTAAGATGATCGCGTAGTCAAAAACAATATAAGGTCTTAAATAAAACGCATGCGTCCAAGAGTTACGGCAGTTCGAAATGTAAGCTTGTAAAATTTTACGACTTATTGCTTCTGCCTATAGCAGAAGAATATAGACCTTATTTCTTTGCTTAGCAATATAGCAGCAGGTACGGACCGCAAGGAAAAGAGACGGCTATATTACCGACCATGCATTTGAATATCGCAAATATTTTTAGTTTATAGGAAGTATGAGAACAAAATTCGCTTCAAATGAGTTAAATTAACATGCATTGATTATGTACTTGTCGAAAAAACGACACTACGTAGTATAAGTTTTTCTATATTTTTCGCATTTTATCACGGAGCTCCGCGGCGCAGCTTCTTCACCTTTCAACGGTCCGTGTGTGATTGTGAACCAAGAAGTGCTTGATTGAATGGAGTTCAGACACATTTTCAGCGCTCGTGGTGTATCTGTATAGGTATTTAATAACGTCATAGTCAAATCTTGTATGGAAAAAGCTACTTCGTTCTTACGTGCGATAGGAGCGATGCTTAGTTTTCATAGAAACTTTGACGATGCGATACAAAATTCGTGCTTGGGTCTCAGTACAAAGCCATGACGTTATGAGCTGACAGTGCCTTGCCGGTTGTGATTGTGGTGGCCGCATCTGTACCCTTTCATTACCTGGCATCGGACTGTGTTAGCGTCGAACGGCACCAGGAGGTAGTCGCACGCCTCCCTCAGCTCCTGCACGGAGACAGTAGGCGGGCACCGGATGCTGCCCCCTCTGTAGTACTCCAGTATCGCCCTGAACACCGTCGCCGAAATACCCTCAGCCACCTCGTATTCTCCACGCTCATTAGGATGAGTGAACTCCAGCCCTGATGAATGCAATAAATTGTCAAACATCTCATATTTTCTTTTCACATTGGACTAAGTATTGTAATCAAAGAACATAGAATAGCTCTGCTAACTTTCTTGTAAAGCATACTGCAGTATAAAAAATTTTGAAAAATAAAAATTTGATTCCGACGACGTAGCCTGTAAAGGCTACGTAACGTCAATAAATAAATAAAGTTTCGTGCATTAACCCGTAAAAAACTAGTTTTATTTAATGAGTGATGTACATTAAAACCTAAGAAAAAAATATACTGCAGTATGTCATTGTTAATTTACATATCAGACCCAACTAATGCCAAGTGAGAAGTAGTTGAGTGAAGTAATATGCCAGAAGTTTAAGTTAGTATTAGTGTATAGTGACAAACCTGCAATGACCATTTTATGGAATCTATCTATGACTATGTAAATTTGGCAGCAAGCACAACAACACAAAAGTTGAGTAACACTACATGTTTCTCTAAACCTAAAATTAAATTTGATAAAATTGTATCCTTGTCATTCATATCATGTCATATATTTTATACAGAATGTAAAGGAGAAATTGATGTTAAGTTTAGAGAATCACGCCAGAATCGACACCACTGCTTGGGTACTATGCAAGGACATGCACTTATTATATAATATAATAAAAGTGGTAAAGTTTGTGAGGTTGTAGTGGGTAATCTCTGGATCTATTGAACTATTTTAAAACAATCTTTTAGCATTTGAAATCCACAGTATTTGTGAGTGTTACAGGCTAAATAATAGAACAAATAAATTATAGTCTATACTGAAGCAAAGCAAGGGCAGGCCACTAGCTTATTATGGGGAATATTTAAAACATCCTCTATCATCACCTAACAAAATTAATTGGTAGCCTAAAGAATAGCTTAGGTTACCAGCTTTAGGTTGTATTTTTTGACGACCAATTAAATTTATTCTTTATAATTAAATTAAGTGTTGTTTACAATACTTTCATGCACACCAATAATTAAATAAATCACTGTTTTAAACTAATATGATTTGTGTCATAACTGTAATAAGAGAAATGAAACATATTATTTTTTAAATCTAAAGAAAAGTTTTACTAGAAAAAAAACCATGCAGACCAGGCCGCGAACGGGACCTGGTCCGCGTGTTTTTTTTCTTCTAGTAAAACTTGTCTTTAGATTTAAACATCTAGCAGATTAATGCTTAAAAAAATAAAAACATAGCAATATTATTTTTTGGCAACATATTTGAAAACTGTTTTAATATCCATTAAAAAACTGTTTTACTAACTTCACAAAAACCTAATGGTTTTAACGAAATTGAATGTGAAAAAAATATATTAGCAGAAAACTAAACAGACAACATATTTTAAACATAAACAAAGCTGGTGCAAGTAAAATATTTAAAATGACATTTATTTTAGGAATGCAACAATTAGGGTTGCAACGATATATCGGAATATCGATAATATCGAGACCAAAATATCGATATTTATATCGATATTTAAAATTCACTGATATCGATAATATCGATGTCGGAAATTCCAAAATATCGATATTTCGTAGACTTAATTTGAACACAATAATATCAATTAATTTACCTGCTATGACTATCTAAATTGAATAATATCGTGATAACCATTGCTTTGAAATCGCAAGAGCTTATAGATGTATTAAAAAAATTTTGAACCCCAAGAAATATATTAAACTAGTGTGGATTCTGGTATGATTATCTAAACCTAAAATTAAATTTGAAAACAGTGTATCCTTGTCATTCTCTATACAGAATGAAAAGGAGAGACTGATGTTAAATTTAGTTTTAAGTTTAGATAATCATACCAGAATCGACACCAACGTATATAGGTATAATCGTATACCTAATGGTAACTCATGCACTTAAATAAAATCCTTGCCTCTCTTTCTAGATAATTGTCAACCACTGATTTTGAAATTTAATATCATTGTAATATAACACAAAATAAAATTAAGAATCTTATACAAATCGTATATTTTTAAGCTCGCCAAGTCAAGAAAGTAAGATAGGTATAGTAATTTTGGAAGCTTTGGGCTTACCCTATTCTGAAGCTATGGGCACGCCCCTGATGTTTTAACATTTTAAACAAAATAAATATCTTTGATTCGAAATTGCTTTTGATTTGATACTTCTTACAGCGCTATAAAAATATAGAAAATATCTATAAACATCGTATTGGAAATATTGGAATTGCTGATATATCAGATCGGATATCGATATTTACCTGCCCACATTATAAATATCGATATTTCGGAAACCTTTGCTTCCTTAATTTTAGGTTTTTGCTTTGCAAACTTAATACAAAGCTAAAAAGAAAAAAAACTAGATAATATCGAGTTAAAATGGTCGATATATCGGATATCGATATTTTCCTGACTTCGATATAAATATCGATATTTCAAAAGACTTTGCATCCCTAGCAACAATACTATTACGATACCAATACGAATGATGAATACATTGTAATAGCAAAATACAATAACAAGTTACAATATGCATTATTATTATTGTTATTGCTGTAGTCAGACAGGCAGTGCAACAACTGATAAATGCCTGCATCCTACTTACATATCATTTATTGTATTTTCTCTAATAAAGATATTTGGCTAATGCAATCTTAATTTTATTCTTAGATTATGCTGAAACCTCTTCTGCAGGTAATTGGTTCCAGGCCTTGTGCCAGTTTTAGATGGTGTGATGATGTTCTCAGTGTTCCTTTAAGGTTGTCAGTTGTAGCATATTGAGTATCTCCACATAAGGTCTGAATGCATTATGATTTTCAATTTAAAATTGCTTAAGCATTTTATTTGAAGATTTTGTTTGTATCACTTTATCTGTTATTATATCAATATTAGGACATATAATTTCACTTTTTAATTAATTAATTTAATTAGGTTACCTAATTGTTTCATTTTTTTCTTTTCACTTGAAACTGTAGTAACTACTGTAAAAATGTATAAATATAGAAAAGATCATACCAATCCTGTACATTTATAATTCATTTTGTTTAATAAACAAAGATGTTGATAAAGGCTCTGGGTAATCTACAACATGGAATTGAACTACAAGCATCCAGCAGCAGACGGCAAGAGTACAAATTATCTAAAACAGTAAAGTTATTCCAAATTAATCTTATGTCAAACAAATCTTAGAGCTTTTAAGATAATTTGAGTAATTTGTCAGCTGATATAATATTTAAAGTTTAATAAAAATATATAATGTATACTTGTGTTGATTTTAGCATGATTCTCTAAACCTAAACTTAAATATGACAACAGTGTATACTTGTCATTCTCTATAAAGAATGAAAAGGAGAGACTGATGTTAAATTAATTTTTAAGTTTAGAGAATCATGTCAGATTTAAAATCGACACCATTAAATACCTAAGAAAGAAGTCACAGACAAAGGATTATGCAGTATATGCAGTGAACAAGACTCAAAAACATTTCAAGCATTACAGATTTCTCTCAATTTGTTCATGATCAAGTTACAACCATGAATAGATTTAAAAGCAAATTTCATTACTTAAATTACATAGTTTTAAAGTAACACCAGTAAACACACAGACGAATATTGTTTTTTGTGTCAAATCAAAGATGCATTGACATGCTACACACTATGAAACATTTATAATAAAGTCTCACCTGAACTAAACATTCTTCCCAACATTGTGTTCGGATGGGCCGTAAATTGTGCTGGATCGACGACGAACCTAGTGTTATCCACCACAAGTGTTATTCTGTCATCACACAGCTGGTTCCTGGGCGGATTTTGTGCCGTAGATGTGGATGGAGTGGGTGCAATGGGACTCTGGTTCTTTGACAGCATATTGGGCATACCACTACGGGAATTCGAACCGTTACGCTTCGACAGCCTCTTGCGTCTCTCCTCGTTGTCCCACCTATAGTCTTCAGTATCACTACTACTGTCTGCTGGATAGAAAAAAGGCCTGCTGGGATCTGACATGGCCTTTTTCCCGATTTAAGTGTCTGACGTCTGACATTATCTGACGTACCTCGGATCCGCTGTCAGCTGTCTGTTAGACAGTTCTAGAATCGGAACCGGAACTGCAGAAAACAATATTTTTGTGTCCGTCATGCTAGCGTACACCAGCGGGCCTGATTGCTAACTTTTTTGACATTTAGGTGGTTTTCCAATTACAGAGCATAATGCCACTCAGTGCCGCACAATGCTGAACTATGCTGATGCTTAATTGGAACGTGAATTAGTTTTCAAATGCACCAGCAGAGTGCGCTAAGTTCAGTGTTGGAAAAAAAGTCAACATTTGTACCATCATCCATATTTATATTTAATTTTTAACACAGTGTGAATTAACTTTGATTATTTAAAAAAAACTATGATGAAACGAAAGTTTAAATAATTTTCAACAATAAATAATATTACTAACGATAACATATAAATAAAACATTTCGATCAATGCCAACTTAAAGAAAAAACACGTTAATTTTCTGTCTCTGAGTTGGTACGACTGCACGCATCACACGAACGCATTACTTTTGAGAGTGCTCAATTGTGCGAAGCATTGCTGGTAGCTTTCCAATTACAGCATTATAGCGCATTATGCGGCATAATGCCTAACGTTGAGTGTTCCAACTACAGCAACGTTTCGCACAATTGAGCACTCTCAAAAGTGATGCTTTCGTGTGATGCGTGCAATCGTACCAACTTAGAGACAGAAAATTAACAAGTGTTTTTTCTTTAAGTTGGCATTGATCGAAACGTTTTATGTTATCGTTAGTAATATTATTTATTGTTGAAAAATTATTAAAACTTTCGTTTCATCATAGTTTTTTTTAAATAATCAAAGTTAATTCAAACTGTGTTAAATATAAATATGGATGAAGGTGCAAACATTGACTTTTTTTTTCAACACTGAACTTAGCGCACTCTGCTGGTGCATTTGAAAACTAATACACGTTCCAATTAAGCATCAGCATAATTCGGCATTGTGCGGCACTGAGTAGCATTATGCTCTGTAATTGGAAAGCAACCACTGTAAGCTGTAGTTGGAACACTCAACGTTAAGCATTATGCCGCGTAATGCGCTATAATGCTGTAATTGAAAAGCTACCTTATAATGCGATTCAAATAAGAATAGGAAAGTACAGTTTGCAAAAATCTCAGAACACTTTTTTTGCACTCTGCTAATTCTAAAATACAAATCAAACATTTTTTAAAAAAACAATAACAAATATTGATATTTAATATTGGTTGATATTTTTTTTCATTTATTGAGCTTTGACTATGAATGGTTGAACCTAAATCGTCAACCAAATGTCACTTTATGTTGCGTTCAGATACTCGATTTAAAACTTTTGTTTACTTAAAGGATGCATGTTCGTATGTGACCTGCATGATTATTCATGACTACTACGGCGGTAATGCAGAGATGAGCGGAATTGAAGAGCTAGATTCTAATTAATGTTTTTTCTCACAGTCTTAATAAAGAAATATTATTAAAAATTGTTGTTTTTCCTCTCAATCTTGGTAAATTAATTTTATTAAAAAATCTGATGTTTTTTCTGACTTAATTTAAGTTCATAAGTTTTATTAAATAGAATTTTTTTTTGCTCACTCTACCTATTTGGTTTGAATTGACAGCTATGACGTAAAAATATGGCGCCCAGTCGGTCCTATTCTTAGTTGAATCGCATTAAACAGTGTTTTCGATTCTGACATGTTACACTTCTGGACACATCTATTGGCCCACCTTAGAGTTTAGGTTTCGATGGCCCCTACCGAAATATGATTGCTAGATTGAACAAAAACTGTTGATGCAGTTTTAAACCTGATACATTTTACCATCTTTTTCGATCGTATTGTTTTAAATTTGAATTCAGAATACCATACGACATGGAGCTACGCCTAACAAGTCGGATATGCGCCTTGTTAAAGGCAATTGATTTTTGAATAAAAAACATGTTTTATCAAATAAAGGTTTAATTGAAATAACGCGTGTTGCCTCCATGGGCATCTACCACAGCTCTCATACGATTAGGCATAGAGTTTATCAACCGCTCTATGAAATTTTGAGGGATCATCTCCCATTCCTCTTCTATGGCAGTTTTCAACTCCTGCATCGTCTGGGCAACTGGCTGACGAGCCCTAACACGTCTTTTTAGCTCGTCCCACATGTGCTCAATGGGGTTCATGTCTGGGCTTCTGGCTGGCCAGTCCATAACTGTGATGTTCACATCCCGAAGATATTCCCTGACGATGCCGGCCGCATGGGCTCTTGCATTATCATGCATAAAAAGGAAATTTGGGCCCACATAGTCCGCGTATGGTATCACGTGAGGTTCTAAACACTCACGAATGTACCTTTCAGCATTTAATGTTGGCAGCCGTGGTCCTGTAACAACTTCAAGTTGAGTTTTGCCGCTCGCGGATATACCGCCCCAGACAGTCCATGAGCCACCGCCATAAGCAACCCTCTCTTCAAAGCAGCATTGTGCGAAACGCTCTCCCTTACGTCGGTAGACCTTTTCCTTCCATCATTGCCATGTAACACAATTTTAGACTCATCAGAAAAGAGTACACGGCTCCAATCTTGCTGTGTCCAATTTAAATGACTGCGTGCGAAATGACGGCGCGCTGTTCGGAGGGCTCGCGTTAGTTTGGGCCCATTAGCTGGCTTGTGTGGTACCATATCGCGTTCTTTTAACCTTCTCCGAACAGTTCGAGCGCTCACAGATACTCCGTGGAAGTCGCGAATTTGTTTTTGTATCTCAATGGAGGTAAGGTGACGATTTCTCAAGCTGGTCGTCACGATGAATCGATCCTGCCTTTCAGTAGTGACCCGAGATCGTGGCCTTCCTTGGCGACGAACAAAGCCGCCAATCTCTAGGTACCTCCGATAAACATTTCGGACCGCAGATCGACTTAAATTAAGTTGAGCACTCACGTTTCTTTGGCTGTGTCCGGCCTGAATAAGTGCCACAGCTTGGGCGGCGACTTCAGGTAAAGTATCCATAGATTATTGATAGTACCTCACCTTAATGTTAAGAATAAGTAATGTTTGTTGCAAAACCAAAGATATGAATCACCTTTTCAAGAATTAAATCCAAGTAAACCAATAAAACCAAGTTTTCTTAGTATTCGATTGTTTGATATCAACAAACATCAAACAGGCTCCAAATTGTCTTTTATTTCTTTAAATTCTGTGTTCGAAATTCAAAAAAAGACTATTGGATGAAATTGTGAATGTGCCAGGTTCAAAACTGCATAAAAACTTTTTGCTCGACCAAATATAAAATTTTAGCTAGGACCAAACGAAACTGAAAATACAAGGTGAGCCAATAAATGTGTCCAGAAGTGTAGTTTAAAGTTTAGAGAATCACGCCGACACCACTGTTCTCAATTTTAAGTTTAGATTTAGAGAATCATATCAGAATCGACACTCAATTTACATGTATCCATTGCCATGGCAATGATAAAAAATGTTAACGGTTCACAGATTGTGCGATTTCGTTTTGTAAACTTAATTTCAAAAGTGTTTTTCACATACATAATTAATTTCTAATGTTTTTATGTTTTCATTGCAATACTCGGATAACAACTTTAATCAAGTTCAATTTTTTTTATTAAAATTTATTTATCAAGATGGCTACAGCAAATGAGTTTGAATTTTTAGATGAAGAAGTAAGAGAGCTTCTTGAAAACTATAAACATAAAAAAGCTACCGTCTACGAACCATGCACATTAAAAAACGTTAAGGAATGCTTAATTGGTATAAATGAGGTCAGAATTTTGCTTTTTATATTGTTGCGAACTAATGCTTTGTTATATTTTTATTCATTGCATTTTACATGTAGTGTAATAACATTTGACTTTGCTCTATGTAATAAAATCATATGCAAATGAAGCAGGGAAAATTGGGTATTCTTCTTTTAAATATGTCAAAGCTACTCCATTTGTTTAGTAATGTTTCTGGCTGGCAGTTTTAAGTGTACTTATTAAATGGGAGATTTACACAGGGAAAGTTATTAACCCCAAATTCTAGTGAAGTCAGTGTTGACCTGGGCTAAACTGTGTACTTCCAGAGTCCAAGTGGTGATACTTCACACTAGGTTAGGTTAGTGTAGTGAAAAAAAAAAATATTTAAAAGAGACCTTTTCTACAAAAAAGTTCGAGTATCACCTCTTGGGCCCTGGAAGTACAGTTATACTTTGACCTGATTCGCACAGTGTAAATTAATTTAGAGGCAGTACAGAACTTGCACTAAACTACTGAGACTGCATGTAAACAGAGCGAGTCAGCGAGTGCTGATCAATTTAGAGTCAGTAACTGAACCTGTGTAACAGAAATGAAAAACAATGTTATATTTAATTCATTTTATTTCTGCTGAGAATTTGGAGTCAGTAACTAACCTGTATAACAGAATTTTGGATATTTCATCACCATGACCAGACAAAAATTTGATGCTCAAAATAATCTTAATTTAAGTTCGGGTTTTATTCCTTTATATTCAGAAGTGAAAAACACAACTCGAGCTATGATTATAAATTTCATGTGTTATTGTCAGTCATAAAAGCTTTAATAAATGAATTGTAAAAGGAAAACTGAGGTCTGGTTACTAACATCCAAAAACATGAAATGATATAATTTATTTTTATGAATTTTATTTGAAATTATTATTTTAGGAACTGGGTATTTACAATATTAATTACCTTTTCAATCCGTATATTGATTATGACAACAGTACTTTAACCCCAGAGGCTCTTGTGAAGCTTATTAATGCAACTTGGACTTTATTGCATTACCACAAAAACTTAAAAGAAAAGGTGGATGGGTTGTCGGAACAAAATCATATTCTTGATCAAAAGAATAAACAAGTAAATGTAAGTTTTTTTGGCATATTTATTTCTTTTTACTTAAGCTTACGTAGTTTGTTATTTCTATTAACACAAGTTATTAATATACAAATTTAAATTAACTACTTTTTTGAAGGTACAGTTGAATGATTCTCTTTTTTGTATTATTAGGGAATGTTAGGAAGGTTAAAGGACAAACTTTTATCTGAGAAGAATGAAGCAAGAGCATGTGTGGCATCAGCCCAAAGAGTCTCCGATCAGTCTGAAGATCTTCTTCACACATTGTCAGAAACAAAGGCTAAACTTTTCAGAGTGACTAAACAAAAGGATGCACTTGAGAAGAGTTTAAGAAATGAAGTGAGTCGGCTAAAGCTTGACAATGAGAAATTACTTGACAGGCTGAGGAACAAATCAAGTAAGTATTGTAATAAAAATAATTACTAGGTGTAAAAAAATGATCAAGGAAAGTGTACATGATTATAAATATTTAACATAATTTGTGATTTTTATATCTAAAGAAATATGAGGCTGGAATAAAACCTACAGTTTCCTGATAAATTCTTTTGTTCTACTATGTGTCTCCATAATTATTTTCTTTAGTAACATATTACATACTAGTCTTTACTATTAATATAATAATTAGAAGTTCAGAGTATATTAAAGTATTACTTAGAAGAGCTGCTGTATATAATGTAGCATAGCTTCTACTATTGTTGCTTTGACACCACTCAACACCTCAGGTGTTAATTTCAGTGGCGTAACGTGCAGGCAGCAGGGGCGGCACGTTTCACATAAATAATCATAGATGTTAAAAAGTTTTTACTAGAAAAAAACCAGCTCCAACAGGGTCGCAGACAAGAGGAATGGACTGAGTGGATTTTTTTATAGTTAAAACTTTTCATTACATTAATAAATGTAACAGTTACGGCCTACGCTGCGTAAAGCGGGAGCACGGAGCCGACGTCCGCTTCGCGTGCAGATTTATGCCATTTTATAGAGAAGTGCTGTGATGGGAGATCCGTCTCATGCAGCGCTGCTCTATGAAATAACGAATGGACCAATTGAAATGAGCTTGATCAGTGCTGTGTTAACGCGATTGTAGATGGGAACTGAATGGGTATGGAATATTTTATTCCATTCTCCGATATCTCGCCTAGACCTGTCCTTGGTATAACGCGGACTTATAAATAGTCTACTTATAAGGCTTGAGTGCAAGCTCGTGGTCGAAAAATTAGAGCGTGAAGGGCTACAGTGAACAAGAGAGTTTATAATTCTACCGCCAAGTCTCGGTCAAGTGTTAGATTCGACCACATCAGCCATATAAGGATGAAACTTGCATCCTTTCAAACCGGTAGTAAGTATTTCTGGGGGTCATTCACCTAACGGAAATGATTTGGAACTGTCGGGGAAAGAATCGTTTCAATTGGTGGAGCCAGCGTAGAAAAAGTGCAACTCAAATGAGGTCATGGTAGAACTAATAAACCTGACGCTGACGTATCCCTATGGGCTGAGAGTAACCTCATTATCTTTAATGTCTCCAAGACACAAACATGTCTGTTCACCGCAAATTTCACCATGACTCCAACTTTTCGAGGTACCTGTATGTCTGTGATCTAAAGTCTCGAGCTCCTTGGCATAAAGTTATCTAATGACCTCAACTTCGGCGCAACCATCGAATTTAAGGAATAAACACAGAATAAACTTTCTGGTGAATCTTGGGCGCAACTTTTAATCCTTTACAAAGTTCAGGTCCAATCGGACCATGCATTATTATGCGTGGAGTATTGCAGTCACCTTTAGGATGCCCAAATACTAACATTCTGCAATGGACTGGGTGGAAAACAGAGTCAAGAGAAATAGAGAATTATAGTGCATACAATCTGACTGTTTTTAAAGCCAGAGATAGGATTAGATAGATTAATAGGCTCCTTCTGGGTACGTTTGATACATCGTAAATTCTGTTCCGGCTCTCGGGCTAGCTAGAGATCAAAAGACCCCTATAGCAATAAAACAACTTAAATGTAGGAGCGGCAAAAAAATTTGGCGCTGCCGGTCAAGGCTGATATTAGCAGAGATTGGGTTTGTCCAAACTGCAAAAAAAATGTTCGAAAAGGCGATAACAGCCAGACGCCGGTGAAGGGAATGTGTGACGCGTTGCCCACCTCGGCGGTGTCGACCCCGGAGGGTTCCAGCGGGATTAATAACACCGAAGCAGACAGTGGCCATGGAGAGCTGGCCATCTTCATGTCAGAAATGCGAGAGTTTCGTAAGGAAATGAATATTCTGCGGGAATCTCTGTCAGTAAGACTGGACAACTTCGAACAGAGGTTATGTCTGGTGGAGCAGCGTCAGGCGGAAATAAGCACAAGCAACACTTCGGAGCTGGAGCGCACCATAGCTGATTTAAAACAGGAGCTCAACGAACGGGATCAGGAGGCCCTCCTGACAGACCTTGAGATAGGCGAGCTTCCAGAGGAGAGGGGTGTGAGCGTTGTCCAGACGGTGACCGACCTCGCCGCGCGACTAGGCGTCGCGTTGGAGCCGAGGGACGTGGTGTTTGCGGAGCGCGTGGGTGCGCCCCCGGCGGAGGCGGGCGGGCGGCCGCGCCGCGTGGTGGTGCGACTGGCGCGCCGACACCTGCGCGACGACCTGCTGAAGGCTGCGCGAGTGCGCCGCAAGGTCGTGGCGCCAGCTCCTGCGCCTGTAGACGGAGGCGGGGCTCCTACCTTACATCGCGTTTACATCAATGAGCGACTCACACGCCACAACCGGCAGATTTTCCATCTCGTCCGTGGGCAGTGCAAGAAGCTGCAATGGAGGTACTCGTGGACGAACAGAGGTCGAGTGTACATCCGTCAAGCGGATGGAACATCCGCTTACCAAATCAGGTCCCAAGAGGATATTGAACGTGTGTTGGGACCTCTTGAGAAGTGACTCCAAGTGACGGGTGTTTGTTTTTGCTTTTGTGTACCATCACTATCCTCAGTCGATAGCATAGTATATAATTTGTTTTTGGTTAATCATTTTTATTTTGGTTTAGGAGTAGTTTACAAGAAAATAAATTATTACTTATTTTCATTAACTTTATTTGTAAAAAATACAGTTTACATTTTTGTTTCACTAATTTTACTTATAATCTAGACCAAGTTTATGTTAATTGCAAGGCATTGTGTTTTTATTTAGTTAATTTTGTATATTTTTTCATTTTCACATACTGCTGGATCCATGCCTCCGCTACATATTTGTTTAAATTTAACGTTGCTCAAACCGGCTTGTACTTATCTGTTAATTTTAACATTGTCCGCTGCACAGAGAAAACATTCGCATTTACATTTGTATGTTATATTGTTCACAAAGTCCACTCCGCTTTTAATTTTGATACTTACATTTATTTTTTTCTTTTCACAAAATTATTGAAAATGTTATTGAGTCTTGTTATGGTTAATCTATCATTATTTTATTAAAAGTTTTTGAAATTCATTTGAAAATAATGTTAATTTATGTAAAAATTAAATATTTTTTTAATATTATTCACTTACACAAGCATTATAACATCATATCTAAAACTTTATTTATACCACAAATAACAATATTACCATTATTATACATATCAATTTTATACTATATTAACAAATTATACAATTATTCAGTTTGTTCAGTTGCAGTTATAAAAAGTATAATGGATTTTTTTATAATTCCAAATTATTTTTTCGATAAATCAGAGTGTGTGTATGGAACTACAGTTTCCACAATTATTAATTTTAACAAATGATTTGCCATAAAAATCTTAAAGTTGGCCTTTTTAATGCTGGGTCTCTCGCTACAGGACACGAGGAATTTATAGCGGCAATGGAGGAGTTGGAAGCGGATATTATGGCGATTAATGAGACTTGGCTAAGTGATTTTATGTCCGTAAGGGCATAAATGCACGTACATGCCCTCACCCCGTTGCATCAATGGTAGAACAAATGTGGTTGAGTGTTTGCGTTCACAGCCAGAATATCATAATAGGGACTGCATACCGCCCGCCATGGTTGGACGTTGACGCGTTTTTCGACGCCATCACTGACTCCATTGCTTCTTTTACTAAACGTGATGGGTTAATACTTCTTGGAGATTTCAATATAGATTTACTCTCCGGGGGCAGCGGTAGACCACGGGCATTATTACAGTTTGTGGAGACCATGAACTTGCAACAGGTGATGACAGAGCCTGCTCACTTTACAGACCATAGCAAAACACTGATAGATGTGATCTGTACTGATGTACGCACTTTGAGGACTGTAGTTAAGCATTGCCCAGACCTGGGACACCACTCTATGGTGTTGGCAGAATTTAAAATAAAAAAAGAAAAAAATCATCCCCATTGGGTACAGTACCGACCTTTAAAAGACATCCTCCATGATCAGTGGGAAAGTGACCTAGGTGCCATAGACTGGAGTCATTTCGGTAATGCAAATGATGTTAACAACTTGGTGGAAAACTTCACACTCTGTTTGACTGGCTTGTTCAATCTTCATGTGCCAATCAAGAGACAAAAATTTAAGCATCCTCCTCATCCATGGATCACAGATACTGTAAAATCGATGATGCATATTAGAAACAAGTATTTGCTGACCTACAAGGCTGATAAGACCAGTACACACAAGGAGGTTACTTAACCATGAAGCGCCTTGTGGTTGAGACTATTGACAGAGAAAAAAGATGTTATTTTGATAGTCATATTAACAAATACATTGGAAATTCAAAAAAGTTGTGGCACAATTTAAAAAGCACAGTGTTGTCTAGTGAGAAAGGTACAAATGAACTTCCTCCGTGTTTGGACAACCCAGACACAATCAATGTTCACTCCCTTAGTGCGCCGGGCCACAATGAAGTGTCAATGTCACAGCTAACATATTACGAGTTTCATAGACATTCTGAGACTACGTTATCGCTGGTGCCGGTTGGTGGAGACACAATAATGCAAGTTATCAAGAGGCTTCAATCCAACGCACAGGGCTGTGATGGTATATCGTTGGAGATGCTGGTATTGACACTACCTTATACAATGGATGCAATCACCACTATCATCAACAGATCAATAACTGAAAGTACATTTCCTAACAGCTGGAAAACTGCAGTTGTGAAGCCACTACCTAAGGTTAATCAGCCATCGGGACCTCATGACCTACGACCTATTTCTTTACTGCCCTGTCTCTCTAAGGTACTGGAGAGGGTGGTTTGTGATCAATTAACACAGCATCTCGAAGAAAACAACATTCTCCCATGCTACCAGTCTGGCTTTCGAAAGGGTCAAGGTACGGCAACTGCATTGACTGATGTGGTTGATAACATTCTCTTAGTTCAGGACCAGGGATGTGTCAGTATCCTAGTGCTTTTGGACTTCTCAAGGGCGTTTGAAACCATTAATAC